TTTTGTTTTGTCAATCTGTGGCTCCAGATTCAAAGATAGGATAGTAATTTATCAGGTGTTGACTGGACATGGGATATTCTGGTAAAAATTGAAACACAATGTATAATATGTCAGTATACATGTACCTGGGAAAAAAAACAACTCTTACAGAATACTATCTTTGAGAATAGTTAGAAGAGAAAACAACCAAAAATTAAAAGATTTGAGACTTCCCGAAAATATCCAATCCTTGGTGTTCTGAGTTCCTGCTGGATGGCTGGCCAAATTCTTAGACCTTTGACCTGTCATTCTGCCTGTCAATCTTCCCTCTACCCAGTGCTGTCAACCTACTCTGTCAGGCCAAACATCTACACAAACCCACATACAGCTCAGCCACAGAAAGCAATACAGAACACTAGTACTTCTTGTACATACATGTAGTAACACTACACAGACAAGACCGCTCAGATAGAGAAGCCCCTAATTGTCCCAGACAACTGTATAGTCTTCTGAGACTTATGGATGCCAACAACACTGATCCTGGGATCAGGAACAAGGCTTACTAACCACAGACTCTCCCTGACACTGAGAGACTCAAGTTTGCCTGGGAGATCTGTCCATGGAGTGTGAACTTGACTCCCAGAGACAGGTGCCAGAACCTCAGTCACTGCAACGTTGATGGTTTGTTGGGAAGATACCAGCTGAGGAATGTATTGATTATTACCCGAAACTGATGGCAAATATCACATGTTTGGTGACTTTTGTTTTCATGATTTGCCTCTTGGAATAAACTTGTAGTACCCACCTTTAGGCTTATATATAGTGCGTATCTCCCGGGTATGTTATTGAGAATATACTGGGTATATTTTTTTTTTAGTCTTACTGGCCTAGAGCTAGGAAATGTATTGATTATTACCCGGAACTGAAGCCAAGTATCATATGCATATTATGTAGTATGTACAGTGACTTTTGTATTTATGATCTCCCCAGAAATTCTTAGAGGAGAGGTGCTCCCTAATCGGTTGATGAAAAAATGAGAGCAAATTTCATGAAAATACTAGAAGAAAAAACCCTAGCCAAATTCAAGAATGTTTGGGAGACAGGTGCTAGAACTTGGGGGAGGGGAGCACCCTTTCTTCAGAATTCATTGCTTGCGGAGAGCCCTTGCTTGCTAGTGCTTATCTACGTTCTCTATGTTGTTATATTGCTTTGAGCCATACTGGCCTACATGCTGTATACTTGTACGTGAGCTGAAACCTTGACTACCATAGATATTGATGTTACATGTATATGTGCATGACCCAGTAATTGAAGGTTGGCCAGTGCAGGATTTTGTTGACCCAATTTTTTGCTGGGTCAGAAAAGGAAAGAAATTGCAACTGGGATGGAAATGTGGTTACACTAACACTGACAATGGTATGTTTGCAGGTTTTTACAGATCTTATAGTGTGTATTTTTTTCATGCACCCAAATCTTAAGTTTAATTAAGATTATTACCAAAAGTGCATTATGAGAAAAGCCAGCCAGAACTGAAGGATTGATACATATACAGAAAAATATTTTTATGTCAGAAAAAGGTGTGTTTTGATTTCGCCTTTGAATGTTAGGAAAATGGTGGTACGGTAGTTGGAATCTGCTTGTATATATTTATAATAGAGCACTTGTCAAGTAGAACAGTAGTAGTACTACCGTAGTAGTTCTGTATGTTGACATTTTCTTCAGTAGTTACTTTTTGAACTGTAAATGTTTTGGGTAATTTTTTTCTCAATTTCTCCAGTATGCTTATACCCTTTTTACTATCAGTATTCATAACTTGCCAAGGGCTTAGAATACAGACAGCGTTGAAAGTGGGGAAAATTTACCCATAACATAGTATTCAAAAGGTTTTTACTGAAAAATATGTATACAATCATAATTATAGAAGTATAGAACTCCTATTATACTGGCCTTCAGTGCTTTACATATTTCAACTACCACCATTTTCTTTCAGAGGTAAAATCAAAACAATTTGCCCCATATCTCTACTCTCAACGTTGTCAGTATTCCAAGCCCTGGGCAGGTTACGTTAATGACACAACCAGGAGTAAGGCATCAAACGGCAGGCGGCCATTTTGTTGTGCTCTTGGACATTTCAAGGTCACGCATGTCATGGCCAGGCTAAGATGCTGACCTGGGGGGAGGGCTCATAGGAGCAAAGGGGGGGATGCCATGCACATACATGACATTCAGGCGTTTAACTAGGGAGTGTTCAGGGTGTTTTGGATGCCCTGTACTGAAAATATGAAGAAATTGAACACCCCACTTTTTGGTAGGGCACCGTTGAATTTTTTCCACTCCCGACCCCTGCCATGCACACTTGCCCCCTTCAGTCTTATTACAAATACAAAAATGATGGTTTACTGAAGGAAAAATCAATTCCTCACAATTTGCACCTCAAAATGCAGAAAGTAGTGTTTGAGAGCATTATATTAACGCAAGAAAAGCCCCCTAAAAGGCTTTGCACCGCGCCTCATTGCTGCGGATAGCATACAATTAAAAAAATGGACACCCAACAAAAAATCCTAGCTAAAACTTAAAAGTAAAAGCCTGCCTGGGGGGACTGCTCTTAGGAGCAGAGGGGGGATTCCATGCACATACATGTACAGGGAGAAACGTGGGGTCAGTAGGGTTATGTGGGCAGGGGACTGTCCACTTGCCATTCAGACCAAGAGTCAAGGCTTTAGGGGATGTCAGTGGGGTCAGATGGGAAGGGGGACTGTTCATTTTTTGTCTACGAGTAGGCCAAGAATTGAAGGGTTGTTACATGTACTGTATTGATGATGTACAATGTACATGTAGATAACATCGGACAATCATGGCTTAGCTTTGGCCATCTCTGAGTCTGAGTCTGACTATTCCAGGACTGGTGACAAAATTGGATGGGATCGGTTTTTACTTTTATAACTTATATAAGACACATTATTTTAGGTGCTGAACAAATATTTTGTAAATTAACATTTATAATACTATAAGTTAATTTACAAAATGTTGTCCTAAAAATTATAGGACAACATCTATTAGGATAATCATTTTCCCATTTAAATTTTAAGACATCCAAGGTAGTTTGTCTATATACATTTTCTTCTACTTTTAGCATTCAGGCACAGAGAATTTATTTCTGTACAGTATTCTACCATATATTTAAGTAGTAAAGTACTAGAAGCCTCCTTGGTTAAAAATTCTGGCTTACGTCATGTATTCCTTATTGAAATTGTTTGAGGTAGCTACAGTACAGTACCTCCCTCCTCACCCTTGTAAAAAATGTAAGCTGTAAGGTATCTTGTTTTACCATCTGTGCTATATCATGTGGCAATGTTATCAACATAACAGTCAACACAACGCGGACATCTGTCTTACCTCTCAACTCTCACACACAGGCACTAGGCCAGGGTGTCACACATAACATCCTACATACACAGGGCACTGGGGTGGGAAAGGCTAGGGTTAGGGATTGTTCTCTACTGTGGTTGGAATAGGAATTTTAGGAATTTTGGGAAAAAGTTCAAGTTCTTGGATTTAATTTTAACAAAAACAATATTTTTTGTAAGACTGGAAAATGACAACAAAGAATCAGAAGTTTGGAGTGAAAGTTAGCACCTCTATATCATGTGTTAACTGTGTTTTGATGAATGGATATTATTAGCAGTTTTTCCTTCTAGCAGGCTAAGTTGACTTTTGGCATAGTTTTTACTTCACAATTGACAATACCCGATAGCCAGGTAAATGCTTTGATGGGGCCTTAATTACAGTCATCACAAAAACCCTAGGTTTGTTTGTGTGTAGCAGTACTTTTAAGGTCTGCTAAAGTCTTGAAATCCGGGATCACCACTGCCGCTTTTGGGCTGGGAAATTCCAGGAATCCACTATGGGCTGGAATGGGTCCAGGTTGGCTGTAGTTACACCATGCCCGTAGCCAGGATTTTGAAGGGGGGGTTCTTCCCACTGCTTGAGGGGACCTCGCTAGGGGGTCCGGAAAATTTAAAAAATGAACCTTCTAAAATGGCATTTCATGCATTTTTGAGAGGATTTCCAAGAAGCAATCAGAGATAAATTTTTATTCAATGACAAAGTTTTTCTACGATTCCAGTCCATCTTTTCAAGAAAAATCTTGGACCTTAACATAAGAAGTGGACCAAAAAGTGGACCTTTGAGCCTTGTGGGGGAGTTCTTCCGAACCCCCCCCTGGCTACAGGCGGGCATGGTTACACCACTCACTGGAGGGATGGATTTTTGTACTGGAAAAAGTACAGGCTTTGGGATATTCCATTTCAGTATGTACTATAGGGGTGGACAGTTTTTGTCCCTCGTTACCTTCGCCAAGAAGGTTATGTTTTCAGGGGAGTTCGTGTGTCTGTGTGTGTGTCTGTAAACATGATAACTCGAGAAGGCCTTGATGGATTGTCTTAATATTTGGTAGGTGGGTAGGTCTTGATGAGCACCTCAAAATGATTAGATTTTGGGCCCCCTGGCGGCTTGTTTCATTGTACATTCCCCCTCTTGAATGTTTCCATTGCTGTTCGCTACAGCCTTTCAATTTTGTTTCCAAATAAAAGTCCTATAATATTATACTGAGTTTTGTTGCCAAGGCAGTCATGTATAGCATCCATGACTACAAATAACTACTGTACATGCAAGTACAGTATTTATGTTAACCGAAGGAAAACATGGTTTTTACTACGTTTCTTCTTCCTCTTCTGTTCCAAACACTAACCTCTGACCTGACCAATGACATGATTTGTTGACGTCTGTCACCATGGTGACTGGTGTTAGGTTACATAATGTTTCAATTTCATGGTCTGCTCTTCTCCTGTCACCTTATACTCGTAGTACATGTATGTGAATGTGTTTGAGTGATAATTAACAGAGCAGACCATGTCCGAAGGTAAACATTATGCATTTGCTTTGCAAATGTTACTTCTCTAGTTATGCATAATGTTTGTTTTAGAAGCAACATACTGAAGTTGTTGTTTTCTGTGTTACAGGAGGTATTGGCACAGGACGTGGAAAAATCCTACAACGTTTCCCAACAACAGACTGGGAGGATGTGACGTTCCATCAGGGCATAGAACTGGTTAGTAATGAGGTGTACTTTATCTGAATTCAATTATATAGAGTGTAGATATGAATTGAAAACACTAAGAAACAGAAAAGTATGTATTTTTGTGCCTTAAATTTTAAGACACACAAGTACATACTGATCTGTTTTAAGCTAAAACATGCATACAACAGTTTTCCATGTAACAGTTTTGTTAGATGACTATTACCTTTGTCTAAAAGTGCCATTTCCAAAGGCTCAGCATATACTGCCAGGGACTCGAACTTTGGACCCGTTTTTAATTGGGGTATAGCAAAATATGAAAAGAAGGAAAACTGGACAGGAGAGCAAGAGTTTTCTTAAATATCCTTTCTTTCTTCTTTTTTTTTTGGGGGGGGGGGGGGTTGACGTAACCAACTCATAGACAAAGGAAAGAAGACAATAAAAAGGTCAAGCTACCAACAACAGGTTACTGTCCAAGTGAACCCAGAACCTTCGGATTCTTTTCTAACCACCTTGTCTCCCCCCAGTTTTGCCAGCCAGGAGGATGGAACCTGTCCATGCAGCGGCGCCCGCCGGCGTTCTTTGTGGCAACGCTGACGGACATGGACGCAGAGAGGCACTACTGCGCCTGCCTCAGCTTCATGGAGCCGGTCGAGGTGAGCGAAGAAAAACTCTCGTTTCTTGTTATTTAGCCATTCCTATGGCCTAGAAAGATCCTCACACTGTATGTGGAAGGTTCAAACCCTTGTGGTCGACCAAAGAAGAAATGCGCGAATAGTTTCATCAGGTTGGTAAGACACAGAGTAAAGAGATTCTTTTTACACAACCAAGTCTTTAATTCAGCCGACGTTTTGGTGACCATCTGTCACCTTCCCAGTGTGTATATTGGGAATATTGTCCATTTGGGAATGTACCTATAGCAGTGACACCTGTGCTGCAGTGCAATGCGAACCAGTCAGAATATTGCCCTGAGGAAGTTGACAGATGGTCATTGAAACGTCGGCTGAATAAAAGATTTAGTTGTGTAAGAAGAGTCTCTTAACTCAAAGAAGGAATTGTTTGACAACGTGAGGGAGGACTTCCACCACTTGAACCTACATAACTTCAAGTGGCAGGCTGGCATCAAGCCTCAGTATTGTTGTACAAGCACGTCTAACCCTCGGAAGGAGGAGGAGGAGGGATGGAGAGTGGGTCCAGCCAAACCAGCCTGATGACCAGGAGAGGCCCAAACAGACGCTCATGTTCTTGTCTGCCATGTACATCATCTAATACTGTATCCATGCCCCCCTAGGTCCAGCCAAACCAGCTTGATGACCAGGAGAGGCCCAAACAGACGCTCATGTTCTTGTCTGCCATGTACATTATCTAACACTGTATCCATGTCCCCCTAGGTCCAGCCAAACCAGCCTGATGACCAGGAGAGTGAGGAAGAGGAGGAGGAGGGAGTGGAGAATGGGGAGAGGCCCAAACAGACGCTCATGTTCGCCCCCAAGTCACTGGTGCTCGTGTCCAGACTACAGCATTTTGAAACTTTTAGGGTCAGTACATGAACCTTTAAGTTACTGCCTCTCTCCAGGGCTTGTATCTAAAAGCTAAACTTATTGTTTGTTTTTTTTGACACTTTAATGTCAAGCACATTTTGAAATAAAGTTTTATGATATTATATAAAATATTTAGGATCATCATTACTGGTTTATTGATTTAAATCGCTTTGCAGCCCGGAGGCTGAATTGCAATTTACATTGACTACATTTTTGTGCCCACCATTGATAATAACTTTAAAAATCGGTTTAGCTTAAGATTTAGAAATGAAAGTCAATTCTAGCCTCTAAATACAAGGTAAAAAAATGTGTCGTAAAGTACAATAAACTAAGCTTGATAACAGTTATGTATCAAATTCATGTTATTGATGTGTTTTTGTGTCTCCCCCCTGCAGCATTGTTTAGGTATCCTGTACACAGTGTACATAGAGAACCAGTCTGTGCAGATAGAGACTCTGGTGGGGAACATACTGGGTAGTGTGCATGTACCGCCACCCGGAGGACCACAGGTAAATACAAATAAATAAACAAACAACATGCACAGATATGTAAACATGTAAACAACAACATACAAACACTGGTGGGGAACATACTGGGTAGTGTGCACGTACCGCCACCCGGAGGACCACAGGTAAACACAAATAAATAAACAAGTAAACAACAACATACACAAACATGTCAGCAAGTAAACAACATGCACAGACATGTCAACACGTAAACAACAACATACAAACACTGGTGGGGAACATACTGGGTAGTGTGCACGTACCGCCACCCGGAGGACCACAGGTAAACAAATAAACAACAACATGCACACAACAGGAAACTTTTGTTGTAGCGTGCATTTTGTTGTCAGGTGCAAAGTCCAGTGGTTAGTGACCATGCTTCTGAGACAAGAAGTCATGAGTTCGAATCCCAGCAGTTACTCTCATGATGAGTGCATGTCACTAGAAAGGGTCGCAGTCCTTAGGACAGGATGTTAAGACCTGTGTCAACTGTTCCTTAGGATCGGACAATAAGCAGTGGTCCATTATGCTTGTGGAAAAGAGTTAGGGGAATTTCCCTGGTACAAGTAACCTGTAAATACTGTTACAAAAATTAATCATCTGTCTTCTCTGTCACGACCAGTGGAAGAGTACACATGTAGCTCGACCAACTTTAGCTTAATTCATTGAGCTAAGCTTGTTCAAGATTGCTTCTTTTTTCACTTATCCTTCTTTTATTCCTCTGTCCAGGTGAGATTTTCCATAGGAGCAGGAGACAGACAGGCCCTGCAGCCCCCACTGTCAGACAGCCTGCCTGTTACAGGGACAACCGTGGCCATGCTCTTCAGACAACTGGGTAAGTAGAAAGTAAACAAGCACTGGGGAATCTTTCAAAACACGTTCTTGGAAATATCTTGGGTTTTTGTGAATGGTTCATATTCATAATGTAATATTTTTATATCACTTCCTCAAGTCTCCCACATACTAGAGCTGTGTACCGATACTCAGTACCGATACTGTACCGGAAAAATTGATTAGGTACAGGTCCAAAATACCTAATCCCTCCGTACCGGTACTGTACCTAAACAATTTCACACCAATTTTATGCCTATTTGTGACCTTAAATGTGGAAATAGCTGGTCGCCAATGGGTTCCAATGTAAGGACAGTGTGTTCATGAAAACAATAATACCTTACTTTTGCCTATATTTTATCTGAGCATTCTCCATAAACCAAAATTAAACCTTAACTATCAAGTGTATACATGTTTTTGTTGCTATTGAAAGAGTTCAGAAGAGCATGTAAATTGGTCGAATTTTTTAGGTACAGGTTCAGGTCCGGACCTGTACCTAAACCTGTGTACCTGTACCTGTACCTGTACCTAAAATTTGTTTAGGTACACAGCTCTACCACATACCATCCACTTACTCCCACCCGGCACATGAGGGGTTGCCTGTCAAAACCACCTCACACCCTTCATGCAACTCTTGCTCTTTCAACTTGGCCAAGAAACACTCAAATTCATATGTCAGCTTCTCGAAACAAAGTTAGCGAAAACGTAGTATTCAGGCTGACATTCTGTTTCATCTTACCAAATTATTAGGTTTGGTGCATCCAAAAATGATCTTAGAGCCCTGCATCTACAATTAGATCTCCTGGTATTGAATGAAGAATGATGATACATTCTAGTCATGGACATGATAGTAACGAGTTGTAATGTATTCCCCAGGCATCTACAACGTGATCTGCCTGTTCTGTGCGGCCCTGACGGACCACAAGATCCTGTTCCACTCTACATCCTACTCACGCATGTCTGATGCCTGCCAGGCTCTCTGTGCTCTCATGTTCCCCATTAAGTACAGGTAGGTGGTTTTAATTTCCACTATTCCTAGAGTGACCTCGTCTGTATCTATAGCCGGTATAACCACCCTTCAGTGTAACACACCAGCTTCTGTATCTGTATAGCCGATATAACCGCCCTTCGGCGTAACACACCAGCTTCTGTATCTGTATAGCCGATATAACCGTCCTTCAGTGTAACACACCAGCTTCTGTATCTGTATAGCCGGTATAACCGCCCTTCGGCGTAACACACCAGCTTCTGTATCTGTATAGCCGATATAACCACCCTCCGGCGTAACACACCAGCTTCGCAGGCACGCGGTGCGGTGGCAGCTGGCTACATTACACTGAACGACTTGTTACAACTAACGTTACTAACCTTTGAACATCTAACTCTAGCCTTGTGTCTAAAATAAAAAGATTGTAGAAAAATCTTACCAGGTGACTCGGTTTTTGTTTGAATTGAAAAAATAAAAATAACAATATAGTAAATAACGTTTCTGTGTTTCCCCCCAGCTACGTGTACATTCCCGTACTCCCAGCCTTCCTGAAGGAGGTTCTCTCCACTCCAACTCCCTTCATCATCGGTGTGCACGCCTCTCTCAAGAACGAGATGGCAGATCTGGTAGGAGCAGTCTCTTGTGCTTAAAGCATCACTATGGCAAAACCGTGGTTGTCCATATTCAAACTTGAGTGTGCTTTTCAAGGCATCCTTGTGAACATACAAACATTTTATAGCATTCCATACCAAGTCTCAGTACCTAACAGTCTTACGCATTTGTTGAAAAGATGATGCTTCGATGTAGCTGCCATTTACATTTATTTCAACACATACTGAGATTGTCCACCTTCAAACTTGAGTGTGCTTTGCAAGGTGTTCTTGTGAACATACAAACATTGTGTAAAACAGCTAGATTAAGTACATGTGCAGTTCAAAATAAAATTGTCATCCACAAATTCCATGCCAAGTCTTAGTACCTTCTCATGCATTTGTAGTCTGCATTTAGCACTTATCCCAACACATATACAATCAATCTACTACTTTGAAAGTCAGTATGTGTGTTTGAAAGATCTCCATTGCATGGCAGCAGCAGCTAGGAATGTTACTATGAATGACCTGTCCCACCTGACATTTGTATGTGTTTTATCCACAGTTGGATGTGATAATAGCAGACCTGGATGGGGGCTGTCTGACTGTACCAGACTGTATCAGTCTGTCCCTGCTACCAGAGCCACTTCTGTCCAGAACAAAGCTAGCGCTGTCTATGGTAACTCATTAAAATCCATTTTTTAGTAACGGTAAAGCAACAGAAGGAGTATTAATAAATGGTTTTTATTGTCCAAACAGTACCCGTGCAGTCGCAGCCTTACGGCTGAATTGATGCAGGGTATATAATAATCAATACAAATCACAACAATTACAACATTCAAATAATACAAATGATACACACAGTCGCAAGGGTCTGTGCGGCTGCCATTCGGCGCCACAAGGTGACCTCAATACGACTTTCCCCAACCGAAGTTAGGTACCCATTCACACCTGGGTGGAGTGAGGAAATTCGTGTAAAGTGCCTTTCCCAAGGGCACAACGTCGGGGCGCATGTTCAGACATGTCCCGGGTACGACTCGGAATCGAACCCGGGTCTCCCGGTTCACAGTCGATTGCTCTAACCACTACACCACCCGACGCCATCTTTATTACCTACTATTGTGAGTGTGTTTGTACCCAACTCAAGAGCTTGAGAAAAATATGCTCTTGAAAAGCCGCAAGTAAGTGTTGTGATGTCGCACAGACACATTTTATCATCATAATGTTGCTTTGAATGGACCAAGGAATGATCTTACAGTACAAGTTAACGATGAAATTAAGAGAAATAATCTCAAAGCAGATGGAATGATCTGTTTAATGGCCAGACGACAATGCAACTGCCTTATGCTTCGGTCCCAATTGAAAAAAGGGGCCCTGCCGGGTAGTTCCCGGGCTGTTTCATGGCACTTTCGGGCGTGTAGGTCAGTACAAGACATCGTCAGAGAATCTGCCGGGCACCGGCGCAATTGGGACCGAAGCTTTAGCTGGGGTGATTATTCTTAGATCATAAAAAAGTTTGTTGTGGTCCTAACATGTGCTTCATATTTTCTGTGCCCTTCCTTCCAGGTGCTTCATCCTGACCTGCATGTGTCTGACCACGCATTCCCTCCTGAGTCCACAGCACCCTCACCCCTACCCATGCTGGTAAGTGGTATAGTCTAAACTTTTTGTTCATGTACTTGTCAACACTGTCAGGATGCTGCAGTAAAAAGAAAGTTTAAAAGAAAAATGCTACCAGTTCTACCTTTCACGATTTTCTATATGAAGCCCAGTAATGCCTCAACTGTGGCAACATTGTGTATCAGTTTTTCTTTTGTAACCTTGAAGATGACACGACAGTAAAGGTTAGACACCAGGTAATAAGATACACCAGAAAACAGTTACTCAAGCAACTGGATTTAAAGCAAATTGTCTGTAAATTGACTGCAATTCAGTGATATTTTCACTGCGATAGCTCAATAAAGATATCTTGAATCTTGATATGATTTTGGAAACCGTCAGACGTTTCAGGTAGCATCCACTGCCTTTTGTCAGTGACACCGGAGATTTTTCAGAAAGGCAGCTTTATACTAGTACTTAAAGATGACATTTTGTGTGTGGATTTTTTCAGGATAAAGAGATCCGAGCCATTTTCCTGCGACTGATAGCAGAGCTGTTTTTTGGGTATCGAGGCTGCCTGACCCTCATCAGGATCCACCCTGAACCAGTCATCACATTCCATAAGGTGGGTTCGGTTTGGTGTCCTTTTTATGCACGTGATCATGATAATTATCATTCTGGCATTCACATTAGCCCCTGAGCGAAGTGAGGAAAGTTGTGTTAAGTGCCTTCAAGGGCACAAGGTTGGTGACATGGCAGGATTCGAACCCGAGACCTCTGCTATTACGCCACGTCACGGGGAGGAGTATCTAGCTGAAGATGTGGTAAAAATCCTTCAAAATTATGTCACTGAGCTTTTACCTTGTAGCATCGAAGTCCAGTGGTTAGTAACCCTGCCTCTGGACCAAGAAGTCATCAGTCAGTCAACGTCAATCTTACTTGTTGGAAAAGAGCCTGTTCTTGTCATATTTTAATGTAGTTACCACAACAAGGATACACCTAAATTGACTCTGTTTCCCCTTATGATACAGTAATGACGTCACCTTATGACAAAGAGAAATCATCCTGACGAAGACAACAGAGCAGCTGTTTAATTGCACCAAAGAAACTGTGCTTAATCGTTTACCAACCTCATAAATCTATCTACTTGCAATAAAATGTGTTTCTTGAATGTGTTCTTTTCCCCCATCTTCAGGCCACTTTCCTGTCTCAGCGAGGGCTGATTGACGATGATTTCCTCACCAAGGTGCTGGATGGGATGTCGTTCCGACCGTTTGTACACGAGAGAGGGCCGCCCTACAGACCATGTGACATCTTTGATGAGGTAAAAAATCCTGTTATTCCAGATGTATCTCGATTTTACAGGAAGCATGCAATAAATTCTTGGCCTCACCAAAAAACAAGGGGCACAACTTATATTTTAGGGTATAAATTTGAATGATGTAACCATCTATTAATATCCACGTCAAGGGGCATTGAAACGTTGGCTATTGTTAAACAAGAGTGTGAATCAAGAGCTTTGCTATTCACACAAAAACTGTTACTCAAGCGACTGGATGGATTTTAAAAATTGTCCGATGTTTTTTAAGTAGCATCCTGTACCTTTTGTCATCCAATACTTTTAATCATCCACTATACTTTGTCAAATCTATCCAGATGCTTGAGAAATATTTTTTGTGTGTATCTTATTACCTGGATGTCTAACCTTCATTTACTATTCATCCCCAAAACTTTGATAAAACTATTAGGGCATTTTCACCATGTTTACATATTTTTTTCTTCCCCTCCCCACAGCTTGTCTCCGGGATTACGACTGTAGTGAGAGATGAGGGGGCAGACAACAAGAGAGTGATGAAGAATGTCCATGAGCTGGCCAGGCAGCTGTACCTCAATGTAAGTCTTACTAACACGTCGGCTGTCTGGTCATATTGTGTGGAGTTTGTCGGCAATGAATGCTCTTGGGTCATGGGGTAAAAGACTACAATTTTAAAAGATTACAAGGTTATGGCTACATTTCTTCTATCTATTTCTCCTAAACACAGCATATCTTGATGATCAAGACAACAGATCTTCCTTCAGTTTTTATAGCCACCAATCCATATTCTCTTTTTTTCATACTTTGTATAAATTCTTTAAGTTATTGTATAAGTAAATTCTAATATCAGCATTTAAATTTTAAGATCAGCATTTACTGTAACTGTGAATTCTTGAAAACAAAAAGCCACCAGTCCATGATACACATAATATTCTAGTAAGCAAAATCTATTAAGCAAAATCATATTTAGATATCGTTAAAGATGAATTTTATATGCAAAAGAGTAATTCTTTTGGCATCAAAGCTAAGGCCAGCTTCATGGACTGTGAACCTCCCTGATGTTATATCTGATGTTTTGCTGTTTCTATGTGTGGTTTTGCCATGACCTAAGGAGTGCCGTGGGGCCACGCCCTCCAGCTGGATCCATGGAGTAAGTTCACGGCCTTTGACCCCATGTTAACTGGCCTTTGACCCCATGATAATCTGCTGCGGCATGGCAAACCTGTTCAATTTTTTTTTTAAATTCTTGTCTGCAGTGTTTTAATAAATCTGTATCAGCATTCTACAATTATTTAATCTCATCTGAAAAATGTGTAAACTTTGCATGTTGGAATAGACCCATTCGACTTTCACGGACCGCATAAACTGCTTACGTCACAGGGGGGACATTTCGAAAGAACGTCGTTCTAGAACGCTGAAGTTGAACGCGGCTTGCGCTCGCGATGTCCCCCCTGGCAGATCATTTTTTTACTAAAATGTAGGTAAGTGTCCTTTTTTCTCGGTAATATATGCGGAGATGACAGGAAAACAGGCACCAACATTGTATGGTGGCATTCTGTACAACAATTTAACGTTATTTTGTTCTGTGACGTATGCAGTTTATGCGATCCGTGAAAGGAACTTTCGAAATGTCCCCCCTGTGACGTAGTTTCTATTCGAAATGTCCCCCCTGTGACGTATGCAGTTTATGCGATCCGTGAAAGTCGAATGGGTCTATTATGCTCCTGCTACAAGCAACTACATGTAAATTATTGACTTTTGTGGCCACTAATTTAAAATTACCTCATAAGGTACTTTTTACAGTACATTTATCTAGATGCCTTTGAAGTTAAAATATGATTTAGTGCAAATCCCAACTCTAACTGGTCTGCTCAGCTGACTTCAAGAATAACAAAGAGTGACCAACTGACTCTGTTTTGCCTCCTTCAGCAATGGCTATGTCTGACAGGGCTGTGTGTGTCCCTTCCAAGGGACAGAGTTATGGGACAGATACACATAATCAACAGCATTTGCAATTCTTATCAGACTGAGTGCTTTTGTCTTCTTCATGCAGCATCATTCCTATGTGTGTTGTTGCATCAAATGTTGCATCATTTCTATGTGTGTTTTTAGAGTAAACTGCACTGTAACCCCATCTGTGTGTGTGTTATGTTTCTGTATGTGATGTTGCCCTTCCTGCCAACATGCATTGTTTTTAACCAGATGCGGAGGTTATGGGTCCTTTTACTCCAGACCTACATAACTGAATAAAATAATACCATGTATTACAGAAAATCTCTCATCACTAATTTATGATAATAAACATAACAGAGACCTTCAATAACTTGCACTTCACACTGAATTCTTGATAAGTTATACTCTAATCCTTTCAAATATTGCAGCAGACAGCTGTAGTAACTGTATATTTTTGCCACTCACACACATTTCTGCTTTCCCCCCCATAGGAGAACCCGAGCCCCCAGCCATACGTTGAGAAGATCCCCAAAGCGTCAGAGGCGGCCCATTCACGGCTGCCCCAGCCTCAGTTCCCGGTCCTGAGCGAGTTTCTGGTGCAGCAGGTCATTGAGGACGCTCAGGCCAAGAGAGCTCTCACAGCGCCCAAGATGACATCACTTAGAGTACAGCAGCCAAGGTACGGGGATTTTCATGTTAATATGTTCAACTTGGGGACAAAACCACCAAAAGGGCTGAATGTTTAGAACCTACAGTTGGTAGTTGAATTACCTTGGTGCGGAGGCACTGAAAAATGGCACAAAGTCAAGTAACAGCTGCCTGTGTCCCACGTGTATTGCACTGTTATAATTTCAATAATTGAAATCAAATCAAACTTGATTCACTGGATCATGTATTCACTCCATGAAATGGAGTATATCAAGGCATAAACTCGAGCATTGTTTTAATGTTTTTCAGTAAGTTAAACCTAGTCATAATTGTAGTACATTGTTTGAAAAAATCCTACAACCAAAAAATTAAATTGGTATGGCCTGATATAGCTAATTATTGACAAATGAGTTTTGTTTGTCTTGTTTCAGGATTGTGCCATGTGGAGAGAACAGGAGGGACAAGTACGCCGGCCTGAACAGCAGTGCACGGAGGTTAGAGGTCATGAGGAACTGCATCAACTACATCTTTGACAACAAGATACAAGAAGCAAAGAAGGTTGGTTTCTAGCAAAATGGTTCTGTTGTGTTTTTATCAAGATAACTTTTCACTGGGAAATGAAAGCAAAGAACATGATTGTGTAAACTGTAAAAGAAGTACATCATAGTAGTGGTTGCTGTAGTATTCAGTATTTGAGCTGAAAGGAAAGAAAATATATTGCATCAACAAGTTTATCTGCAACTGTCTGCAACTAATTTCCTATCATCATCATGATGGTACTTTTTAGAATTATTTTGTGTACACAAAATTCTTTTGTTTTGGCAGTTTTACAACAGTGAAGTTACAGGTATTTCAGCTATAGAATTTTAACATTTTTTGGACATTTTTTCCAACATTTTTGTCTTCTGCAGTCGTTCCCTGCAGTTTTACGAGGCCTGAAGAGTAAGGTAACCCGGCTGGCCCTGTGTGACGAACTGAGCCTGCACATGCAGCAGAACAGGGTGGTGTTAGAGAACCAACAGTTTGACATGGTGGTGAGGCTCATCAACTGCGCCCTGCAGGACTGCTCCAGTATGGATGAACACGGTGTGGCTGCAGGGCTGCTGCCGCTCGTCTGCGCATTCTGCAGGGTGAGACACACAGGCAGTTTCTACTTTTTCCTTGTTTTCACAGAAGGAAAACATTTGTATTTCCTCTTCTTCTTTGCTTCTAAACAAATAAGGACTGGTTCAATGACCTGGACCAGACATCTGTCACCATGGTAACTCTGTAGCAGACACCCTGTGGTGTAGGATTACATTATGTAGCAAGCGGCAGGTCAGAGTTGGAGGGGCTGGTCAACGTTACATTTTATTAATATATAATTATGAATGTGTTTGAGTAAGAACAAATTTGCTTTTCAGATTTTGCCTCTCAAGTAGTATACTACTTATAGTAATCGTAAATTGTTTATTGCAGACATGAATTGTAACCTTCTCCCTGCTGCCCATAACCAGTACCAATTTGGTGCCAAATGTCTGTCTTAGCAGGCTGAAGTTTTAATTTTGAAACTTGTTTTTTTTCCCCAGAAACTAGCCCCAGGAGTGATGCAGTTTGCGTACACACTGGTCCAGGACCACCCTGTGTGGACTAAGCTGCAGTTCTGGAGGGCTTTGGTACCAAATAGCTATCATAGACCAAATGTTAACGCCCTGTTTAAAACTTTTGTTTTTCTGTAGAAACTTGCCCCAGGAGTGATGCAGTTTGCGTACACACTGGTCCAGGACCACCCTGTGTGGACTAACCTGCAGTTCTGGGAGGCTTCCTTCTACACAGACGTACAGAAACACATCAAGGAACTCTACTACCAGCCGGACAGGAACGGAAGTGCCAAGGTGGGCGGGAGGATTTGTTTAAGAAGAAATTGGCTATAGAAAACAGAAAATTGAACAACTGTTATTCAGAAATTAACACGAATGAAAGTTCTGGTTTTACAAACAACATCATTGTAGAAAAAATGTAGCCTGCAAGGCATTATTGACTGATATTCACTTTGAAATCAGCCAAGATTCAGACATTTTCACGTAATTCATGATCATAATAGACTGTTTTGTAGTTTATTGACGATTTTTGTCAAAGAAACATTTTCTTTTATGCAACTTACAAAAACTACAAAAAGTACAGAATTGATAAGTTAGAAGACAATAAATTGCTCAAGTTACATGTATCTCTGTTTATTCGTCTCCCTAGGATCCCCATGAACTAGAGGTGCCATCTAGCCCGGGAATGAGGAGGAGGTCAGAGGTCAATAGGTCATTGGAAAAGTCTGCTCTTGACATTGCAGCAGAACAGGTTAGTAAAAAAATCTGTTACTACACAGTACTACCGTGACCCCGCCCTCGACTTTGTTGAAAAGCGGTCATATTTTGGACTGTACAAGCTTATCCAGTGTAAATAAAGGCTTACTCAGTCATGTGTTACTATTGAATACCAATATTTTGGTTCTCTGTGCCTTAATCTCACATTTTTCGATGCCGTTAAAATGCCTAATTATCAAAATGCATAATGAATGTTAAAAGTTAATGTTTCTTCTTTGTATAACTTGAATGTAGACAAACAGGGTTTAGATCTAACTACTAGTAGCTAGTCGATGACATTGTGATCTTGGCTTGGCTTCTTATCCAAAGATTGTGATACATACATGTAAATAGCTACTCCTACATTTCTGAGAATTCATAGTCTTAGGCTGAAGAGAGTGTTGGCCAATACAGATATTTGATAAAGAATTGATGATTTGTATTTCTTCCTCAGTTGAAATTATGGCCCAATTGGTCAAAAGGAGACTGACAAGAGCCGGTATCATAGTTAAACTGGCTGATGAACACTGTTACATGTACTGATGTGTTGTTGTTTCTCTCTCCAGTTGAGATTATGGCCCCATCGGTCAAAAGAAGACCAGCAGGAGTTGGTGAATAATGAGGAGAGTACAGTGTACAGCCAGGCGATCCACTATGCCAACAGGATGGTGTTCATGCTAGTTCCGCTGGACACCAGTAAGGGCATACGGGTCAACATGGGCAACGAACCGGAGAGTGGCAGCAATAGCAACGTGACAAGCAGGTCAGTTAGTTAGTTAATTACCCTGTTGATTGGCTAATTTATTGAGTGGCCATAGTTTGTTCTGGATAATGCTTTTTACCTTTTCCGTAAATTTTGCTTTTAACTCAATGATGGAAGGATGCCTACCTTTTAACTCAAAGCTTATCCTAACCCTAGCTCTCCAAGAACTTGTATCTCTGAAAACTTGATTGTTGTAAAGTTTGCTTGACTATTACTAGGATTCTGGACCCGTCCCCCATTGATTTATTTAATTATGTAGTTGCCTATGTGCCCTGGTTAGATCCTACCATTTCATGCTAAGCAGCACAGTCTTTGGTTTGGTGACTGTTTCATCAAATACGATACCAGATAAATAGCTTCGAATACTTACTATGTGGCTTTGTTACACAGTATTGGAGGCAGTGACAGTTTTGATGTGTATTTTGCAGTATTGGAGGCAGTGACAGTTTTGATGATTGTTTATTTTGCAGTATTGGAGGCAGTGACAGTTTTGATGATTGTTTATTTTGCAGTATTGGAGGCAGTGACAGTTTTGATGCGGAGAGTGCGCAGTATGGCGAGGAGGATTCTGACATGACAGGAAGCGTGTGTCGCTTCATCACCAGGTTTGTGGACAAGGTTTGCACGGAGAGCGGGGTCACTCCAGATCACATCAAGGCTCTACACGCAATGGTACCAGGTAAGGCTAGCCGAGTGTTCTTTCTAGCAGAGTTTGAAACTTAAAATAGACCCCTACCCCTTTATTTGGTCCTCTTATGCTGTAATTTGGGCCCCTTATCCTGTCACATCAAGGCTCTACACGCAATGGTACCAGGTACGGTCTGATGATGACTTTACAGCAATGATAAGGTTCTATTACTTTCCAGTCTCTATCTATCCTCTGGATGGTATCCCAAGGGTGTAAAGTATTGCTTTTGGGTTGTCTGCATGCCAGTTTGTGTGTGTTTCCACAATTTTCAATGTACGTAATACAGCCGTAAATCAGTTACTCAGGCAACTGGATATGATTTTGGAAACAGTCAGGTTTCAGATAGCATCCACTACCTTTCGTCAGTGACACTTTAGAGTTGTCAGAAATGTCAGGTTTATAAGCACAAACTATATAATTGATTGCAGCATTGCCACATATCCCTAGTTCTGTTATTTTTGTTTTCGTAACTTCATCACAAAGCAGTATGGCAGGTAGGCGCAGTAAGGCGTGTAAAATCTGGCATCTCTGACTACTTTTTTTCTGTTTCATGTCAGTTTTGATGGCGTTTGTTTTATTGGCTAACCGATGATCTATGTATTTTCAAACAGGACATATAACTGATGTTTATGTTTTGACTCCAGAGACAAAACAGATATTATTTTTCCCCACCCTACAGGTGTTACAGCAATGCATGTAGACTCCATGGAACAGGTCTGTAGAGAGAGCAAGAGGCTTCCACCTATACAGAAGGTAGGTCTGGAAAATTAGAAATATGTTACATTCAAAACTTGTTACCAGTTGCAAACTTCAACTACTTTCCCAATTCTGAGGTGTCTAAAAAAATCAGAAAAAATATTAGCCTATTTTTTGTAAAGTTAAATGCTGAAAAGTTCTAATTTCTATCGTAACCTGAAACGCCTTTGTAAACCCTGCCTCCCCTATTGAGTCAATATTAGCTGAATCGAAGATAGGCACCACCCAGTACACCTTGAGGTGTTGGAAGGGTTTCATCTTTTTATCTATATTCAAAGACAATTAAAACTCTACTACTGGATAGATAGCAGAGATAAAATCCGGACGTCCGTCACTCTCTTCTTTAGTGACACTGAAGAAGAGTGAGGGATGTCACTTGAAACGTCTGGATTTTATTTGTCTGTTATTCATCCATGAGTAGTAGAGTATGAATTGTCTTTGAATATAATAATTGTTTTACCTGGATGTCTAATCTTCATCAACGTATCTTTTTATCTGTTTCCTCAGCCGAAGATCCTGAGACCAGAGCTGCTGCCAGGAGAGGACATTGTGATGGAAGGTTTGCGGTCGTACCTGATCCCTGACGGTCGAGAGGAGGGCACGGGAGGCTCCATGGGGGGTCCTGCCCTGCTCCCCGCCGAGGGGGCCGTGTTCCTCACCACATACAGGACCATCTTCAAGGGGATTCCCTGTGATCCTCTGGGTTAGTATCTTGTGTAAATGCAGTGGTTTTGTGTCGGTGGTAGCACGTTAGCAGAACGTACTGCGCCTGCACAAAACCCCCTTTTTTCACAGTTTTCGTTGGATTTCTGGTCAACTTTGCATCAGAATTTTGCCCGATGCAGACAATATTTTTTTGGACATAACATTTAGACTACAGATACATGCAAATACGACCTTAAATGAGATGTTCTGCCAAAGTGCTATGCACAATACATTGAGTTTCGACTCAAAATACTACAAAAACAAAAAATTACTCATACACCGAAATTAATTTTTTTTAGAAACAAATTTAAATGATCACTCCAGAAACTAGGAAACTCTTCTCTTTTTTGTAACAGCTTTGCCATGGGGATTCCGCCTGTTTTATGCATAAAACAAGAAATCCACAGAATCTCCAAGTATTTCATCAACACATGACATCTCTGATTTCTTATTTCTAGCGTCAGAGCAGATCGTAGTGAGGTCCTTCCCCGTGGCATCCCTGACAAGAGAGAAGAAGATAAACGTGCAATACCTGTCACACATCAACGAGTGGCTGTCCGAGGGTCTGCAGCTGAGAGCCTGTACATTCCAGGTTAGTCACACGCAATGTCCATTATTGCCTTTGTCAGAAGGGTAATGTATTTAGTTTGGCCCTGGTGGAGCAGCTGAGGTGTGGGTCCATATGTAGGTCAACGTCATAACTCGATTATTTGTGTGCGGCTATTGTAAAAACATAGTTTAAGTTCTGGCTTTTCCCAATCGCAAAATAGAGATGACCAAGAGGTTGTGGGTTTGAATCCCTGCTGTGTCGCTCACCCGACATGCACCCAAGTAGAAAGGGTCCCAGTTCTTAGGACGGGACGTTAAGCCATGGTCCACTGTTTATTGTACTTGTGGAAAAGAGCTAGGAGGGGGCATTTCTCAAGTACGGCAAATTTCTGACTTCTGTACTTAGTAGTCCACTGTGTTCTGCTGCTAGAGTAACTCGGCATCCTGCAGCATCAATCAGTCTTTCTTCAGCTCTCTCCACTTCGTCCTGTTCATCGCGAGCCTCCTGAGCTCCTGGAGTTTTCTTTCTGACCGCAATGGTCCTAGTAATCTTTCCTTGAGTTGAGGTCTGCCCTCAGCAAACTTAGCAGATTACTGCAGTGCCTTCCCTTTCTGGATCTGTAAGTGGATCTGTAAGTGTTAGATCCAACTTGGAACCAAGAGGTCTCGGGTTCGAGTCCTGACATGCCACCGATCTTGTGCCCTTGGTAAAGGCACTTTACACGACTTTCCTCACACACTTAACTAAAGTGAAAATGAGTATTGTCTGTCCTGTATTTGTTTCTATGTGTGGGACACAACACCAGCAACAGCTGCCTGTGTCCCACGTGTATTCTACTGTTGCATTTTAATGAATCAAATCAAATGTTTCCCTTTAGTTGGTGAAGTTGGCGTTTGACGAGGAGGTAACATCAGAAGACATCGAGACGTTCCGTAAGCTGATTAACCGTCTGCGGTACCCGGTCGGGGTGCAGGAGATGTTCGCTCTGTCCAGACATCACGTCGGGCCGCGCACCATGATACAGAAACACAAGGAGAAGAACGCTACACTCAAGTAAGTAGCTTTATTAGTTAGCCTGGAATCCATCTTAGCTCTAGTTTTCCCCAATAGTACATGTAGCTTCCACTCAGAATAGACTGGCCGCTGTCCCCAGTCAAATGTTTGGTCCGTTCGTACATGCACCATGATTCAGAAACACAAGGAGAAGAACGCTGCACAAAATTCCACAAATCAAAATTAGCTTCATCGGGTACACTGGAATACATTACATGTACTTGTGATTATGAAAAACCCACTTTTTAACTGAGTTTGTGTGAAATTTATTCTTGTATAATATTATGTACTCTTCTTTGTAAGTAACGTATCTGTTTGTTTCTGTACGTATCTTCTTTTTGTGTTTGTTTCTTACTTTGATGCTTGATGTATTGTTTTGTTTGCTTTGCTTTGTGTGAAACGGGCAGGTAAGTTGTTTTAAGCATGTACTTTGGCAACTGGCAATGAGCATGCATGACATAGCTTCTGAAGCAAAGTTAGACCCTAATTTCCAACACAAAAGTCAGAGGCATATTTTGGACTATACAACGCCACAACAAGCAGTGAATTGCTTATTCCTTGACAAATGCTTATGTTGGAAATTACAGCTCAACTTTGCTTCAGAATGATTTTTACCAACACAGATGAACTTTGAAGCTCAGACATCTTGCTTGTTCAGTAGTTTCAGATAGCGCAGGTGGTTTTCAGTGTGGTTTTCCCCTACAAAGGGGGGAATGTTACTGGAAACCACCAGTTTTAGAGATTGTACCTTTCTGAGCAGGGCAGATTTTCATGACCTACAAGACGAGGACACGGGCGCTACCGTCAGCCCTTACATGCCACGGGCAAGTTCGGAAAGGTCAGATTCCATCGACCTTGACCTGAATTGACCTTGAAAGTGGTACAGCAACAGCAGGGATGCCATCGGTCTTAAAACTCGACCTTACTTACAAAGTGAAACTTGTAATTGGCATTTTAGCTCAAAAATTATAATGATTGAAAGTCTGCTTTTCTTTCAAAGTAAGCGATATTAGCAACATTTTAAGATCTAAAATCGATTGAAATTAAAAGTCTGCATCTCCGATTCCATCTTTTATTTGCTGTAACTTTTTGACAGACAAAATCCTTCCATGTACCAGTTTGAAAGCACTGATGATATCCCTGTTTAGGTGGCAGCTACAGGGTAGGTAGCAAGGGACTTTCCTTGTATGCCGGTACCTCTTGTAAAATGAGCCCAAAGTTTTAGAACTTAGCCTACATACAGGTGTATAGACTATGGTCCCAACGTTTGGTGGCTTTCTTGTGGGTCTAGACCATCTATTTGGGCATAGATTCAAGGAACAAGGTTTCTTTTGTTAAGAAGTGAGTCTGGTGGGGCATGTTTATATCATAAGATATACGTTTTGTTTGTGGATCTTTTAACATCCAGTATTGCATGACAATTGCAGACATATAGATGCGATACCTGGCCGGAGGTCCATGTATGGCACTAAAGATTGGAGGTAGGAAAATGTATAACAAACAAACAAACAAGCGAATAGCAGGTGGCTGGCTGGGGGTGACCAAAGAAAATCATTGAATCATACGAACCCTTGCTAATCCAGAAAAGCCTTAACTCTCTGAACCTTCTCCCACCTGCCCTACCCTGTCACTAATACTAGTACAAATTTGGTGGCAAAAAGGTATCTAAGCAGGGAGAAGGTTGAAATAACAAACAAAATATACTTAAAAAGAAAGATCAGTTTTTAAAAGAAAGCTTTCTGAAGGCCACAAATTGTGCAGTGCAATTTTCTTATGATTGTCCCTTTCCCTGTCTCTGTCCTTGGTGCTGAAAACATGCTTGTTGTCTAAATGCTTTCCTCTCAACCTGGTAGTAACTAACTCAGTCTTTGCCTCCACGTTTAATAACAACAAAACAAGTTGAAGAATGTGACAAAACATCACCATCATCATGAAAACCCCCCAAGTTATGTCTGAAATAAGTTGGAAAAGTAATGAATACCAAAACAAGAGAGAAGATGCAATGTGTACTGATGCATACTTTCTTAGGAGATTCTCTAAGTTGATTGATTAAACATTTTCCTGTTCTAATTTCACCTTGGCACTTTTTTTTTTAATCACTTTTTCATATTTATGTATATCCATGATGTTGAATGATAAATATTGTTTTCTTTGCATTTCTGATTTTTTCACAACAAAAGGATTGGGCAACACAGCAGGTGAGATAGTTGCTCAAATGCTGTCTTAAAATCCATTCAACCCACTGAACTGGATAAAAACACAATTTTTTTTTCACTCACCTCTTTTCACGACCTTTTGTCAGTGTTAATTACTGTTCATCTTTGCAAAGATTATCAATACAACTAATTTGTACCAATATTAGTTGGCAACTTGCTAATTTTAACTTAAAAGTTCTATAACTTGCTATGGCAATTAACTCTTAATACTGGTGCAAATATACTGTCTTCAATTAAAAGACAAATATAAGTAGACAAATGTAAACAAAACTTTAGTCATAGTTTCTAACATCAATGGGGAATTTTCCCTGTACTGTAAATTAAGTGGATTGTTCAGAAAGCTTGATATGGCAAGAAATCCTTGGTTAGCTATCCTGGCATAAGTGGTGATGGGATCTAATTTCTTCCTTTTTTTCACTGCTTGATTACTAACAACTGAACTATCAGCCATACTGCAATCTGGTGAGGAAGCACATCGGCAGAACGTACTGCGCCTATACGAAACCCTCATTTTTCACGGTTTGCGTTGGATTTTTGGTTTAACGTTACATCAGAATTTTGCCTGTTGCAGACATTTTTTCATCCACAACATTTGGAGTGTTTACCTTATATGTGCGAATATGACCTTATATGAGAAGTTCTGCCAAAGTGCTATGCACAAATTACATTACTGGTTTTGCGCAAGCGCAGTACGTTCTGCTGACGTGCTAATCTGGTGAGGGTGGCTTACATCTTTTCTCAGCACTCTTCGTTTTAGTAACAAAATTTTCCCCGTTAAACAGAGCCCTGAGCAAGACCCTCGGGAAGGGAGCGAAGAAAGCGGGGAAGCAGATTGCGAAGAGGACGAAGTACATGCTGCCTACAGACAGCATATTCATGGCGAAGGTGGACGGAGACGTCAGGAAAGCTGCATCACTGGATGAGCTAGCTTCAGGTAAAAAAACAACACACTTTCAAAACAGCACAAATGTATGTAATATATTTCAGTTGGTGTGAAAATGATGTGGAGACAAAGTTGGAGTGTTGTTTCTTTTTGAGAGAAAGCAGTGATGTGCAAGTGACCACTCATGTGACTTGGTCACGTTAGCCACAATAGACAGGATTCTTAATGCTAGGTTTTGTGGGCAAAGCTAAATGTACAGGGCCACTAAAAGTGGTTAAAATGACTAGGACGCTAGTACAGGTTCGACTACACAATGCATTTTACGCTGTGTGGAAGTCTCTTCCATTTGATAGTTTGAGGCAGTCTTTTGATGAGGTTCCTTGTTGATTCCCCTGTGTTCCTGTGCTGTGTTTGTTGGTTTGTTTGTTTGTTTGTGTGTTGGATGTGATCAGTGCCAGTAGCACCAGCTCTGGCCAGGAGAGAAGGCAAGAAGGCAGGACAGGCCAACCCACCCAGGACAGGTAACACAAAAGGTAACACAGGTGTGTCATGCAGGTGTGTTACAGGTGTGCAGATAATGCACTGCAGGCATCAGTGTACATGGAACTGATGCTTCAACTGTGATAGAGTAGAAAAACAGAATGTGCTTGTGTCATATGCATAAGCCCCCCTTTAAAACCACAATGCCAATGCTGAAGAGGGTACCTAACACCTCTGAGACAAATTAATGAATGATTAACTAAAAATCATGAACTTTTGCAGTTTTATATTTGCAGTTTCCTCTCCACCTCAAATTCATGAACTCACCACAGAATTGTTTCAATAGCAAATTCAATACACTACAAAGACAACCCTTTCCCTCGTCCTACATAGTACAAAATGAACCTATTACTTAAGTACATGAACTCACAGTACGTTTATTTAATTTTCCAATTAAACTTCATCCGATAATCAAATGTTCCCATGATGTCCTTCCAGATGATGCTGAGAGCCGACCATCTGAAAAGTTGAGTCTGGAGAGACTGAAGGAGCAGGCTGCGTACAGGGACTACGTCAGGCTGGGTCTGGGCTCGCTCAACGGGAGCCAGGCACGGCAGAAAACTGAACCATTCAGAATATCACAAGCAAACGTCAAGTATTCTACTTGCCGCAGGTCAGTGATAAAACAAAAATTATTTTTAACCTTTTCCTTGGTTCCTAATAAGAGTGCATCATTCAGAATATCGTGAACAAACGTTAAGTATTCTACCTGTCGTAGAGGAGTAGAAGATCTTTATAGTACAGGGCAGTCTTTAGGGAAGAAAAGTAATGGATGCCACTCAAAACATCTGGAATTAATCCCCATATTTTATCCAGTAGTAGAGTTTGGATTGTCCATGTCATGTTGAGTATCATTTGCCATGATTTCTAACCTCTATTAACAATCACAAATACTGTTGAATACAAAAAACCTTTTCATGGAGTGTACCATTGTTACCATTGAATTGTCACTGTCACAGTGACAGTCATCAAGACCCTTAAACAAATTTTAAAATATATTTTCCTATCATTAAAAGTGCTGAATATAGTGTTCAATTAGTGTGTTTTACAATTTAAGAAGATCCACTTGCAACCAGATTTTGAACTTCAAAAGATATTAACATTTTGGATTTCTATTGTCTTAAGACAGTGTCAGACAGACTAGAGTTGTTAGTTTTTGTGCTAATTTTGCTTTGTCAGATGAAAGTTGTAGTTTTTGTACTAATTTGCCTCCTTACCTGCCCCCAGTTACCCCGCGCTGATTGTGGTTCCCCAGTCAGTGTCGGATGAAAGCGTGAGGAAGGTCGCTCGCTGCTACAGACAGAGCCGGTTGCCCGTGGTTACGTGGAGACACCCCCGCACACGAGCAGTCCTGATGAGATCGGGAGGGTTCCACGGGAAGGGTGTGATGGGGGTTCTGAAGTCAGCACAGAAGTCAGCGCAGCTGGTACAGGCTCCACAGTCAGGTAAGGTTTTGCACAAGCTTGCAGGCTTCTGTAAAAGAAGGATCAAAGTGTTTTGAAACAGTTTATCTGGTTCGAAACTCAAGCTATGCAATCAGTGACAGGCATCTAAGATTAACACTTCTACAAAAGAGGGATCAAGGTCTAAATGATGTGAATCTTAAGCTCAAAAGTAGATGTTTGTTGTTTTTGGTTTACAAAACATTTCTCAAAAGGATGTAAATCTTAAAGTGTTCATAATGGTAATCGGTTCTCTCCGTCTCTGTGGTTTTCTCAGTCCCTCCACCACAATATCATGTCACTGTGAATTCGCAATTCCATCGTATTACTTCATTTGTGTAGAACAAAATTGTTTCAACCAATTCTTGAAGATTCTCTTTCCCCTCTTTTCACACAATTATGCCTAAGACCATGGGGAAACAAGTTAAGAGTATTTCCCTTGCCCCCAGGTGGTTCGTCCGACACCTCCAGTAGTGTGGAACAGGAGCAGTACTTCTCAGCTCTGGTGTCCGCCACCCCCGCAAGTCGCTCTGGTACGCTCCGACAACTCGACCTTTCACCTTCCGAGTCGCTCACGTCGCTCTTCACCGTCAGGACCAGCGACCAATCGGATCCCTCGACGCCGGACAGCCAGAGGAAGGAGGCAGCCAATAGGAAGCTTGCGCCAGTGCGCCAAGGTTCGGGCAAGTCATCCAATAGCAGCATTAGCAGCATTAGATCAGGTGAGGGTTATATGGGGTGGCTTTAAGTTTAACCACTAGCACGCTGAGGGAGTCATCTGGTTGCCAGTTTTTCATTGGTTTTCATTGGTAAAGGTCAACCTTTAGCACACAAAATTCTCTATTGATTGTAGGGTTATGCAGCAGGGAGAAAGTTAACCTTTAGCACTCTAAATTCTCTATTGATTGTAGGGTTATGCAGCAGGGAGAAAGTTAACCTTTAGCACTCTAAATTCTCTATTGATTGTAGGGTTATGCAGCAGGGAGAAAGTTAACCTTTAGCACTCTAAATTCTCTATTGATTGTGCGGTTAGGCAGCAGGGAGAAGGTTGAAGTTTCTTAATGTTTGGCCATGACTTAATCAACAAAATTGCCTGTTTTCCTAGAGAGCTTACTAATTATTATTCTGAGACAATTTTTTGGACCATGTTAAACTTCATATTAGATGCTATTTGAGAATTACGGTAGTGATGTTTTTTTTTAAAGCTTAGACAATTTACAAATACATGACAGTCACTGTATTCTGATGATGAAGTAGAAATAGAAGTAGAAGTAGAAAATTTTGTAAACATTTTGGAACATGAATTGCAAACCAGTGCAAGAGTTTTTGGCACATCTTTGAAAAGGGCATGTCTTTAGAAAACTGTTTCCATATTGTACATTTTTTTTCCATGCTGTCCTCTGTTAATTGATCATAATATCACTTTGTATGGCATCACAGCTAACTAACACATGCACATTATTGCTTCATCCACTAATCATGTCTCATATGTAATCATATTCATTCTGTAATCGTCCTACAGCATTTTGTAAATTACTATTAATACTATAGTTTAACTGCTTGCTGTTCTTTTTAACACAGCATACAGATATTGCAAGAAATGTCACCAGGCACAAGTCAAAAGTGTTTTATACCTGGCATAAAGTGGCTTCAGTCTCAGTTGCAAAGTGGTTCAAAGGGTTTTGTAAAAAATTCTACTAGGAGAGAAAATATTAGCCTAAACCAAACTAAAGTTCTGAAAAAAGCAAGGATGTCATTCAGTAAAAAATATCCGTAAAACATTTCCTAGTTTTTAAAATTCCCATGACATATACTTTTTGCATTGACAGGTAACTCACAGTCACACTGTGCTATAAGGTTGAGAAATGCTGGTATGCTGCTGGGAGCTATAATTGTAACACTTTGGGTTCAACTGTAACAGATGCTTTTGCTGTTCACTAAAGCCATGCTTTGTATTGATAAATTATCATTTTTTCCTAACCAGGTATTATAATTTCCTTTTGTCCAAATTCTGTACTTTGATGAAGTCAAACTTTGTAATTTATGAAGTGGACATTTAATTCCAGATGCAGATATTAGCAGAAAAAGCTTTTGAATTGTGTAACTGAAAACTATTTCTTGTATAAAGAGTCTCAGAAAAATGATAACAACTAAACAAATGATGCTTAACAAAAATTGATATTTAAACACATCTAACAAAGGACTATCTTAGATATTAAGTATACTGTCCTGTAGAAACTTAAGTCAAGTTAACCAGATTTGAGAAAAAAACCTCACGCAAACTGATCTGCACAACGGTAAACATTAAATGTTAAATTTTTTCATCGACAACTTCAGACATTTGTACACGTATATTGGCACAACAGATTACTACAGTAACTGTAGTTCAGTCAACACTAATTCTAATTATAATGGTTTTGCATTGAAATTTTGTATGATGTTACAGAACAGGATTATGTTCCTATGGGCACCTCCTACCTTTGCCAACTCTTTTTTTAAGAGTTAAAGGCTTAAAAGCTCACTTTGGTTACATTTTATACTTGTAGTTTGCTGGTAGAAGTGGCATGACTGTAGTTATGTAGGACTGTTGGATCCTAAGTTAAGGTTGATAAAAAATTGTATTTTCGGCGCTATAAAGTATAAGGACCTGCGGCTGTGTTTGTTTGTGTGTAGGATTTTCTCGTCAATGGAGCAGCTTTCGACACAGTGTGCATCCTAATAAAGGTAACCCGCTACCTCTCAGCCAATAGCTGCCCATCTACCCAGTCTTTCAGCCAATCAAACGTCGAGATAGTTTTTAAAAATCTTTCAGTACTGCTTTTTCAGCCAATGGTAGAGTAGGGTAGTGTTGGCGGCTGGTCTAAGGGTGCTTTGGCATGGCATAATGCATGTTGGAGTGGTGGCGGTTGCGTTCTGTAGTGTCCTGTTTCCTGTTTCATCTCTGTCTGTCTTCTACATTCATTTTCATGACTTGGAGTTAGGTGTGTCACTAACTGCATTGTCCATTTGTTATGCCCCGTCAGTCCCCCATGTTACAGGTTTCACCGTTTAATGTTGCAGGTTTTACTTCATAGTTAAGTTTTGCTTTTAAAATTATTATTATAACTTATTTTTTACTTTTGTTTCATTATTGGTTTGGCTACAGTTTTGCTAGATTGTTATGCTTTTTATGTTCAGTTTCAGTCATAATTATAATTTAATCACAGCCAAATTTACTAAAGGGTTAACTTAACATAGAATCCCCCCAGTTTAATACTCAACCATCACACTCAACCATAGCGTGGTTAAAAGTACTAGTTCAGGTCCAAGATGATCATTACATGTACATGTAGCATCTGTATCAAATTATGTGGCTGTCTCTGTCAGGGTTCAAGCACTGGAACAGCCTTCGCTCCAGCGGGAGGGCGAGTTCGGGAAGCCAGATCGACACCGGGCTGAGACTAGCGTTTGAGAACGGTGCGCTGTCCAAGGATTCTGGAATCAGCAACGGAAGCATCCAGAACATGCACGGCTCCGTGCTGTACGCGTTTGGGGAGAAGTCACAGATGAAGGTAAGGCTTTAGTTTTGTTTTTATTTCTTCAGAAAGAACCTGACTGTGTGTATAATTATCATGGTTATAGCAGACTAAGTGTACAAATGACAAATGCTTCAAATGTTGCCAAATATATTTTACTGCTAGGCAACTGAGAGTTCAAATTTTGTATAATTGAAGACTGCTAGAAATAGAATAAATCATATTCCCTGTCATTCTTATTGAACACTGAAACTGCATGTAGACAAATTGAGTTTTGAGGGAATTTGACTGTATCAAGTTGTCCTGTTACTTTGAAGATACTTTTGACTTTGGCTTAGTAACTGAGTTCATCCTGAGAATGATTGACAGACATTTGCTAACGTCTCTGTATCACCTTTGTATAAATACCGAAATGTCATAACCAGTCTTATCGTCTTTTAGTACAGCACTTTTTTTAACCTTCTCTATGCTTCTTAGCCCAAAACCAATACAAATGTGATGCCATATGGTTTCCTTTGCAGGATGAATGTTTAACACAACTTTTTTACTTCCATTCCAGGGAGTAAAGGCAGACCAGTTTCCGAAGTGTGACTTCATCCCTGTGGATTTTGTGGAGGTTCGTCACATGAAGGCCAGCTTCAAGAAGCTGATGCGTGCGTGCGTCCCCAGCGCTCCGTTCACAGACCCCAACATGGGCTTTCTCAAGGCTGTGGAGGAGTCAGAGTGGCTACAACAGGTACAGGGGAACAACATGCACCCAGGGGGCATGAACACGATTGTGTTAAGCAATTGAAAACAAGACACCAAAGATTTCATACCTCTGCTATCTCAAGCACATTTTGCCACAAAAATTATGATCCATCTTCATCTGGCCCCATACACAACCTTGTGTGGGAGGGGGGAAGGTAGTATGCAGACTCCCAGGCACATTTGACCCACACGCTGCAAGGTCTGCCTTGTCCCTTCAATGACCAGTGTCGGTCATGGGACTAGGTAGTTAGGTAGGCAGGGACTAGGTAGTTAGGTAGGCAGGGACTAGGTAGTTAGGTAGGCAGGGACTAGGTAGGTAGGAAGGGCTGGGTCAGTCATCCCAATGAAGGTCACTTCTACATTTTTTTTTTCAAAGGCAATTCAAACCTTAGTAGTGGATAAATTCCAAGATTACAAAGGGCAATGTGAAATGTGTTTCATGATCTTGGACAGTTACCTCATAGTTATGCATACATTATTTTTTCTCAGACCTCCCACCTGCTCCATTTATCACATTCAGGTGTAGTAATGTGTAATTTTTATTTTCCTCAGATCTCCCACCTGCTGCAGTTGTCAGGTGCAGCGGTAGACCTGTTGGACATGCAGGGAGCCTCTGTACTGATCAGTCTGGAGGACGGCTGGGATGTCACGACTCAGGTGGTCTCTCTGGCACAGGTGCTGCTGGACCCGTACTACAGGACTGTGGACGGATTCAGGGTAAGGGACAATGTCTTGTTGTCATATTACTGGAATCACTACAAAGGGGAAAGGATCAGAAATTTTATTCTAAAAAAAAAAACAACTTCAGGGTAAGGGACAATGTATTGATGACATATATATATCAATGAAAGTTCATCTGTGTTCAACTTGGTGGTTACATGTTTAAAATTAAGGCTTTTGATCCAACACAAAGAATGGTTCTCACCTAGAGCTTTGACCAGTCTTTTTCAGTAGACTGACCCAGTGAGACTTGTCACTTGGCTTCTTCGTAGTGTGATGTCAACACTGGGTCAACTGTATCTGGTAAACGATATTATATTGGCCCCCCGTTGCAATTGAGTTTACCAGATATTCTTCAATAGACTGATCCAGTGAGGCTTGTCACGTGGCTTCTCTGAAGTGTGACATCAACACTGGGTCAAAGGTGTCTCAACTATGACGGCAGCCAATATCGTTTACCAGATACCGTAGATTAGTTTATCATGTTCTTGCAATTAGCCCTCGGGCAAGGATTTGCAATAAACTTTTCTGTATTAGTACCTGAAGATACCATTTCCATTTTTCCATTTCTAACATGTCAATGTCTGTAAACCTGTAGGTTCTGGTAGAGAAAGAGTGGCTGGCATTCGGCCACAGGTTCTCCCATCGCTGTAACCACACCCAGGCCTCTCAGGGCAGCGGCTTCGCACCCGTCTTTCTGCAGTTTCTGGATGCTGTACACCAGGTTAGTCACAAAGCTCCTGGATCGCATGGTCATGGGTTCGAATCCTAGCCAAACCTGACTGTGTCAAATTTATTGTCAAAATAAAAGATGCTAATCACATAGAGGAAGCCCACCACACTTGTAGAAACCTACTCCAATATACGAAGCTCCTGAATTGCTTAGTCATGGGTTCGAATCCCAGGCTCTAGGTTCTAAACCCTGCATCAAAGTTATTGTCAAAGTAAAAGGTAATGCTAACCGCATAGAGAGAGCACGTAGACACCTACAAAAAGATTATTATATTATGTCTTCAGTTATGAATGTCTAGTTCATTATAATATGTCAGGGGACTTCGGGGCCCTATATTGGGAACCCTACAAGTCAGTACAATGTAACCCCTTTAAGTGCTGATTTTTGTATTTTATGATTGATTTTGTTGCTATTATTCCCTCCCACAGGTGTTGCACCAGTTCCCGTTGTCCTTTGAGTTCAACAGTTACTACCTGAAGCTGCTGGCCTTCCACTCCGTGTCCGGCCGCTTCAAGTCCCTGCTGATGGACTCAGAGTACGAGAGACTAGAAGCCGGGCTGCTGACGGACAAGGACAAGCACAAGGGCGTACATGGAGACGACCCCACAGGGTCGCTCAAGGGCGCGGCGAAGGATTCTGGGAAGCACGCGCAGAGCCGTACGATCTGGGACTACATCAGCCAGCTGCACACGTCCTCGCCGCTGCTCTACAACGTCAACTACCAGCCACAGCAGGAGTCTCCGGTATGGGCATCTATTTAGAGTAACTTTTGAAGAAGTTCTTTCACCTAGAGCTTTCGACCAGTCACTCTGGTCTTCCTCAGTAGACTGACCCAGTGAGGCATGTCACGTGGCTACTTTGAAGTGTGACGTCAACTGGTTGAAGGCTCTAGGTGAGAGAACTTCTTTGTGTTGGATCAAAAGTTTTAATGGTCCCAGATAAAGAACAGTTTTAGATACAACTTCTAAGAATAGCACATCAGTAGAAAACTAGCTCGTTTTTAAAAAAATTGTTCACCATGTTATTCTGAATTCACAAGGAAATGAATATGGTGACTGAACAAATTTTTGCAAAAATTTTATTTTGTTTTCATTGACAAACTGGTGGCTATAATTTTCTAGATATTTGAACCTGATCCACTTCTATGAATAACACATTTCGTTGCTGGAAATTGAAGTAAAGAAACACAGGTTTGTATACGTCGATGAAGGTTAGACATCCAGGTAATACGATACGCCAAAAGGCAGTTACTCAAGCGACTGGATATGATTTTGAAAACGTCATGTTCAACGTTGACGTTTTCAAAATCATATCCAGTCGCTTGAGTAACTGCTTTTTGGCGTACAGGTTTGTATACAATGCAAAATTAATATCTATTTTCGATTTTAATTAGCAGGTGACCATCATTTTTGGTATAAGCCAGACGTATCTACAATCATCCTTCAACATCACATATTTCAAAGGTAAACCAAAGACAGGAGGTTGAAATTTCATTGAAAATTCATTGATCTTTTCTCCCTTGTGTTTCCTAACAGGTGCTAAGGCCGTACTCCTGTATCTCCAGTCTTCGAATCTGGGACTACTTTCTGGAAGAGGACCTGTCATCTGGCCAATCATACGACAGAGAACTGATGGCTCTGGCCGTACAGGTGAGGTTATCATAATTGTGTCGTCTTTATATGGCGTGGCTTTCTTTTTTAAATCTTAATGATTAAAAAATATGACTAAATGCAATACTCCAAAGGTGCTACATGTATAAAGTTGCAAAATTCCAACTGATATTGTTTTTTTAGTGTATTTAGATATTCATACTATTGACTTCATTGGAAAGAAAACACAATTCAAAATAAAAGTAAAGATTTGAAAATGTCATTTAAGGATGAATGGATTTACCATGATTTTATGTCAACTCTTCAGCATAACCTTTAATGCACCTTCTCTTCGTACTCATTAGTCTCTTAATTTTGGCTCATGTCTTGAACTATTTCTTAACTACATTGCTGCAGTAACTACGTTTTTCTTGCATGGTACACACTTGTAATCAACAGTCCTCGCTTTAGAGTACACTCTGCATGACTTCACAGGTGCCCATGGTGCTTTCAATTTTCTGTTATTTGCTGTATTTAGATTACTCGGTTATTTAAGATTTGCTCCTCGATAGGTACCTTGTAGTATAGATGTTCTGGTGTGAAATGGCAAACATTATGTCTGCTAGTTTGAATTTGCTGTCCTGACTACTGGTAAGGTGTAGGTAGGTCCTGTCCTTTGTAATCACATTAACATGGTGGGTACAGTTGTTGGGAACCTCTGACAGGTGGTCTGTGGTTTTGGTTCTCTCCCTAGCCATTTGCTGTAGTGCTTTGGTTGATCATTGAAACAGAATCCTAACATTGTTCATGGTTTGAACATTGTAACTGAAGTGAACCTCCCTCACATTGTACATTGTGCTTGTCTGGTTTGAACAGTGTAACAGGAGTGGAGGTCCCTCACGCCCCGATCGCAGAAGGCATAGTCGAGTGAGTAGAATATCACACAAAAAAACAACTGTCACCATATCAGTATCACTGACGTCCAAGACTTGCTTCTGGTGATCGTAGTGTCATGACCTTTGACTCTTGGCCTCTGAACCTTCGCCTATGCCCTCAATTGTACACTGACTGTCACTGCATATTCTGCCATCTTCTTCACTGTTAAGCTTTTCACATCTTAAATTGGCCATTTATGTTCCTGTTGTAGTTGATTGTTGGCCCAGACCTGTTTCTGAGACTCAGTTTTTGACAGGCTTTGGTCAGACTGTTTCAGTGGCTGGGTAATGTTGAGCGTGACTGTATACTGTACAACTCTTGCAGCATTCTTTGCTATATTCCAATTTTTCCGCTTTTCTTCTTCTATCATACTATGTCAATAATGTTACATCTTATCAATGTCACACCGCTGTTAGGGTTTAATCGTTCAAACGTTCTTCTGGTTTCTGTCATTCAACAGGACAAACTTTGTGCAATGAACTGAAGCCACATAACATAAAACACATTTATTTTGGCTGACAGACCTACTAATAATAATACCCAGGGAACTCCCATGTACCATTATCTTTTAGCTCTCTAGCCAGTAGGAGACCTCTTGACCTTTGACTCTTGGCCTCTAACCCTTGCCCTCTGCCCTCTCTGTACAGCAGCATGCAGAGGAGGTGCCGGAGGAACAGCTGTCGCCTGTCAGCAACCGCATCATCGTCAGCGCCTGCTACGACAACATCAACCAGCACCAGCCAAACATCCTGGAGTGGCTGCTCAAGGTGAGGAGTTCAAATCCGTTTAAAGTTTGGGGTTGCTTTCTTCACTGCCAGTCATTTGAACAAAATGTGTGTTCTATTTGGGGTCGTTGGCCTGCTATGACAACATCTTCCAGCACCAGCCCAACATCCTGGAGTGGCTGCTCAAGGTGAGGGGTGTCTAAAGGTTCAGGGCTCGAGTCCATTGGTGATTGTTGGCATTCATCACCAGCAGTCATCAGAATGGAACGCATGTTCCATTTGGGATCACCAGCAGTCATTTAAACAGAACGTGTGTTCCATTTGGGGTCACTTGCAGTCATTAGAACAGAATGCGTGTTCCATTTGGGATTCCAAACAGAACAGATTGAGAATGGGATTTAATCACCATTGGTAAAGCTATGATGTCATAACTTATAACATCTTTGTCTATAAGAAAACAAATGTTATTCTTGATTATTCTTGATATCATTTTGGCTTCTGCCTTCCCCAGGAGAGCCGAGACCTGGAGCAGGAGCTGGGCCACCTGCCGCTGAAGTGGCGTTTCCTGTGGGACAAGCTGGAGGACAACTCCTGCACGCCTCGTCCCAGGAAGCCCTCCGTCAGCACACAGCTGGTGCGCGCACACGGGATATCTACTCACAAGAGGGCAACCATCGAGGTGCTGATTAAGGTATGGGAAACTACAACAAAACTACTGAAAGATGAATGGAAAACATCAGCAAGTCTGCATTATAAGCGTTTAAAGATCATCTTAAACTGCAAGGTTATTTGCATTAAGTCTCCGCAAAGCAAAGTTCTTCTACCCCCCATTTACATCATGGGACAGATCGTTGAACAGGTTCCCTTCTATACGCACCTGGGCGTTACCGTGCATCAGACCCTTCGTTGGACAGAGCACGCTCAACTCACCTCCAGCAAGGCCAGGAGAACACTGGGACTACTGTGGAAGCTCCGTGGCAAGCTTTCCCAAGAAGCCCTGGAACGAGCTTATTTCATGCTTATTCGCCCTAAGCTGGAATACGCTTCTATTCTTCTCACCAACATTACTGCTGCCGCATCTAAGACCCTGGAACGGGTGCAGTACCACGCAGGGCGCCTTGTCACTGGTGCTGCAGTCCGCACACCTTACCTAGAGGTTCTGCAAAGGCTCGGGTGGGATAGTCTGGCGACCAGGAGGGACTACCATCGACTAGTCACCATGTATATGCTGGTAAATGGTCCCGTCCCAGCCCATCTCCAGCCACTTGTGCCCACTACAAGAGTTGCAAATAGCCAATCCCAGCTACGACTGCGGAATGCCCACCACCTGCACATCCCCCGGAGTAGAACAAACACCTACAAAAACAGTTTCTTCCTGTTCACTGCACGCCTGTGGAACCGTCTACCCAGTGAAGTCACAGGGTCCGCCACAGTTAGAATTTTCAAGGCCAAATGCAGGAACCACCTCTCATCAGATTACTAACTTTAAACAACTTTTTAACTTTTCTGACTTTCCAACCGTTCCATCTTTCCCTTCCACTTTTGATTATAGATATTATTATGATTACTATATTAATTTGATGATGATGTGTCTTTGATATTGTATAATTGCATTGTTATGTTTTGCTATTTTGATATTCGTTCTTGTTGTTAGGTCCTGTATATTGTATTGACTTGTCTTGTGTTGTGTTGTATGTATCAGTGGCAGCCACCACCAGCCATCTGGCTGCCTGGCTCCCACTTGTAATGCATTGTTGGCATCACCAATAAATGAAATGAAATGAAATGAAATCTTCTCGTCTTTCAGAAACTAAGAATGTTGGTCACATTTATCAGTGTTGTTTTGCTTTCATGCAGAAAACATAAAATTTACTAATTTGATATTAATTTTTGATACATTTCCCTTTGTGTAAGCTGTAACTTTGACCATTAGGATACCTCTACATTTATCCGCAGAAACTTTTACAAACTTACACTTCCATCGGCATGTACTACATGATATTCTGTTTGACACTTTTGCAGGGCAAGTTGTCGACAGGAGCAGAGAAGGCCTTCACGCACCCGCACAGGTTTGAGATGGCGTCCTTCCCCACCCCGACGTACTGTGACTTCTGCAGCCAGATGCTCTGGGGCATTGCCAAGCAAGGTTAGTCATTAACTAGTAATAACTAACTAACCCTAACCTTCCCCACACCGACGTACTGCGACTTCTGTAGCCAGATGCTCTGGGGTATTGCCAAGCAAGGTCAGTCATTAACTAGTCATAACTAATCATTAACTAGTCATTAACTAGTAATAACTAACTAACCCTAACCTTCCCCACACCGACGTACTGCGACTTCTGCAGCCAGATGCTCTGGGGCATTGCCAAGCAAGGTCAGAAATATTCTATAGCACAAAGATTTGCTTGAAATCATCTTGGGGGCTGTATATTCTATTAGTAAAGTGAAGTTTAGGTTCAATATGGGTTAGCATCAGGGTTCAAGCGTTAGGGTAAGCTTCGGGGTTTAAGCAATAGGGTTAGGGTTGGGGTTCAAGCGTAAGGGTTAGCCAGTCTTTGGGTTAGGGTTAGGGTTAGGGTGAAAACTAACCAGTTGCTGTTTCCCCAGGCTTGAGATGTGCAGACTGTGGGTACTCCTGCCATGAGAGGTGTAGGGAGATGGTACCAAAGCATTGCCGGCGTGTCCGTGTTAGGGTTAGGGTTAGCATTAGGGCTAGGGTTAGGGTTAGGGCTAGGGTTAGGGTGAAAACTAACCAGTTGCTGTTTCTCCAGGCTTGAGATGTGCAGACTGTGGGTACTCCTGCCACGAGAGGTGCAGGGAGATGGTACCGAAGCACTGCCGGCATGTCCGTGTTAGGGTTAGGGCTAGGGCTAGGGTTAGCGTTAGCGTTAGGGTCAGGGTTAGGTTAGGGGGTTAGGCTGAAGGATAACCAGTCCTTGTTGCTGTTTCCCCAGGCCTGAGGTGTGCAGACTGTGGGTACTCCTGCCACGAACGCTGCAGGGAGATGGTACCGAAGCACTGCCGGCATGTCCGGGTTAGGGTTAGGGTTAGGGACTTAGAGTTCAGGTTAGGGTTAGACTGAAGGGTAACCAGTCCTTGTTGCTGTTTCCCCATGCAGGCCTGAGATGTGCAGACTGTGGGTACTCCTGCCACGAGAGGTGCAGGGAGATGGTACCGAAGCACTGCCGGCGTGTCCGTGCCCTCGCGGACGGAGGCGTGGGAGGAAGCATGGTGCGACTGGACTCGGAGTCGGACATCAGCAAAGCTTCGTCCACCTCCATGGTGATCCAGGGTCCGTCGGACGGGACACTGTACGACCAGTTCTCCTCAGCAAGCGAGGAACACAGGTGGGTGGTAGTGTCACTTCCTAGGATACTGGAGTATTGTTTGGGTGGGATGTTTGTGAGTTTGTATATTTTATGCTTGTCTGGACACAGTAGGTTGACAGCACTGAAAACCCAACATACTCCGGAAGTCTCCATGAAGTTTGATGACTCCTTGGTGGGAATCATAGTGCCAAATAATGCCAAAATTTTGTTAGATACAGTCATATAGTTAGAAACAGTTTTGCACACATCAATATTGAAGTTGAACTTCTTGATATTTGCATTGCATGGTTTTACATGATACTTCCTCAAAGGCATTAGGACAAGTATCTTTTCACCTTAGATCTAGACAACCAACAGAAATAAGGGTATGTATTGCTTTTGCTAAAATGTGTTTCTGTATTTCTTCAGTATCCACGAGGGTTACCTGTACAAGAGAGGAGCCCTGCTGAAGGGATGGAAACAGAGATGGTTCGTTCTGGACTCCAACAAACACCAGGTAGGGAGGAACTCTTAGTAAGGATCCGTGCATGTCATGCCCAGACTCCATATATACGCACTTAGGTCAATATATTGCAGTGCGTTACAAAAGAGAGAAAGGATTGTAAAAGATAGAAATGCTTAACGTACATTGTGTCATACTCCGTTTACATTCATCATGCCTGTATTAATGGTTTCTTATCAAAGACATAGACTTACTGTACTGATCAGATTGTCATTGTTGCATTACATTGTACATTGTACCATGTACAACTTTCCAGCAATAGAGTTCATTCATTCATTCATTCATTGCAAGAATAAAGGAACATAGTATTGCCCTTTTGTTTTGAGACTACTCAATGTAGTCATGTTCATATTCCGTCATAAAAACTTTTTTCACTTCACCCCACCACCCCAGTTGCGGTACTATGATGCAATCCATGACCAGCACTGTAAAGGGTTCATTGACCTGTCAGAGGTCGTGTCAGTGACCCTGAGTACCCCCCTGCCTGGGGCGCCCAAGAAGACAGAAGACAGGACCTTCTTCGATGTAAGTACTCAAATTTGGTATCTCTTTGTGTCTCTCTCTCTTGTGCCAAGGAGCGGTTATACCAGCTATACAGATACACTTTACATTGACTTTTCTCACTTAAGTCAAGTGAAAATGAGTATTGTCTGTCCTGTATTTGTTTCTATGTGCGGGACGCAACACCAGAAACAGCTGCCTGTGTCCCACGTGTATTACAATGTTGCAATTTCAATAAATCAAATCTAATAAAGAAGCTGGTGTGTTACTCTGAAGAGCGGTTATACATGTACATGTTGTACCAGCTATACAGATACAGATGCAGTACATTTGTAAACTTTGACTTGACTTTTGAAATGAGCAGACATCTAATTATGTTTACCGAAGGAAAACATATTATTTTGATCTGTTTCTTCTTCTTCTGTTCCAAACACTGACCTCTGACCTGGTCAATGGCCTGAACCAGACTGTCTCTCACCATGGTAACTGGTGTTGGGTTACAATGTCATAATAAATGTTGCAATTTTATAGTAGGAGGGATTTAGACTCCTGTCATCATATGAATGTGTTTGAGTAAGAATTAACAGAGCAGACCACTTGCGAAGGTAAACATTATGCATTTGCTTTGCAAATGTTACCTTTCTAGTTCTAACATTTGTCTCATTGTTTGTTTGTTTGTTTGTTTTCCCCTTACAGCTGCGTACAGTGCGGAGAGTGTACAACTTCCTGTCGAGCGACCGGCAGACGGCCCAGGAGTGGATAGACAAGATCCAGAGCTGTATCTCCAGCTGATGCCGGCCTAACCAGCAAACTGTCTCTACTGCAGGCACACGGCAATGGAAAACTCAAAGGGGGCTCTCCTTTCCCCCCCTTAAACCCTCTTCAGTGTTGACAGAAAGGCACAGCTCTTCGAATCTCAGTCAGGGTCGTAGATCAGCATGAAAGTTCATCTGAGTCGGTAAATTACATTATGAAAAATTTTAACTGTTCTCCAAGTCATAAATTTAACTCAGAATTTTAAACCAGAATTTTCGACTGAATCGCTCAGTCTTTCTCAACCTTTGACCCTTTGCTGACGTCACACATGGGAAAAATCACGTCCACAGCATTTGGGTCAGATAGCTGAGGAAGACTGAATGATTCAGTCGAAAATTCTGGTTAAATTTATGACTTGGAGAACAGTTTAAATTTTTCATAAGGGTCCTAGATCTTTTCCCCCCCTCAAACCCCTTCCGTGCTCTTGAAATTCAAATGTTCGGAAGTGAGTTAGTGCCATCTGTGTAAAGGGGAAGACACGGCTCTTGAAATTCAGAGGTTTGGAAGTCACTCAGGGTCGTAGACCTTTGACATCAAATCCTGTTCTGTGATTGGTGCAGTTCTTGAAATTCAGAGGTTCGGAAGTCAGTCGAGGCCGTAGACCTTTGACCTCAAATCCTGTTCTGTGATTGGTGCAGTTCTTGAAATTCAGAGGTTCGGAAGTCAGTCAGGGTCGTAGACCTTTGACCTCAAATCCTGTGCCGTGACTGGTGCAGCTAGCTATGGGTCAGAGATCAAAGTTGGCACACAGTGTTCTGTGTAAGAAACTGAAAAGTCGTTGCGGGAACATGATTACTGTCAAATTTGGGTTGACCAATGCTCACTGTGCCAAGCCATGGGTCGCAATGGAAGATTGGAATTTTGACGAAAAAGTGAGGCATCCTTTAACCCTCCCCACTGCTACAGGCTAAAACAAGCCACATACAACACAGCAGGGTTGAGCAACACAGTTTTACAGGGATACAGTCTTTTACACTGGAAGAGAAACAAGAGTTACAGAAACTGGAAAGTTTGCCCTCCTTTGAGTTTTGCACTGACCTGTGCCCACTGTGTTTGTAGAAATGATTTCTTTTTTTAATGTTGCATGCAAATGAACAATCTCATTTGCATTCTGGAGTGAATAAGTGATATAGGGCTGTATAATAACTAATAACTTACTAATACCCCCCATATGGGAATGGCGCGGTCTGTATGTGTCTGAACATTGAGTACATATTGTCGGGCATCGGACAATGCCATTACAAGTGTAAAGGGGGGAGAAATGTGTTCTTCAACTCTGCCACGAAGAGTTTAAAGTTTTGTAGGTAGGAATTACAGGAACTGTTACTGAATCATGCTGTTGTTTTTTGCTGTACATTAAGGACAAATTTCTCTCGCTGAATTCGTTAACGGCAACGTTTCTGAGTCGCTGTAGCATAGTTAGCTGTATGTTTTTGAATATCAGAAACGGTGCGTTGTACATTGAATACATGTGGTTTGGAGGCAGCCATAGAATATTATTGCTTCCAGATGAACTAGCAAAACTCTTTTTAGGGAACCCAGAAGTTCACAGTTCCAAGCCATGCCCATATCTGCATGGCTCGGAACTCAAAGAAAGAGGAATAATTGTGACTACAGAAACTTCTGGACATTGGTCATTTCTAGGTAACATGTGTGTCTTACGTTCACATTAGGGAAGTCATGTTTTCTTAAACCTGAATGCACCACTGCGCTGAATCTAGCCTATCAAGGAATATTGTGTGACATTTTTTATGCTGCCAATTTAGTGTGTTTTCCTGGTTTGATAGGAAATTATTTTTTCAACTTTGGAAACAAAAAATTCACTGTTCAATGGAACACAAGAATGGACATGGCCACAGTCGATTGGTGACCATCCTAAATTTTGATTGGCCACTGGAAAATAGTGTCACCATGACAACTGAATAATCTGCTCTGGTTGACCATTTCAAAATGGCAGTACCATCATTATCATTTACAAGTGCAACATTTAATGACCTTTGGAATGTGGTACCCTGCACATGGAAGTATTTACATAATGGTTTTTGACATTGCTGCCAACATAACAACACTGACCATACCCCCATTTTTTAAAGATCCCCCCCAAATTTGAATGCTCTCAGAGAAAGAAGATATTTTGCCAGTTTAGAGTGTTAGATCAACCACAGCCTGAACCTACATGTTAAAACCAGTTTGCAATAAGTTTTTCTTATAAATTGTGTTTTTGTGTAGTTTAATTTGTAAATAAGCATATTGGCCGTCTGTCTCCTTTTGTGGAAAGCTAGAAGCAGAGAGCTAGATGCAGAGGTTGTATGTGTTCACCTAGGTGCCATGAAGCAAATTCAGGGTTGGACAAGTCCCATTGCCCACTTGCCCAGGGCAAGTAAAAGCACTGTTTGGTCAAGTGAATTTGCCCGATTTGGCAAGTAAATTTTTGGGGATGTGGCATTATGCCCCAGTGTTTGGAGCAAAATCTCTGATTATTTTCCCATAGTGTATTCACATGATATGACTTTTTGTCAGGGAACCATTTGCAAGTCTCAAAGCTCCTTACTTTGGGAAATATTGTTCAAGCCTAGAACAATATTAAGTGCTTTTTTTTTTACTGAAAAAAATTTCTATTGTAAAAATGTATGAAATAGGTCATTTATATTTTGCATTGGGCAAGTGAAAAGTTTGTTCAGGCAAATAGAAATAATTGTGCTTGCCCGATAGGGCAAGTGGATTTTTGAAAACTTGTCCAACCCTGGCAAACCATCTCAGCATTGCAGTCTACATGAGTGGAGTATCTGTAGTATCTGTGGAACTGTAGCAGTGTTAGAAATACTTTTTTGCAGTGTGCTGCAATATTGCAGGATGTCAAAATTTTGTTCTTCAATTCGGAAATACTTTCTGCAAATACACACGTAAAAGTCTGGATCTAAACCCATGGCATATACAAAATTGCATGTTGGCAAACATGCTTTTACATGCCGTTTGAAAAATACCATTTTTTTTTGTTTGTTATAGAGTCAGTAGTAAACACAAAAGCTCTTAAACACCATTGAACCCCAATCCTGATTTTTCAGCCTGCAAAATTGCAGGTTGCTTAAATTTTCTTGTACAATATTAAAAATGTCTCTGCAAAATGCAGACTGCAGATGGGTATTTCTGTGTAGGAACGAGTTCCTTACTTGTGGGCGAATAGAAACTGTCAAAGATGTGAGCACAGAATTTCTTCAACTACATGACATTTTTGAAGTCACGAAACAGCAATGTAATTATTATGTTAATTTGCAATCCTGGAATAGACCATTTCTATCCCATTGAAGACAGTTACGGTAAGATCAAGCTTTGATGCTCACAAAACACTGACTTGCTATTCAGAGAAATGTACTGTCAGCTATCCAGGGTAGATAAATAACTTCTGGTGTGTCATTAGCCAAATGAGTATTACCTTAAGTTCGCTTGCAGTTCCCAACAATTGTTGCAACAAAAAAGTAATGGCAAGTGTCCATGTTGAAAACTGTGATGCTGTAGTAGAAGAAGCGCCGCCTGGCAGGGGTTGACAGAACTTCACCGGCGCTGCCCGTAATGAAAATGTTGAATCATGTGCCAGAAACTCCTTGTAAGGAAAAAAAGAAACTTTAAGAAATTAGCGAAAGAAAGACTGTAGAGAGTTAAGAAGGAATTTCTGCATAATTTGTAGTATTTCTGCAGGAGATAGGCCCTGTGGAATGTGATGTTTACTGGTGTTTACGTTTGAACGATCATGTTTATTTACGTGTACAGACTCGTCGACAGAAATTTTCTGTACATTTTGTATCATACATCAAAGAAGTTGTCATTTTCATGGGGAGACCCGCGTCTGTTGTCTTTTGTCTGTTCGTCTTTTTTTATTCCAACATGTAATCACCAGACGTGGTGACGGCACACTCAAGTTTTTTCAACTTATATTAATGCCGCCACCAACATAGAACAAGTACATGACAGGACAATACTCATTTTTACCTGAGTGAAGTGAGGAAAGTCGTGTAAAGTGCCTTTCCCAAGGGCACAAGATCGGTGGCATGTCAGGACTCGAAACCAGGACCTCTAGGTTCCGAGTCGCGCACTCTGCCGCTACGACACACGGCCACACGGTGTCTGTTCATCTGTGTTGGTAGTTCCACATTAAAAGTTTAAACTTTTGATCCAATGCAGTAAAGTTCTATTACCTAGAGCTTTTCGACCAGTCACTCTGGTCTTCCTCAAGGCCCATCACCCTTCACTCAACCGCGACGGGGGCCGACATGGTCTACCATATACCTTTGACACAGTGTTGACGTCACACTGAAAGGGGGATTCCTTTTTGCACTGGAATGTTTTCAAATTTTAACTGATAAAAAAAGCCCACAAACACGCCAAAAATAGCCTAAAACCCAAATCAAAAGATAATGAGCTAGCTGCGGCCGCGCCGCGTGCCTGCGAAGCTGGTGTGTTACGCCGAGGTCTGGTTATACCGGCTATACAGATACAGATACAGATACGTACCTCTGCTTGGAGAGTAGGTAGAGGCTACTTCAATGACAATGCAACTTTCCTGAGTACGTGCCGCTTGTACTAAGTTGTAGGCCACACATTTGTAAAACCTCACTCGGCTTGCGTGTCTTGGCATTTATATATAGTGACCTGTCAATGAGACTAAGAGTGGAGGCTGACAAACCTCAGCTGTCTATACTTTCAAAGGTAGACGCGTACAGCTAACAACCATGTTGTTTGCACTATCAAAGTGGCGTTTTCTATTTGATGCTTGTCAACTCTCGACAAATAGTAAGAAGCTATGCGCTTTATTCAGTAGCAAACCTGTTGTTTTAGAACTTTGAATGCACGCAAAAGAGCGCGGTATTTCGCTCTTGTGTTGGAAAAGGTTTGCCTTGGACGCTGGAGCCCTCAACCAATTGAGGTTTACACGGAATAGGAAGTTGTGTGCCATATGTCAGTGATAAGAAAAACAAGTTCCTGGATGTAGTACTAGTATCAAAGCGTTAATTCTATGCACGCCCTCAGCTAGATGCTAAACAGAACTTTGATAGAGCACCCCTCTAACTAAAGTGGTTACGTCCAACCCGAGAAAAATTAAGGGCTGGGGTCAAAACTGGGACAAGGACGCCAGTCAGGCCAAGGAGTATCAAATTCCTCGAAAGGCGACCTTGGTCCCCTTTCAGTACCTTGGTCCCGACCTTTCCAAGGACAAGTAGCATCTTACAGCTTCAAGATGGCCGACCAAATTCAAATGCAAACTTCTCCAGGTACCTCCTCAGCGAGTCGCCAAGATTCCCCGGCCGCCTCCTTGAGCAAGACCCGCGTCTTGCTGGCGGTGTTTGCCGTGCTTGCGTTAGCGGGGCTCGCGGCGGCGATAGCGGTTCCGCTGGCGAACAAGGCCCGAGAGAGACGAGACGAAACCCCGGAGGTACAGGCCAGGAGGATTCTACGGGAAGTTCCCATGGTGGACGGGTAAGGACACTTACAGTATAACCTTCTCCCTGCTACCTAACCCCGTAATCGATAGAGGAGGGCCTGCCCTTTTTCGTAAGGCGTAATCGGGCCTTTTTAGTCGTCGTAAACCGTAGGCAGCCTCACCAAAACTCAACGCAATTCGTAATACTAGTAGTACATAAGCCGGAAAACGTAAAGTCGTAATCAGCTCTCAGACGTTAACGTTATTCGTAATCGGCGGCGAAATTTTTGCGTAATTCGTAATCACTACACCCATGCAGGCCCTCATAGAGAATTGGTAGTAAAACTTATAAGTGTGCTAAAGGATAATTAAGCTAAAACTGCATAATGTCCTTGGCTGGGCTCAACGCCACAAACATGATCTACTTTAACATCATTATACTGTGCTCACAAAGGACTCACGAAGAGTTTGGAAGTTGATCTACGTAGATAAGCTGTCACTGTCAGATGTTTGTGGCATGGCGCCAAGCTTGCGAATCCAAGATCCTAGTCAGTGTCCCCAGAGTCTTCTAGTCTAGAATGCTCCAATGACAGTTTCAGGTGCCTTCAATTTCGGGTCAAACTAACATGTGTATTAGACTTATATATAAGCCAAGAGAGAGAGAGAGATACCAGTTATCAATTTATACGAGTTATTTTGGGTTTGAGTTCCGTGCTGTGAACTCCTTGCTCCAATGCTAGAGCATTTCCGGATTGTGATCGATGATTTGAAACGCGTGATTCAAAACAGGCGTTAACGGTCAGAAAAAGGGCACAAACATTTTACACGCACTAAACATTTTACTAGTGGAGTAAAGTTGTTTGATCGATCGAGCTGTAAACACTGTTGTGAAAATAACGGTATTTGATGACCGAACACTGTCATCAGTGTAAATACTTACATTGGATCCATTTTACATGGTTTAGGGCATTGATAAATCATATTGTCACATGCATTTCTTGAAGAAGAAGAAGAAGAAAGGTCCCATTCCACTCTGTGCAGAGCATCGGGGTGGCGCCCATCTCCGTTTCTTTAGCCCTTGGGCTACACAGTTGTGCAGGCCACTACAGCAGGGGGCTAGTCCGCTGGTAGTGTTGTGTGTTTGACCTTCCCACACTCTTTCTTGAGATGCTCTTGACATACATGTAAAAAAGGGACAATAAATCACATCAAACGCGTCCAATTAGCAGAAAAGTGTGGAGTGTGCTTCGCCAAACGTCAGTTACTGCCTAACGATAACTAAAATCAATTCTGACATGCCAACACATTATGTATGATCTGCATCAATGGACTGCTACTTCATGAGAATGTTTACTTGTTCACGCTTGAGGTAGCCTCATTTCGCCCTACCTGAACAAATGTACGCGTAACTGAAACGTCCAGGTTTGACGGGCCCCACAAAAGACCTGTCCGACTTTTTGTGTTCAAGACGACAACCGCTAATAGTAATAGGGTGCCGCTGGCTAGCTTTGCGCTTCTACGAGGGCCTGCAAGCCCTTTTTCGTAAGGCGTAATCAGGTCGTTTTAGACTTCGCAAAAATCAACGTAATTCGTAATTGGACATTAGCGGCAAATCGTAAAGTCGTAATCAGCTCTGAGACTTTAACGTAATTCGTAATCGGCGGCGAAAATTTTGCGTAATTCGTAATCACTACCTCCCTTGCAGGCCCTCCTAAGAGATAATTTTGTAGGGGAGTAGGTCCGCTAGAGAGTACATTTTGCCGCTCTCTAGCGGACCAACTCCCTCGGAATGTTATATCTGAGTCTATTTGGCCAATTTCTACTCTTTCCAGCCGCGTCCCGAAGCCTGGTAGAGGCTAGCCGCTGGCCAGGTCACAATATGTTTACATCATCCCCAAGCAGATGTGATGCGGCCTGCTTGTTACCTCCATGAAGTGGAATGTATTGTTTTGTTGTGCCTGTATGTATGTCTGTGTGTGTGTGTGTGTGTGTGTGTGTGTGTGTGTCTGTCAGTGTCTGTCTGTGTCTGTCTGTGTGTGCGCGCGTGTGTGCTTCACATTGAAATTAAGGCAGCCTGGATTGTGATGATATTTGGTAGGTTGGAAAGTCTTGGGAAGACGAAGGCCAAGGCATATTTTTTGGCCCTCCTAGCGGTTTTCTTTGGAGCTGCAACCCATATCTTATTGATAAGATTAAGGTATCACTCCGTATACCCTGACCAAAATCTTAAGAATTACACCTCTAAGGTAGAGTATTTTTTGCTAGCTATTATTATGTGTTTTATGAGTTTTTTCTGTATTGTTTGTTTGTTTTGAAAAGCCACAACAACCTACCTTCGCGCCTGCGCATGGACGCGCAGCAGCTGCTGGAGACGGTTGACCTCACGCAGGACCTGAGGGTCATCTATGACGTCACCGAGAACGACATCCCGCGCCTGCGCCAAGGGCTGTCCGCAGCACACGTGAGTAGTGCCAGCGACGGAGAGTATGTCTTTGTTTATTTGTTTATTAGAATTCACCACAAGTACAAACATACAAGTGGAAGGGAGGACAAAACAGGTGCATTGACACGTTTACAAGTTGTCCTCCCAAACATAACAATATAAATACAGTGCAATACAAATTACAAAGTCGAACAATTTTCGTCTGACCGACCGGCGAACAGTTTCACTTGCACGACTATGACCAAATGATATTAATTATCCGTTGTAACTGACGAATCAGAAATGTTTATTATTGATGATGCTAAGAAGATCCTCATCTCCATAAATAATATCAGTTGTAGTTTCGCAAAAATCGAACTTAAGTTCGCGAAAATGAATAAGGTTAGTATATAGGTTAGTGCAAGTTGCGAAAGAATGAACTGCTTTAGATCATTTCATTTCGTACACCAATAGCGTCTTATTTTAACATCCTTGTTTTAACCCACTAATATGGCGGGCGGTGAGTGACGTTATGATCACGTGAGTGCAAATATCTCCCTGGCGTCTGACGTCACCTGTTCTATCCACAGATGTGGGCCGCCAAGATGACGTGTGACGCGCAGTACCGTGATGCAGTGCGGCGGGGGTTCACACAGGTGGATCTGATAAAGCGCATGGTGCGCATGTACCCGGGAGACTTCATGTTAGTCACGGAGGCGGACGGTAAGGGCTTTACAAAACAAGGAAGAAAGAAAGAAAGAGAGAGAGAGAGAGAGAGAAAGAGAGCGAAAGGGATCAAACGCATGGTGCGCATGTACCCTGCAGACTTCATGTTAGTCACGAAGGCGGACGGTAAGGGCTTTCCAAAACAAGGAAGAAAGAAAAAAGAAAGAAATGACGGAAGAGAGAGAGAGAGAGAGAAAGAGAGAGAGAGAGAGAGAGAGAAAGAAAGAGAGAAAGAAAGGAAGAAAGAAAGAAAGAAAGAAAGAAAGAAAGAAAGAAAGAAAAAGAAAGAAAGAAAGAAAAAGAAAGAAAGAAAGAAAAAGAAAGAAAGAAAGAAGGGCTTTATCTTGACGTATCTTGTGCAACGTTGCATGTTCTTATGATGGTTTTACGTGTTCCATTTGGGGTCATTGTCGGCCATTTGAACAGAATGCGTGTTCCATTTGGCTTTATCTTTATTTACCTGATCAAGCGCATGGTGCGCATGTACCCTGCAGACTTCGTGTTAGTCACCGAGGCCGACGGTAAGGAATTTATCTTTACGTGCACGTTTCGGGGTTGTAAAGTTGCGGAAAGAAGGAAGAAACGTCGCCTTTACGTTGTGTTTTAAGCTTACCTAACGACGCCCTTAAGCATGCATCTAAAAGTCGCAGAAAGGCGCGTGAAGAAGTGAAAATTGTTGGTCTTTTCGCACTTGCGGAAAGGTCACGTTAAGGCAATCTTTAAGTGCACGTTTAGGGGTCTTTAAGTTGCATAATGCAGAAAGAAACGTTGCCTTTACGCTACGTTTAAGACTATAAGCATTTAAGCATCTGAACAGTGGCCAAGGAACGGAAAGAATGGAAGAAGATGAAGACAAAAACAGTACAGCTATGTTTCCTTTCTCTGTAGGAAAGCACAAATATTAGTACCCATAAAGTGAAGATAACATGCTAGCACGTACATCACCTTATGGGGTCCATTCAAGGAGTATAACCTCCTTGTTTCTCCATACAATCTCAATTCTTTGAAACTTTGAAACTTTATTAGAATAACCATTAGCGGTGGGCCCTAGGGTCCACCGCTAGTCTTCCTGGTATTCATACATACAGACAATATAATAATAATATACATACATAGTTGACAAAGTCACAAAACACATCTAAATCAATAACATATTTACAATGTACATAATTTAAAAAACAAACAATCCTGTCGAACAGGTGCTGGTGAGCTACTGATGGAGGTATTTGTGCAAAACGTTCTTAAAGACTCTCAGGGATTGTGTGGATTGCATAACAATTGGAACTTTTACAATATTCCATAATCTGTTGTTTTTGTTGTTTTTCAAATCTTGATGAAACTGCCAGGTATCATGGAGTCGTTTGAGCAGAACAAGATCGGCAGCATCATCACGCTTGAGTCAGGGCACGCCATCGACAGCAGTCTGGCGCTACTGCGCATGTTCTATGACCTCGGCGTGCGCGGCATGACCTTGACCTGGCAGTGTTCGACTCCGTGGTACGTCTGCAAGGTCATGAAATATACAAACTTACTTTTTAATGTCTTGCCAATGTCCCTTGATATATAAAATATTACAATATACTAATCTAAAGAGTACTAATAATCAAATTATGATTAATTATCCAAACCGAACATTGTGGCCACTCTACGATCTTCTTCATAATTGCTGTCCCACCGCTTTGAACCTTGCGAACACGTGACCTAATGAACACGTAACAAAACTATGGCGGGTCAAACGAACAATTATACATGTTGGTATCAAAACTTTCCAGTTACCTTCGACCAATGGAATTCATTTTCGGTGCTAGCTATTTCTTGAAGCATTCGACCTAAGTCCCTTCTAATTTTAGCTAACGCTACATGGCTAATGGTTGAATTAAAGAATGGATAAACCTCCTAAAGTCCTCCCGTTATTGTTGCAGGGCGGATTATGACGGAGAGACGCGCAACCCGAACCCTCCCCATAACGGGTTAACAGACTTCGGCAAGGTAACCTTACACTAGGTTAGAGACGCATAGTCTTTTAGTTTCTCTCTTGTGACACATAAATGACTAATAAATTGACAGACGCTCTGGTTACTAAGTATCTCATACTCAGAAAAGGACAAGAAATAGTCTAGTAGAACTCGCTGCCACCAAATACAGATGGTCACTAACATTGACTCTGATTTTACTAATTTTTTTTTATTTACAGCTGGTTGTCAGGGAGATGAACTCTGTATAATTGTTTGTTTACAGCTGGTTGTCAGGGAGATGAACTCTGTATTTGTTTGTTTACAGTTGGTTGTCAGGGAGATGAACTCTTTATTTGTTTGTTTACAGCTGGTTGTCAGGGAGATGAACCGACTGGGGATGATCGTTGACCTTTCACACGTGTCCGACAAGGTCATGCACGACACGCTGGATATTAGTGAGAAACTTTTATATTTCCTTTTAAAATATTCATCGAGAAAAACAAGAAAAATGATTTTTTGGCGATAACAAACGGAAAAGTCAACCTGTTCTCCAAGTTAGGGAAACTGTACTCACTGGATTTATCGACTAAACGACATAATCGGCTTCTTCAGCCAATCACTTTGAGTGAATGACTTGATGCACGTACGTGTGACATCAACAAAGGTCAAAGTTTGTTGGAAGTCGATATCGCCCCCCTCCATCAGCCAGTAACTTTAAGTATGACACATAGTGTCAACAATAATGCGAAATACATGAGATGTATTCCAGATCCACCTTTGGGTTTCTTACATATGAAAATTATTATAAATAGAGTAAAATGCAGGTGTTGTTTACAGTGTTGTTGTTTTCCGTTATCCTAGGCGAGGCGCCGCTCCACTTCAGCCACTCCGGTGCGTACGCCATCTGTAACACAACCCGGAACGTCAAGGACGACGTGCTGCTCAGGATGGTGGGTAGTCTGGGCCTTTTTTTTATCTTCTAGATGTCTTGTTATCCGTATGTATTTTATTCACCGGGATGGGGAAGGTGTATAAGACGTTGAAGAGCTTTGTTAGAGCTTACAGTTGGTATTTGTATGGGAAAGAGTCGTGTTTAATCGCAATGTCTTTGGAACACTTGGTTTTCCATGAGCCACGTCGGACAGGCAGATCCGAATATGGCGGTTTTAACGTCCATTTGTAGCCCGTGATCCAACTTTGTTTAGTTATATCCCGCTACAATCGTTACTATTTGTTACGGATTAGGACCGAGGAAACCTAGATCCAGCTAATTACTATAAAATATATGAGACGGTCACGATCACTACGTCTACTGTACTATACATGGGGATTCTCTGGGTAGTGGTATTGCCAGCAGTGATGTAGATTTTGCGTATCAAATATGCTCTCATTGTGAAGTCGCCTAAGTCACGAAAGGTGTAAGGCGGGCATATAAGTTTCATTGCAAATGTTAAGAAAGCTTTTAAAGATGTTTTTCTCCATATTTACTACAGAAAGAGAAGGACGGAATCCTGATGATTCCTTTTATAGACGACTTCATCGGCTGCAGATCCAACACAGACACGGACAAGGTGCAGCTGAGCGAGGTGGCAGGTCAGAAATACTAACTAACCAACTATGGACCGCAAATGGAACACGCCTTCTTTTCGAATGACCGCCGGTGACCCTAAACGGAACAGGCGTTCTGTTCTAATGACCGCCGGTGTCCCCAAATAGAACACGCGTTCTGTTCGAATGACCGTCGGTGACCCCAAATGGAACACGCGTTCTGTTCGAATGACCGCCGGTGACCCCAAATGGAACACGCGTTCTGTTCGAATGACCGCCGGTGACCCCATGTGGAACATCATAACAGCATTCAATGTTGCACACGATATGTTTAGTTTACGAAAGCTAATTAAAATGATTAGCTTTGATAATTCCATTCTATATGATAATAACGTTAATGAACTGCATGTTTCTCGGTGTATATACAATGCATCGCTCACTCTATGGTTATAGAAAATCACGGCCTTATATCACACCATAAGCACCTCGCCTCATGTGGGTCATTAACCCTTAATTGATTCATCCACAGATCACTTTGACTACGTCAGGAACCTGATTGGTGCAGACTACCTGGGTATCGGCTCGGGGTTCGACTGCTGCACGAGGTAACCATGGAAACGTTCCATAGAGCTATTGTAGGGATCTGATTTGGTAGGACTAATGGACTGTTTCAAAAATTGCCTTAGTCGCGTATTCTTGACATAATTCGGAGTAACAAACTAGGTGAGCAAGTTTGCCATAGAGAGTTTGACAAACAGGGCTACTCAACGTAACGAAAGACAGGCAAGTGACGCTCTTTTCCAAAAGGGCTTAGACTTATGTGTATGTCCTCCTGCTCCTATTAGAATATTTGGCAGATGCGATCATCTTTAGAAGGAAGAAGTCTGTCCTTTTGAAATTCACCTGTAATCCGGCAGTAATGACACACTGTCTCGTTCATGTCGCAGAGACCTGTTTGCGGAGGGTCTAGAGGACGCGTCCACCTACCCGAACCTGTTCGCTGAGCTGCTCCGGCGCGGCTGGACCGAGGAAGAGCTGAAGAAAATCGCCGGACTGAACCTCATTCGCGTCTGGAAACAGGTGGAAGTGGTACGGAGCAAATCTTGCCTTTTCTACACGTCAGGAAAGAGTTTAAAAATTAAGCTTTAGATGTGCACAGCAAAATCTGCAAGACGCTCGACGTGCATATTCTTCTTTTTTATCAGTCCGCTAGTGGACACACTCACAGTTACACACATAGACAGACAGACACACATAAACACACAGAGAAACAACATGATAATCAGAGATGGCAGACTTCACCCCCTTACCCATAGTAATACTGAATTTCTAATCCTTCCACTGTCCCAAAGAGACAAACCTATATATATAGCAGCGCAGATTGGAAACGACAGAAATCATGACACAGACAGGCAAAAACGAAGGCAAACAAGGCAAACAAAAACTACCTCCTTTGAAGAGAAGAAACAAACTCTCGCATGATGGGCTAGGGTACTAGTTTTATAACTCTTACACCTCAATTCATCCAGGTGCGAGACCGTTTGGCGGCCGCGGGGATGGCGCCGATAGAAACGCTGATCCCGGCAGCGGACACGGCGGGCGAGATCTGCCGAACATGGGTCGACTAGCGCCGAGAAGTGCCAATCATGGGTCGACTAGCGCCGAGAAGTGCCGAACATGGGTCGACTAGCGCCGAAAAGTGCCGAACATGGGTAGACTAGCACGGAACATGCATTGGGTAGACTAGCACCGAATATGGGTTAAAAACAAGATTAGCACCGACTAGGGTCGACTAGCACCGGACATGGGTCGACTAGCGCCGAACATGGGTCGACTAGCACCGAACATGGGTCGACTAGTGCCCAAAATCAATCGGAAGTGTATGATTTTTTTAACACCATAGAAGCATTGCCAGTACTACATGTCATATGAACAAGAATTTTAACGAATGAGGATATATTATTTTGATGATTGTTTGAATATTTCATAATACATTAAGTATATATCTTAAAGTGGCGTCATAGAGGTTTGTATCTATCCTGAAATAAATACAGATATGGATTTGAAATGATTTGTGGCTCTCTTCTTGATGATCATAATTCTACACAATATCCACAGTTACCAGATTGTGGCCTCTACCAAGCTTCAGGGGCAGCTTGAAAGAATAGAAACTGGCCAAATAGATAACATCACTTCTCTGAACGGACCAACTCCCCTGGCATGTTATCGGTCTATTTGGTCAATATCTACTTTTTTCAGCCGCCTCTAAAGCCTGGTAGAGGCTAACCACATAGGGGACTTTGTCGCACTAGACACCCAAATATACGTCTTCCCTGGGAATGAAAACTTTCAAGTTTTAAGTTTTATTAATAAAATCAGCCTTGCAGCCAGTTTCACAAGTCAACCAAGCTGAATAACACTGATTTTTACAATTTTATACATAGCAAATACAAATACACATTTACATTACAATACATGTACAGACACGCTGACAAACATGTTACAAAGCCACACATGGGCACTGAAGTGAAGTCCAGAGAGTCTTGAAAGTCATTACTGCAAGGACTCGTTGTACAGGCATATTGCCTTGTGTAAGAAAGAGTTTAACTTTTTCATTCTTTTTGTACGGGCTGCTGGTACTGTAACTGCAGTTCCATTTCTTAAGGTCCCCCAGTGGCCGTTGTCCTGGCCGGTGGAACCAGGTCATGGAGAAGGTGACCCTCATCCAGCATGTTCTTAAGTAGTTTCACTGCCGCCACCTCTCGCCTTTCCTTCAGCGTTGGCAGAGGAGGCACCTCACGTCTTCCCCCCAGTGAGATGATCCGGAGTGCTCTCCGTTGTACTCTTTCAATCAGTCTTTCCTGCTCCTTGTTACACCCTACTAGTAGTACGTGCCCATATTCAAGTACAGGTCTGATAAGTGTGATGTAGACCTGGACCAAATCTTCAACACTAGTGCCCTGCAACTTCGATGAAAACGTTTCTCCTAAATCTCGCCAGGCGGCGCTGCTGAGTGGTAGCGTTACATGGAGTTCGGCAGGTGCTCTGATGACTTCCGCCCGCCGAGGGGTCACGCCTTTGTCATGCAAATCGCCAACCACAATATCAGGCAGGGCTCAGAGAAACAACCTCCATATTGTGAACTGGGAAACGGGAACCGTAGAGTCGTTCCGTAGGACGAGGCATGGCGTCCTCAGAAGAGTGGGAGCCACTCGACTTTCGGTCGGGGATTGAACATGAGGAAATTAGGAACTTGGTGGCGTATTTCAAGCGGTACCAGCAGCACATGGCCAAGGTTTGCCGGACGAAAGGCGGAGAAGAGACGACGAGAGAATTCATGGAGAACTTGCTCAGGTGGGTGGTCTTGGAGTGGGTTGTGGAGTTGTAGCTGTGCTTTTGGTGCCTTTTCCTGGCCAGTTTTTGTAAATTCAAGATGCAGAGAGTCGTGTATTCTATGTGCGAGGTACACAAACAAGCACAGTGCTTTCAAGTTAGGTTGTTTCTCGACGTTTTGTTAGTTGGGGAGGACAGCGAACGAGTTAACCTTCGAGATCTCAGGGTCTGAAAAAATCTGGTTTGTCCGGTTTCGTTAGTGTTTGTAGTGACATTTTTTTTGCGTGCGTGTCAAAATATTGACTTGGCTTTGACTTGCTACGAAGAAAGACAATGCTATAATGCTCCATACTTAGTAAGTCTTATTACAATGTAACTTTAAGATGTACAGAGGGTGCAGTGATTTTGACAGGCTGTTCCTTATTTTTCCTACCGCCTGGGCGTAGACATTTTACGCCGATTCTTAGAAGTTTACACACCTCACAAGTACCCAGAAAATCGCTGGAAGTCGCACTGGGACTCGTAATAAACAGTACAGAACAGAGCCAGCATATTTAAGCGTGTGTAGCTTAGTGCTTCACAGGTGGTCTCTTAAAATAACACACCTGTTGACGCCAGGGTTAGACCTTACACACAGCTGGATTAATGTAAACAATGCACCTTAAGAGTCTGGTGTATTAAACCTGAGTATTATTTAAACATTTACTGATCTGGGCCCAAAATTGAGGACTGAAAACTTAAGATTTATAAATGATGTAGGCCTGGAAAAAATAATAAATGTAATGAATTTGACATGTTCACTGATTTTTGTTCTTATCTTATAATGTGCAACAAGATGGGGGAGGGGGGTTGGCTTAGTACAAATTTGTCTCTTAGAATTGTTAGATAATATTTAGCAATTAAAACTGTAACTTTCAGTTCCTTTTACGAGTATACAAGTTGCCATACGTTGTACCTGTACTATACTATTGACGTGCAATTGCTTAGGTTCTCCTTTTATAAGTTATTTTCTCCTTCCTTCTCCAGGCTTATCCACAAGTACAAATTGTGACAATATGTTAAGCAATAGTTAAACTTTGTACAACTACTTGTAAGTAAATTGCCATACATGTACGTTGTACCTGCTACAATTAAGTCGTGCAATAAAGTTCTTCCATAAGTCATTTTCTCGCTCCTTTTCCAGGCTTGTTCACAAGTATGACCGCAGGTTTCCCCTGCCAAAAGATTTCCTGTTCTTGAAAGACAACACCTTAAATGCTTCTTTGTTTTTTTTTCTTCATTTTTAAAGACTTACTATTACATCTTCTGCAAGACATTTTATATATTTTGACAATTTTCTTGCTCGTTTTCCAGGCTTGTCCACAAGTACGACCGCAGGTTTCCCCTGCCCAAGGATTTCCTGTTCCTGAGAGACAACACCTTTGAGGGAGTCCTGGACATGCAGCCTTCCCAGTTCAGACCACACTACCTTCATGGGAAGGAGTCAACCCCGGCCTATGTCGTCATTATTCCCATCATGGAGCTCAATGCTGAGGACTCATTTGACATGTTTGACTACATGATCGGCCGGCCCATGCACGGCGGCATCAGGTCAGTGGGAGAAAATTAATACCCATCTGAAATAGTGAAAAACCCTGGTTAGAACCCTATACATACAGCATGTTGGCAGAATGCACTGCGCCTGCGTGAAACCCTGATTTTTCACGGTTTTTGGTCAACGTTGCATCAGAGGTTAGCCCATTGCAGAAGATATTTTTCTGACATAACATTAGAAAACTACAGACAGGATGTTAACCTTACATTATATGCAAATACATCCTTATATGAGTGTCTGACGTTCTGCTGAAGTGATATGCCCAATGGGCTTTGTGGAGATGAATAAGTAACGTTCTGCCAACATTCTACCCACCTGCATTTTGCAGACATTTTCAAGATTGCGGAAGAAAAATTAAGCAACCTGCAATTTTGTAAACTGAAAAAAATCAGGCTTATAGGAGTTGTGGATTCTACCTGAAACGTCTGACCATTTCCAAAATCATATCCAGTTGCTTGTCAATGAGTATCTTTTTTTTCGTATTTCTCCTACTGCAGGTTACTTGACGGTGTTGACCAGTACAAGTGGCGTGACTGTCAGGTCGAACACGAGAGCGGGGGTAACACCTACATCTACCTCTCCTCGGAGAAGGTGTGCGAGTGGTTCTTCAAGGCCGTTTCCGCGGTAGCAAACGAGGCGACGCCCATGCCGGGTCACTCCATGACCCTGGAGCTGAACGGGCCGGTTGTGACCATTTGCGTGGAGGGGGGAGACGCTTGTGACATTGTGTATAACATGATCCCCACCGTGAGGTGTAAAGGCTGGCCCACCGCCGCACAGGCCTGGTGGTCACGCGACCACTACTGGGACTCCAAGGCCAACGCTGAGGTAAGTCTGAGTCGAGTGGCAGTGAATAACTAACAAGATTGGGTTGACAGAACATGGGTGGGGGAGATTAACAGACAGAATGACAGGTCAACAGCCTATGCCGGGGTGGGTCACAGGATCACTACTGGGACTCCAAGGCCAACGCAGAGGTACATGTAAGTTGCAGTCTACATTGAGTGTGTATAACATGATCCCCACCGTGAGGTGTAAAGGATGGCCCACAGCCGCACAGGCCTGGTGGTCACGGGACCATTACTGGGACTCCAAGGCCAACGCAGAGGTAAGGCTGGGTTGAGTGACAAAGCTTCAGAGTATGTCGACTGCTAGTAGGTTGACAGCACATGGGTACATGAAGATTGACAGGCAGAATGACAGGTCGAAATGTCATCACGAAAACCCAAAGTATTTTCCCAGACTCCAAGGCCAAAGCTCAGGTAAGGCTGAGTGGAGTGGCAGTGAAATAACTTAGGATTGGGTTGACAGCACATGGGTGGGCACAGAAAGATTGACAGGCAGAATGACAGGTCAATGCTTAGGTAAGTCTGAGTTGAGTGACAAAGCCTGAGAGTATGTCGACTGCTAGTAGGTTGACAGCACATGGGCACATGAAGATTGACAGGCAGAATGACAGGTCTAAATGTCATCATGAAAACCCAAAGTATTTTCCCAGATTCCAAGGCTAACGTTCAGGTAAGGCTGAGTTGAGTGGCAGTGAATATCTTAAGATTGGGTTGACAGCGCATGGGTGGGCACAGAAAGATTGACAGGCAAAATGACAGGTCGAAAGGTCAGACACAGCAAATGATGGGGTGTCACGAAAACCCCAGATTCCAAAAACAATGCTGTGGTAAATCTAAGCTGAGTGACAAAGCAAATAAGTGGAGAGCAGGTTGTGAGGTTGACAGCACATGGGTGGGGAAGATAGGCAAAATGACAGGTCAGAAGGTCAGACACAGCACATGGGACATGGGAGTATCTGAAGGTCACGAAAACCAAAAGTCAATTCCATAGAACTTAGAAGTCTGAAATCTTGGATTTCTTGTTCTTGCTTGAACTTGTTGTTTTGTAAATTAATATTGTTCAGTCAAAGAACAAAAAGCAGAGATGGCAGACTTCACACCCTTACCCATACCCCCTGTGCAAGTAGGTCAGAAACACAGACAGACAGACAGACAGACAACCCATAAACAATACAGCACTTCCTTGGGTTGAAGCCATGAAATTTTTAGGATGCTGTGTGATAAAAAAATTGCACTCTAGTCTAGCTACAAACAATTTTACCACATAAAGTTTATTTGTCTTCTTTCTACATTTTTGCAGATGGATATTTGGAAACTTGACAATCTTAAGTCCCCAAATAACCCCAGCATTATGCATTCCCTTGAAATAAAATGCTGTAGCAGGAGAAAAACAATTTGAGTCCGACCAAACCTTGTTATCCCACCGGTTCCCTTCTAATGGTTTCCAAGGTTCAGGTTTATTGAATCAGCAGAATTAAAACGTAGTGCCTCATTTCATGTAATTCCTAACATGAGCGGAGACTTGGGAACGTTAAGGTTTTCTGGATTAGGCTACACCAATTTAATTTGTTGGTTCTTGAATTCGCCTCTTCATTTTTTTCTTAGTTGCAAAAAATAGGAAAATAAAAAAATTCTGAACCAACTAAAAAATGCTCATTGTTGCCCCCAACAGTTGAGGAAAGTCGTTTTCTTTCTATTTGTTACATGGGTCCTATTTAAGTATTTGGGGCTATAATAGGATGCCTAAACCTGTCTTTATTTTTATTTATTTTTGCCCTGTCGCATCATATTTTTTTTACAAATCTGAGAACCAACAAATTAAATTCGAATGAAAGCTCATCTGTGTTGGTAGAATACATAGTTAAAGAGTTTGACTTGTTCCAACACAATAAGGAGAACTCACAAATTAAATTGATGTGGCCTAACGTGAGCGGAGATTTGGGAACGTGTCTGGCATCGGATCAGGTCTCTTTAATGCAGTCTTAATTTGCAGGCTCAGGGATTGGGTTTGCTTAGAAGTATTGCTTGGCATCAGGGCTCGAAAATAACTGGGTGCAAAAGTGCTCAATTTTTAGGCATGCTTTTTGACATGATTTGAATGCTTTTTCTGTGAAATTTACCAAAATTATAGAGAGGTTGAAAAAGCAAAACTCAGCTGGTCTTGTAGCTGAAGGGTCTTAGTCCTTCCATCTGATCTACACTCAATTATTTTTCTCCAGATTTATTCCTTTAGGAAGAGAAGGTTGCAAGACTTGAAATTGTGCAGCTACGAATGGAAACCCAAAAATAAACTGTACTTCCAATACTCACACATGCAGGTGTGAGGGCTCAGAAATTTGATATTGATGATGTCCTCTCGTCAGGCATCAGGCTAAAGTTGCAGTTATGCTGTTACAGTGTGCCATTATTGGCAGCAGTTTGGGTATTTGCCAAAAATATAAATCAACCTGCAGCATAGATTTCCAGTGTTGAGCTTGCAATGATATTATAAATGGTTAAACACAAACCATTGACATTATATAGGAATATACAATGTCCTTGCACAAACCAACCAAAAATTGAGTATTTTGAGCCCTGCGCTGGCCAGAGTGATTGAGTTTTGCGGCAGGCTGTGACCACGTAAGCAGTCTAATTGCTGAGTGAAGCGGTGTGTGTTAGCAACAGAACCATGTTAGTGGAGAAATATCGCCACAGAGTGAGACGAGATTGATGAGTGACGTCAGAGGAAGGTCTAAGTTTTGGCCTAGGAAAAAATGGTGTGTTTCCTGTTTCCCGAACGACCCTAGAAAAAACTGCTGACCCTAGACTTTTTGGGGGGGTGGACCCCTGCAAAGGACATAAATTTTTCAGGCTCATCAACCTTTTCTAGCTCAATGATCTGACACCTGAGTGATGAAACGTTGTACAATCGGTTTTCCAACATAATAATTGACATTGAAAATGTGTCCTCATGCAAGTTTTACTTGATAAAGTGCATTGAATAAGTTTGATCACTTCAGAGATTGCCAAAGTCCAACAGAAAAATTAAGAAGAAAAAGAATAATCCCTAATTTTTTTCAGGACTGAAACAGGAAACACAACATTTTTCCCTAGGCCTTAGACTTAGAGACAGAACGATGAAATATTGCAGCAAAGTGAGAGAAGATTGATGCTGGCGTCAGAAGACTTTAGGAGGTCAGGATTTAATTCGTGATGCACGGTTTTCAGTTGCCTGCAATTTCACATAATTTGGGACTAGATTGACTTTTTTATTTTTGTGTTTGAAGATTTCTTCAAAGCTACATGCAGGATTTTAAAATAAAGTAGGTACCATCTGAGTCAGTAGTTGGGCAACATAATATTATAATGATTTACCTGATTCCCAAATAAGCGACTATAGAACTTCTGAAGATCAGGAGGTCATTTGTCCTTAATTTGTGATGCACGGTTTTCAGTTGCCTGCAATTTGACATAATTTGGGACTAGATTGACTTTTTTTATTTTTGTGTTTGAAGATTTCTAAAAAAGCCACATGTAGGATTTTAAAATAAAGTAGGTACCTTGGTTGTTGGGCAACATACATTGTAATATTATGATTGGCCTGATTCCCAAATATGCGACCAAAGAAGATTTTAGGAGGTCAGACCTTAATTCGTGATGCACGGTTTTCAGTTGCCTCCAATTTCACATAGTTTGGGACTCAGTTGACTTTTTATCTTTTATGTTTGAAGATTTCTTCAAAGCCACATGTAGGATTTTAAAATAAAGTAGGTACCTCAGTAGTTGGGCAACATAATATATGATTGGCCTGATTCCCAAATAAGCGATTATAGAAGATCAGGAGGTCATTTGACTTAAATCCGTAAATGGCTTTCAGTTGCCTCCAATATGACATAATTTGGGCCAAAATTGACTTTTTCATTTTTGTATTTGAAGATCTCTTCAAAGCTACATGTAGGATTTTAAGCAAAGGTTTAACCTCTACCCATTTAGGTACCTTGGTAGTTGGGCAACAATCATAATGATTTGCCAGAATCCCAAATATGCAGAAGTAGAAGGTAAATTGTATGGCTGAAATACCAAAATCCTTTAAAATACCCAGTGAGATATACAACAGTTACTATTAAACACAGCAACTCTTAGCAAGTGCAAGAACATAAATTTCCATAACTCTTAAAGACTGCCAACTCCCCTGGCTGCTAGGTAATGAAAAATTGCTCTGCACATTGAGCACATCCCTCCCGTCTAGACCCAGTGAATCAGACCCAGCCCATTTCTCAGCCAATCCTCCTGGAAACTCCGACCTTTTCCATTCAGGGCTCGAAATTCATTTTTGGGAATAGGTACACTGGTGCACCCAACCTAAAATAGGTGCACAGAAAATTTTTTGGGTGCACCATATAAAACAAAACCTAAGTACAGATCTTACTGCTCCTCTTCTGAGCTTGAATCTGAACTTGGAGCTAACTTCAAAATCCAAACAAAGAATTTACTATTTTTCTGACACTTAGATGCCACTTAGACTATCCTGTAGACTATTATACATTTCATATGTACAAAAAAATTGGGTGCACAGCTCCAATTTCGGGTGCACTAAGGTGCACATGCACCCAGTATTTCCAGCCCTGAGACCCAATGTATCAGACCCAGCCCATTTCTCAGCCAATCCTCCTGGAAACTCCCGAACCTTTTCCATTTATCCTGGCTGACGAGAGGACCCGAGACTGTTCCGGAGGAAAGGGCGAGACACGGAGGTCGCAAACCCCCATTTCCTTAATGCGCCCACAGGGTAACAACCGAGCAAAATCAATATCTGACTCACTTTCCCACCTTCACTTCAACCTTTCTGATGCTCACTTGGTGAGACTTTTCATCTAGTCTGAGGCAAGCTTTAAAACTGTGTTTTCTTCTATTTTTTTTCCTAGACACAGGGCAATGTAAGATATAGAGTGCTTACCAAGTAGGTCTATATCTGTGGTTCATGTTCAATGTTGCATAATCTTTTTTTTTATAATGTTTACAGTTAAGCAAAATTAAGAAATTACAAGGTATTAATACTTACAAATGTCACTTTGTTGCACAGTGTGCCTATATAATTTGTTGGGTAAAAAGTCCATATGAATTGCAGGTTTCAGTCTTAAGGTCTTCTTTAAATTTGGTTTTATTGCTCCTGTTTGGATTAATTTTTTCAGTAGAGCAGTATACTGAGATTGTTTGTTCTTTAAAAATTTTAGCAAATTCAATTTTAACTTTATCAGCTGTGTGCGATTTATAGTATAAATTTATCATTTTTGTATAATATTCCATAATACATGAATGATAAAAATCTGTTTGACCCTTTTACTTCCTGTCCCATTACTCTGGTGTGTGTGAGAATTAAAAGCCATTAATCATTAATAAGCATGGATGGAGTGGTGGGCTGGGGGCTGCTGATGGTTTACAAGCAGATGTTGGGGTAGAAGATTGTTACTCCTCAAGCAGAGGTGCTTGTTTTGGCCCTTCTTAGGCATTTTTTTTCTATTATTAAAGCTTTTTTGGGATACTTACCTAAAATTTTTTTGCCTAAAATTTAGTAAGCCAGAAAACCCCAGCAGTTCAAAAAACTACAACAGTTACTGCAGTTTAAAGGAAGCGTAAAATTTGCTTCTTTTCAAATTCTAAGATAATATTGAGCTTAAAATTCAAATCCTTGGGTTAAGGGTACATAAAAGCCAGCATATATTTTTGATGTCATTCTAGATTTTATATATATCCTGCTAACATTACAAAACAACAAGAAAACAAGTACACACAAAAAATGAAAACATACGGAGAGCCTCCTTCATTACATTGTGAACAGTGTTTTAAATTTACTGTTGAAAATAAAAGTACAGAAACCATGTTACTGTCCTAGCTTGGCCTATAGCTGGTAGTAATGCATTTTAAGCAGGTAGTACTTAATGTAGAATGTGAGTTGAATTGAGATAGAGGGATGAAACGCAATTAGAACTCCCCAGGGGGTAAGAGCATCCATGGTTCCTCCGTGAGTTGTCATACCGCTCTGTCATATCTGCAAACATTAGTCATAACTCTTACATCACTCACAAGATTCGTAATTTCTGTTGCACATGTGGTAGCGCCTCCTTTCACTTCAGAGCAGTATTGCAGGTATAAGTATGATATTGTTGTCAAGTGATTTTGTTGGCTGTCATGTGAATGCTTCTTGTATACCAGGTGTTCTGGGGCAGTACCATAAAAAGTTGCTAGGGGGCCATCAAAGTTTTTCCCTATGCCTACCCACATATCATAGATATATCCACAGCTTCTTGAATTGAGATGGAGGAACGAAATGTAATTAGAGCTCCCCAGAGGGTAAGGGCATCCATGGTTCCTCCGTGAGCTGTCATACCGCTCTGTCATATCTGCTGAAACACTAGTCATAACTCTTACATCACTCTAACTCTAAGAGAAAATTGTGATTGGTATAATTACTCAGGTGCTAGCTCCTCCTTTCCCTTCAGAGCGGTACTGCAGGAGTATACTTATGATATTGTTGACAAGTTACATGATTTTGTTGGCTGTCATGTGGATGCTTCTTGTATTATTAATACCAGATGTTCTGGTGCAGTACCATAAAAAGTTGCTAGGGGGCCATCAAAGTTTTCCCTGTACCTTACTCACATATCATAGATATATCCATAAGCTTCTAGAATTCAGATGGAGGGATGAAATGCAATTAGAACCCCTCTGAGGGTAAGAGCATCCATGGTTCCTCCGTGAGTTGTCATATTGCTCTGTCATATCTGCTGAAACCTTAGTCATAACTCTTACGTCACTCTTAGAGAAACTTCTGATTGGGATCTTGATTACTCAGGTGCTAGCTCCCCCTTTCCCTTCAGAGTGGTACTGCAGTTATTGTTAACAAGTTTATTAGTTTTTGTTGGCTGTCATGTGGATGCTTCTTGTATACCAGGTGTTCTGGGGCAGTACCATAAAAAGTTGCTAGGGGGCCATCAAAGTTTTTCCCTATGCCTACCTACATATCATAGATATATCCATAGCTTCTTGAATTGAGATGGAGGAACGAAATGCAATTTAGAACTCCCCAGAGGGTAAGAGCATCCATGGTTCCTCCGTGAGCTGTCATACCGCTCTGTCATAATTCTGCTGAAACCTTAGTCATAACTCTTACATCACTCTTCAAAGAGAAAATTCTGATTGGGATGATTACTCAGGTGCTAGCACCCCCTTTCCCTTCAGAGCGGTACTGCAGGTATAACTTATGATATTGTTGACAAGTTAGGTGATTTTGTTGGTTCTCATGTGGATGCTTCATGTATACCAGATATTCTGTTGCATCACCATAAAAAGTTGTAAAAGTTTGCTGAACCCATCTACTCTTGGAACGTCAGAGACAAAAGAGTACTTAGACGGGGTCAATGGAGTCCAGGGTCGGCCAAAAATTTGGGTCCTAATTCATTCCAATGTCGGACATAAAGTGTAGTTTTCATTTCATAAATCATTTTTTTTGAGAGAGGGAGACAGAGAGAGACTCTAACAGACAGGCAGAGAGACAGACAGACAGAGAGAGAAAGTCTCAGAGAGACAGAAAGAAAACAGACTGAAATGAATCATGTTTTCGTCCATATTTTTGTTTTGCAGGTAGAGAACAATGGTTACCACCTGCTACCGATGTGCTGTGCTGACGGGAACCCAGAGCTGGAGTGGAGACTGTCCTTCTGTCAGGCGGAGCTGGAACTGGCCAAGTTCATCCCTCCTGTCTTCATGCACAACTTTAACGTACTGCACTCTGTCATCAGGAAGGAACTCGCAGGTTGGCCGGCCTTGATGTTGTTAATGTTCCATACAATAATACAGTTACTGAGCTCGTTGATAGAATGTACTGTGCCTGTGTAAAACCCGGATTTTTCATTTTTCTTCGGATGTTTCGTCAAGGTTGCATCAGAGTTTTGTCTGTTGCAGACAAAATCATTCCAACAGAAACATTTGAAAACTATAAACTTGTCCCTAGATTCTAATATTAATTTGTTGCCCTTCTTATTTGGAAGCTCTGCTTCAATTTGATATGTAACATGTTCAAAATGAACTCAATAAATCAATTAATCAATGAAATCTGTCTTCAGGTTCAGCGGTGGTGAGTCCGTACCAGTTAAAAACCATCGTGCTCTGGGCCTGCGACCGGTTGAGACCAGAATTCCTGCGCGACGAAACCTTCATCCCGCTGTCTCTGTTCGGCATGGTGGACGACATCATGCACTGTCTCATCAACAAGTCCTGTGCTAACTACTTCTTACCACAGTACAATATGTTTTTACACTGCAGGTAAGTGTTGTATTATCAGTAATAAAAGCTGGGACAACACCCCTCCACTCTCTGTATTAGTATAGCCCAGCCAAGGTTGAGCACACACATACACTGTACTGTACCACACTAACCCTTCCAGATTAAAGCATCTCAAAAACTTAAAGGCAGTTTAAGATCTCTCTCTTAGCTCGTCAAGTTCAAGATCATAACATGGTGTCAGAAGTGGGATGCCAACCCAACCCCCATTTGCCAGTAAAGCTTTCAACAAACTAATGTAGGTATGGTGTAGGGTGTGTGTGTTATATGGGTGGTTTGTGCTGTCCTTGGTGCTGAACACCTTCAAAAGTGTCAGAATACACAGACTACTTCTTACCACTGTGACAATACAAGTTCCTAGACTGCAGCTAAGGCTTTCAACCGAGTAACATACATGTAGGCATGGTATAGGACATATTCTATGGGTAGTTTGTCTTGTCCTTGGTGCTGAACGCCTTCGAAAGGATCAGAATAAATGAATAATGTGCTGCCATCAACACAGACTACTTCTTACCACTGTACAACTAGTTCCTAGTAGGTAGGTAACTTAAGACAAACTTATATTGGTATGGTTGGTGTGTTATATGGGTAGTTTGTGCTGTCCTTGGTGCTGAACACCTACCGAAGGTTGAATTGTGCTGCCACAGTACAACATGTTCCTACACAGCAGGTAAGGCTCTCACTAATTCTCACCACAGTAAAGTGGCAGGACAGGAGTTGGAGGGACTGGTCACAATATATATGAATGTGTCTGTGTAAGACTAAAGAGCAGTAGATTGCAAATGTTGCCTTTCTCGTATGTAATTCTGTATTTATATCATACCAGGCAAATGTGTAGAATTTTATAATCATTCCCAACAAAGGTAACAAAGTGCTGATGGCTAGACTGTGATATGAATGCACAGCCTTCTGATCTTAAAAGAAAAATCTGATGTACCATTGTGCAAGACATGTACAGTTAACTATTAATTTGTTTGTCCAGTGAAGAGATGATGTTCCCGGTTGCTAGGAAACTGTCTCTCATCAGGACCGACCCTGTTAAGTACATCTACCTGAGGACAGCCGCAGAGTGGAGGGAGACAGGTGAGGTCTTATCTGGAGTCTTCCTTCTTCTTCTTCTTCTTATCCGAGTTTTACGTCTATTGATTCCCCGAATCTGGGGTATAGACGTGCTTGCACAGGTGCGTGTTTGGGCTTGTCATTTTGCCCCTCAGCATGCTGAGGTGCACAACAGCAAGCCTGTGCAAGTCTTTTTTTTTTTAAGCAAGGTTTTCTACTGACTGGATGCTCTTCCTAACGTCAAACTCTAAAGTTTTTGACAGCTTTCAGAGACTGGCTGTATGAGGAAATGTGTGTTAAGTGCCTTTCCCAAGGGCACAACATCGGGGTATGTAGTAGGTGGATTTAGAGTAACAGATCAGAAATTCATTTGGAAAACTGCAGCTTCTTGTTCGTCATACTGGTTTGCTGCTGCATTTTTAATACGGAGACCATGATGCCCATGGATGATTGATTGATTGACAGACAGACAGACATTTGAAGAATAATACATTGTTCTTCACTCCCTTGGGATGAAATGATCTTGCATTTGTCTCAACTTCAAGCCCCACTACTAGATTTGTTCTTTTCAATCTTATACTGAATAGAACAACAAAGGAAAGGATTTTCCCACGACAATTATCAAACAAAGCAATATTAACTATTTCATGTGTTTTCCTCTCAGCTGGAATAGTAGAAGAGCATCAGCAGACAGACCAGAACAGTGACGGGAAAGAATCGCCCGCGAGAAGCCGCCCGAAGGCAGACAAACCCCCGCTCAACGACAGAGAGAGCCGGTTCAGAGACTGGACCTCTCATATCGTTGACGTGAACCAGGGGAAGAGTATCTCTGTTTTCATCGATCCGAACGACATCAGTACTGCACGGGCTTTCCGTATTGACGATAAGTTCTACTGAATTATCTTGAAAGTTCATCTGTGTTGGTACATGTAGAAGTCATTATGAAACAAGATTGAGCTGCAATTTGCAACACAAGAAATTGGAGTCCAATTCTTGTGTTGGAAATTGCAGCTCAATCTTGTTTCATGAATTCTTCTGAAGTTCTGAAGTCTAAGTGAACTTAGAGGCCTTTTTTATAAGATTTTCAGCATAAGAACTCTTAGCTTCCGCCTCCCACAAATGACTTACAAAACTGTACTAGGATGATACTTCTGGAATGTGAATACTTTTATTGCTGATGTCAACCAGGGAAGAGCATATCCGTTTTCATCGATCCAAATGATATCAGTACTGCCCGAGCTTTCCGCATCGACGATAAATTCTACTGAAGTTGGTACCAAAAAGATCTAAGTGAACTTAGTGGCTTCACTTAGTGGTCTTCATTACAAGATTTTTAGAATAAGAATTCAATTTTATCCTCTCGCAAATCTGATCTGCATAGTTTTCACAGCTGTATGCACCCAGTATGACTCCAGAGGATGTAATTTGTGGGTGGTTGGTGGAATTTATTTGGCAACATTTCTTTTTTTTAACTTGAAGTGCATGCACTTGGGCTGATGTTACATTACAAATGTGTAGGGATGTCAAAAGGAGCTGGAGATGTACAATGTAAATGCAAGTGTCCAACAAGGGTTCACCAACACGTGTAATCATACAAAAAATTCTTTGTAGCCCTCAACCATTTCACTGGATTGGATTGATACAGACAAGAACTTTCCAGTTTAACTTACATGCCAGTGCCCCTGATATTATGGTATGCAGGGTGGAGACATTAAAGCTTAGAGAACAACCTAGCTTTTTTAGTAGCCAGAGTTCATGTATAAAGTTTACTGTCAGTTTTATGTTTTTGTGCCATTTACTGTATGTTGTTGTAAGATATAATAGGTGGCCAACACTTCTAGTATCTAGTACTGCTCAATATTAGCTCATATATGCCGCAAAGGTCCCTAAAACGGGTGGGCAGCTGTCAGCTAGTCTTCACACCATGTTTCCAGGCAGCTTTGTCCAGCCGCGAGGCCGCAAACTTAAATACAGTTGCTCTCAAAACACTCCATACAGACCTTCTTCAGCTTGCCACTGTTACCTGGCCACTGACATTCTACAAATGAACTTTCTTTAGTTTCAGATGTTCCACAATAATGCATCGATGTTTTCATAGGCATTTACAGAATCAATATCATGAAGAATCAGTACACATGAATACATGTAGTATTGAAAAACATTCCGGGAAAAAATCTGTCATACATGTAACTGCTAAGTTTTGGTGCTGGCAGTAATACTGTTATCCACTATAATTGTACTTAGTAGAGCACCTTGTACTTAACATGCTCAGTATTTACTTATTTGGTTGACCATAGGTTGTACTATATTTTTAGGGATCGTTTTAGAGTAAATGTAGTAATTTGCTACAGTGCCTGATGGTAAGGTTTGTAGTTTAGTGTCTATCGTGTCTATTCTGTAGGACATTGTAAACATTTTTTCACCAATGTATTTGACCCACTGTAGACCTTTCCCATGCTGAGGTTGCATGTATGTTTAGTAGAGTATAGTATAGCATTTTATTATAGCATGTTCTTGTAACTGTATTTAGTTGTGATATTTTCTAATGAATGTCCTGCTACTTTTATTCTATAAGTAAGAAGAGACGCACTCTGTGCCCTGTATACTAAAACTCCCTGGTACATGGTGTTAGCCTTACAGTAGGAATTCTCTTCCTTCTAAATTTTATACCTGAAGAGTTGGAGAAAAGTGAACCAAATCATGTGGGACTCCTCCACCTAACCTCCATATCTTAGGCTAACTATCCAGTAACTGTTAACATATTCATTGGGGACATTTAAACTACTGTGATATAATATGAACATATAAGTACAATGTACTTACGGTTCTGTATGTGTAAGATAGTAAAAATGTTGACTTTATCTTGCAGACTTTTAAAACGGTATAGCCGGGACTTACTAAGAATACTGTACACCCTTGCCTTATGTACTTAGGACGTCTGCAATCTACTACTAACCATTGGAAAGGAACATAGATAGCCTCAAAGCAGGCCCCTTAGACAATGTTTTATTTATGCGACTTTCTGCTGACGATGTATTGTTTTCAAATGTCTACATTTACACAGAAATATTGTTGACAACGTGTGCCATCAGAGAACAGTAGATGTGCAGCCAAAAAGTGACATTAAAACGTAACCCAAGGGGCCTGATTTTGAGGCTAGAAAATCCACCATATTTTATGATAGTGTGGTAAGGGACCAGTTGTGCCTTTGCTATCAATCTGCACTAAAATAGATGTAGACCTTTTCTAAATGAATCACTCTATAGAGAAATAACATATATCTCATGAGTCTCTTTGTTCAACCATGTCAGACCTAACAGCAACAATTTAGCAGAAATTAAATGTCATTGTGCCTTACAAAAGTCTTATTGGGAAATATTTTGAAGGTCTACTATTAGGGTAAAAATTGATATCACCCTGTATAGCATTCCACTTCAGTTCCATACTATCTTAGAGTTAGCTTTGGCAGGACAATATGACAGGCATGTACATGTACTTTATGGTATATATATGAGCAAGCTGGTATGCATTATACTATGTACTGTTGAAGGGGGTACTCTCCAAGCAGAGGTTGATGGTGGAAGATTGTTTGCTTTTTATATATGGCCCATTTCTTTTTTGTCGCTACAACAAAGGGCCATATATAAAAAGCAAACGGTCTTCCACCATCAACCTCTGCTTGGAGAGTAGAAGGGGGGTAACTTTTACCTAACAGAACAAAATAGCTTACTGCTGAACAAGGGCTTATTGTATATCATACCTTTACAAACATTAGTGCTAAGTTATGAGAGTATGAGATGTACTAATATACAAGTCATTGTGCTCATGTTTTAGAAGATATTGTTGACAAAGACTGTTGTTATGTGGATGTATATGTGTTAGTCTTCAAATAAACGATGTCTTTGACTTGAATGATTGTGAATCTGGCAGCATAATCTAGCTATAGCAGTCATGTTAGGGGCTACTGGTAGTCTGTTACATACTGCCTACTACTGGGACCCAGCTAACGGTCCAAGTTCAGGCTACACTACCCTTCAACTCTGTCATTTCCCATACTGTGGCCTTTGTCAGCTTTGGGTACGGGTACCATCTGACTTTTATCAGAGCTTGCAATCACTAACTCAGTCTCCTCTATATCTACTCGCTTGCCTGATAATGGATACTAAATGCACCTGAAAAATGGATACTATTTTGCTGGTTTTTGTTTTTCTTCAGAAGTGATATGGCATAATGCCCACTATTGACACTCACCATCAACCTTTTTTTCTCTATACATTATCCTTCTACATGTGTATGACTTATACTACAAGAAAACAACATTCCAACAAAGAAGACCACACACTATCAGCCTGGATGTATTTTTCTGTATGTTTAATGTGGAATTTACTCAGATAAAGCCTCTACGCCACCAGAATGCAGGCTCCTCCCACGCCCTTGATCTTCTCTTCTGCCCGACGAGAAAAGAACTTGGCCTTGACAATGACGGGCTGCTTGGGCAGACGACCTTTCCCGATGACCTTGTAGAATCCCTACGGGAAGAGATGTTAAAGTAGATGTTTAGCTTGCCAGTCAGTTTAATTTGGCAAGAGCAGTTCAAATGCTAAAAAGCTGCACTCAGCAATCACAGCTGAATGTCTGAAACAATATTTTCTTTGATAATATATGATTCAGGCTACACTAAACTGAAGCTGTATTCAGAAAACACTTTGAAGTCAGTATCAATACAACTCGGCCTAAAATATTAAATTTTTCTTCCTGTAATGATATTTGTGAGTAATAATACCGAGCAAATATTCCTATACTGTTAGTTATCTACATCTATTTACTGCAATCTCACCAACTTCTCTTCAGATTAATGTGAGCATTTTAAAACTTAACACCCTTCAAATTGTAAGTCTACACCTTTCTTGTCCCTTTCATAACATATTATTGAAATGTTTCCTGATTGTTATAAAAGTAAACAAGAGAACTTACTGCTCTCACGACGTCGATGACTGGAGCCGTGTCTGTTTTCTTGGCGTAGACCTCGCGTGTCTGGTCGCTGACGAGGGTCCACAGCTTGTCCAGGTTGACTGCAGGACAGTGCTTCTGGTTCCTCTTCATGTGCAGGTGACGCATACCCACCTTACCAAAGTAACCAGGATGGCTGGATGGGGGAAATTATGTAACACTCTCACATCTTCAGATCTACCTTGTAATACCCCCAAGGACTAAGGCAGGTTGAAAATCTATTCAGTTAGGTAATTTGGAGAGATTGATTGAAATTTGGAACTTATGGCCGATGGCAATGACAGGTTGAGAGCCTAGATTCCTAGGTGATTTAGAGAGACACTACTTTTAAATTTGGCCAATTGTTAAGGCAAAAGACAGGTAGATGTTAGTGCTATGACAGAAATACACTGATGTTAATACTTAATACTTTCAGTAAAAATTTGAAGTGGAGGGCTTCCATTGAACTGTATAAATTACATTTTTTAAATTAAAGGAAATCTGAATGAACATTAGCTTTAGAAATCTCACATGAGGATTATTTCAAAAGCTAGGTTTTCATGTCTCTTTTCTTCAAACGTTCCAACTTACTATTTGTCAAAGTTAATCCTGTGGTGATGTTGTCCACCGGCGTTACCCCGGCCTCCAGGATGTTTCCTGTGCTTTCCTGCAGTTAAACAACAACAGAATTGTTAGAAGTAGTCTACAAAATACTGCTATGAACCTTCATACTGACTGTTGAGAGCATGTTTTGTTTTTGTATGTTTTGACAAACGTGTACATAATTTTTTTATGATCACACAAACAAAATACAGGTTTGATCCAATACCACATCCAGTGGGGTCATGTGGCGTAACGGTAGCATGTTTGGCTCAGAACCGAGTGGTCCCGGGTTCGAATCCTACCATGCCACCGATCCCTTTGGAAAGGAACTTTACACCACTTTCCTCACTTCGCTCAGGTGAAAATGAGTATGCCAGAATAATCACTATCATGATCGACATTAAAAATAAAACCAAACCAAACATGTGTTTGATAACATATACATGTACATTTCAATGATGTCATTCATAAACTTACACCAGGTAAAACTAAGGGACAACAATCCATACTTACCAATACGTCCCTTGCCATGGCTGACGTGGCCACGCAGCTTCCTCGTCTTTTTCAGCTTGGCAGTCTGAGCGGGGATTCACACATATATATTTAGGAACTGAATACTGCCATGATTTTGATCAAGGTATGTACATCGAGTATAACTATAAGTTTAAGGTTACACACACATTACACTCTAACGTGACATTTACCGTATTCAAAACCATGTCTTGACACCACTGTTACACAAAATTTGTTCTGCAATTTTCTACAGTTGCCAAGGTCTGTAAATCATTTGGCAAAACCCATGTGTTCCCGTAAAAATGTATCGATATCCGAAGTTTACACGTTGTACGATGGAGGTACCATCATATATAGACAGGTCCCTCATACAAGAAATGCCACCAGGCTCTTGACTTTCATGTACTTTTTTCAATGGCCTGTACAACAACAGAACTTTAATCTGCACAGTTCCCACACGAACACAGTTAAAACTGTTCCAATCGTAACACATGCAAGAAACTGCAGCGACCAGAATTTCTGTAATCCGTCTCAGAAACCCCCGTCACAGAATGTTCTCTATCGTTGAAAATCAACTTCATGGAGGCGAAATAACGTACCAGAAATGTTGTCTATTATGTGAACTATCATTCTACCTTTTACTAAGGCGTAGTAAAAGAGTATACTAGAGGATGGCGCAGGATATAAAAACATATCCTCAAAATTGACACCCACCATTTTGGAAGCTCGACCAAAAAGGCCGAAATTTGTTCACTGCGCAGGTTTCTGCGCATCTCATGCCAAGATCTCACGAGAACGCCCTTCTGGATTAGTGCATTCAATATTAGGGGTGCAAAACTTACATAATCTAGAAAAATAGGAATTTATGGGATTTTAGACATATTATTTCATAATTTAGGATATGAGATACCTCTGTTATACTTTTCGTATTGTTCGAAAGTGTAAAATTGTGCCTACTGGGGTATTTTATTGAAACTACACTTTTTACATTTTGGTACGGACCTTTTTGTGAAGCGGGAAGAACAGCAAAGATGGCGGAGTGAGTTTGGCAGGATTTTCGTGTTGGTACATTTTTCACCGAATTCGACGCTAAAATGGCGGAGAACCCACAGCAGCAGCCTCCACCGGCACAAGAAAATCCCCAGGAAGCGAGGGAACCAGAGGCGAGGCCCCGGCAATCGCTTTTACTGAGCTGTACGGTGTGCAAGTCGGAGGCTTGTCAGGAGCCAAAACTCTTCCCCTGCCTTCACACAGCTTGTCGGTCATGTATCCTCGCTAACAGTAACGTAGCCGGCCCGGGCGTACAAGTCGGAATACAGGGTGCGTAAGGTTTGATTTTCTTACACGTAGAATTATTAAAACAAATGTGTGTTGCACGTATGATAGTGTGTACTAGTACTTGGTATGCACGCTACGTTTTTGCTATGCAAGCAAGTGATCACCTAAAAATTATAATTATTTATGATGAAATATTATGATCACACCTATTATTTCCGTGGTTTACGTATGAAAACACCACATTATCTGCTAAAGATAATAGTCAACCCCCCATTATGTGGAAATGAGGTCATTGATAGTTTGATACACATGATTTGCAAATCAAATCAAATAGCATTATAAATACCTTTTCTTTATATATGTGTATTTGATCCAGTTTATATCAAGGACATACTACATCCTTGTTTAGATGGAGATAAAAATTTGTGCTTTATATCTATGTATCTATGCGACATAGAGATCTAGAGTATTGAAATGTATTAGTACTTTTTGATGTGGTTTACTTTGGTTGAGGTCAGACATAATATTGTTTTATCTGGTGTGTTCAGGCACTTTAGTAAATACACACACACAACACATTTTAAACTGACTGGCCTTTTAACTGGTTCAAGGCAGAATGTACTCAGTGTATCCAGATCCTGTAGAGAACACAAGGTTATACAGGGGGCACGTTGAACCAAACCAAGGACATTCATTACTCTCACCTCTCGAATAGAAGTACCCCCTGGAATATAAGTACCCCCCGGACAAATCTTCAAAATCCATTAAAAGTACGCCCCTGGAATAGAAGTACCCCCCGGAAAATTTGAAAACTTGATACATGTACTTGATACTTTATTAGGATATCCATTAGTATTTTTGTGCGACTAATATTCCTGGATTCCAAGAGCATAAGACGAAACAATACAGAGTCACAGACTTCACAATTATATAAAAATGACATTGAAAATCTACGCCACTAGACTTATACACAATTTTATCCTACACATTACTTAACGCTTAACGCTTGACAATCATTAAAAATGACATGCAACTTTACAGATGAAAAAAACTGAGATGAAACAACGTTTATGCTCCAAAAATGTGTTCTCACGGTATGCGATGTATGCATGGGTCCACGTCATGTCACTAATGACTTGCAATTATTGACAGGTCCTGAATAAACATACCCCCTTAAATATGATACCTGCGACAAGTCTTCAAAACCTAATAAATACCTCCCAAATTGAGAATAAATGTACCATCCAAAATAGAACGCACCGGGACATTTTCAAATTGTGCTATCGGCTGGGAGAAGTGGTGTGTACTTTTAGTCTTTTTGTCATTTTACGTGCAGGACCACAAATTTTCCTGGAAATTTTCCGATAGAGAAAAAAGACATAAACGTACCGTCTAAAATAAGAATGTACCGGACGGATTTTGAGGCGAAAAAAAAGTTTATTCAAGAGGTGAGAGTATATGTACTTGACCAAAATCCTAGTCCTACATCCTCTCCGCAAATATTTGGGGAGAGGATGTAGGACTCAGCAGCTATAATAATTAATGATAGGTTTGGCAACCAGGCTATAGTTTCATACATATAGTAAGATACAAGTCTACACATGCTAGTTTGTGTTCCTCGACCCCCCCCCCCCCCAACAAAAAACAACAACTGTCTAGGTCAGCATTCAGTCTCTAATTAAAGCAGATCACAAAATGAATTCAACTATTTACTTAACCTGAAGCCATTGTTGTTTTAACGGTGTCTAGATTATTTCCATGTTTGTATGTTTTGTCACTTACCTGACATTGCAATTTTTTAATCACTTTACTTACACTAAAACAACATCCTGGCTAGAACCCTGCTATGTAACTAGCCCACTCAGTGTAATGTGTAGGTGGGTATAACACGTGCCTAATTAAGGTGGTAATACCGGTCTAACAATACAACTTGTTACAAGCGCATGTTAACATTTAATCTGTTATCTATATAGTGTCACTTACGAACAGGCTAGCTGAGTTGTTATGGGCACAATTTAAGTTGACAGTTTGGCATTTTCATGTTCCCTTTCTATTTATACATTTATATATAGATATGCTAGTATTATGGCTATAGTACATTCATGATATCGAACTATTTATCAGTTCAGGTCATCCTCTTTATGTTTACTATTTATAGTAAACATAAAGTCTGATCCTGCTGACTGTGATCTTGTCAGGGCTAGTCAGGTGTATAGGCTATAGGCAAGGTAATCTGCCAGCAATACAGATACATAGGGTGTAACTAGTGCTGCATACCTAAACTCAGTTTTAGGTTCAGGTCCAGATTCAAGTCCAGAGGTTTAGGTTCAGTTCCGGACCTAAACCCATGGCATATACAAAATTGCGTGTTGGCAACCTTGCAATATTGTCTGGGTGAAACTTTGGCCACATAACATGGAGGCCGGTACTTAACGATGCCCGATGGCAATGTTTTCTTCATTTTGCAGCAAAGATTTTGCAATCTACAGGAGGGTTTAGGTGGTTTGGAAAGAAAAGGGGTACGTGAAATGGTCTTTTATGGTAATGAGTCCAGACTTGGATCTTGACTTTTAGGTTTTTTTGGACTTGAACCTAAACATTCTTACAAGTCCGGATCCAAGTCCAGTGAACCGGTATGCAGCACTAGGTGTAACTGTAAGTCATTTGAAGTGACAACAGTGGGCCAGTCACGTTTGTTGTTACTGCAATTTTGCCTAATGTGAGCAGGATGCACGACAGGCTATCTCTGTTGTCGTGACTGAAAAGCTGACATTGATTTGTTTTGGAAACATGTCGCTATCGCATTGGGCAGAGGTGTCAAACATATCATGTCAGGAAAACTAAATCTAAGTGTACCAAAAGCTTTATGATCTGTTTAAGTTAAGCCTTAAGGAGATTTGTATTAGGTTTGTAGTCAATCCATCATCATCATCTTTGATAATTTAATATTCAATCCAGAAATGCATTAATAATTCCAAGGAAACGATCATGTAAGTGGTTTTAACATGGCACTTTATTGACATATACAGATAGTACATATGGAATTTAAAAATTATCAACTTGAATATTTTTTATATCATGAAGCTATCTACAGAATGATCTTGCTCAGTTAATAATACAATGAAATCTACAAATGCAAACCTTGACAAACAGGTAGTTGTCTTGCACAAGACTCTGAAGGTCATCAAATACAGTATTGTAGCCTGGGTACCATCCCCAGTAGTATATTCGCAAACTCTATAACTGGGTCTGGACTTGCACACATATGTAGCGTCTGGAGTCTAAATATTCGTTCAGATTTTGAACGAGCGCGCTGATTGGTCCTACTCGTCTAAGCCCTTTTTTGGGTGTGTACATATTAGGTAAGGGCTGTTCGGATGTCCGAACGGCGACGTTAGCGTCCGTTCGAACGTCCGAACGCCTTATCATCAACATGTCCGACGGCGAACCGAACGCTACAGCGCACATGATATAGCCGTAGTCAGTCTTTCCGCGATAAATCATCAACATGGCTGACGCACAAGCCGCTCAGCTCACGGAGGTTGATGTTGACCTCGCAATCACGTCCGTTTTGGACGATTTAGACGGAATATCGTCGCTCAAAAATGAGCAAAAAGATGCATTGAATAATTTCGTTCGTGATGTTTTGGGCGTCCTACCGGTAAAAAAAAAGAACGCGCCGAGAAAAGGAACACTCGCACGAAGATCTGTGTTTACAAAACAACAAACATCACTTGAATAATGCAGGCGCGACATTGGCCGTCGCCTCTGAGGCTTAGCCAATCAAATGAAGCCCCGCTGCTCGGGCTAGCTCATTACGTGACGTCATGACCAATCGTTTTATATGTGTGCAAGTCCAGACCCAGTTATAGAGTTTGCGAATATACTACTGGGGATGGTACCCAGGCTAACAGTATTGGCCCCTGGCAGGCAATTTTTTGTGTTTTAGTAACTTTTACACAATCAGGATAAAATACTGGCCTGCATTTTTGAGAAAAGGGGGCACTATATTTAGGATCCCGGAGAACCCTAGTGACTGTTGCTGGTACTGCAGCTTACTGCTTGTCGTCTGGTCCAGGGAAGATGCATGGGGAGAGCGGGTCGTTTGCGTCGACCATCTCTGTCTCACAATTCTCATTCACCAACATCAGGCAGTGGTCAGGGATGGTGTACAGGCCAGGGCTGGAATAAACAGCAACAAAAAACAGTCATAAATGGCAGATTTTACTGTATTACCAATACTATCAGACAGTGGTCAGGGATAGTGTACAGGCCAGGGCTGGAATAAACAGCAACAAAAAACAGTCATCAATCAATCAATCAATCAATCAATCAAATGGTTTATTTATTTTTAAATCAGTGATAAATCATGTAACATGAAAGTTCATCTGTGTTGGTAGTTACAACTTTAGAAGTTAAAACTTTTGTTCCATCACAAAGGTGAATATTTTGTTCCATCACAAAATTTTCATGAAAATTCTAAGAGAAGACCCTAAATTTGAACATTATGGGAGAGGTGCTAGGATTTTGGGGAGAGCCCTGACAACCTATTTTGATATTCAAGAATACCGCTGGATTAATCACATCAGTATTTATTATTAATCATAAGGTTGTATGACTATGACTAATGAGAGATTGTGTAATACGGGCTAAATCTTACTCATTACTCAGGCCTCTCCCCAAGCAATGAAGCAAGGGTGCTCCCCCTCTTCCAAAAATCGGTGCACCTCTCCAAAAATGTTTAAATGTATGTTTTTCCCTAAGTACTATTTTCATGTACATTTGCTGATTTTTCATCAACCAATTAGGGAGCACCTCTCCCCTAAGAATTTTTGGGGAGATCCCTGTTACTGTACAATGTACATTGAAAATTGAAAGCCTACCCTGCACAGAAAAGTCCTTCATCACTACAGGAGCACTCCTCACACCCGACCGTCCTCCACCCACTGCCGATCATCATCTTGATGCCCTCCCACTCACAGTATGGCATGTCTATCACACGGGCCTTGCCTCTGGGTCCAAACCTGCAACAACAACAACAGCAGAATGATATTTTGTTTAACTATAGTATATAAGTGTTAGCCTGGGAATCCATCCGTGAACGCTTTCTCTCCGCTCCGTTCCTCCGCTCGTGAAGGCAAAGCGGAGGGACGGAGCGGAGACACAGCATTCACGGATGGATTCCAGGCTATATAAGTGTCATAACATGCAGTACTCGTGATGCATACCTAAACCGAATTTCAGGTTCAGGTCCGGATTCAAGTCCAGAGGTTTAGGTTCAGGTCCGGACTTAAGTCCGGACGTAAACCCATGGCATGTACAAAATTGCATGTTGGCAACCTTGCAATGTTGTCTGGGTGAAACTTTGGCCACATAAAATGGAGGCTGGTACTTGACGATGCCCGATGGCAATGTTTTCTTCATTTTGCAGCAAAGATTTTGGAATCTACGGAAGGTTTTAGGTGGTTTAAAAAGAAAAGGGGTATGTGAAATGGTCTTTTATGGTAATAAGTCCGGACTCGGTTCTTGACTTTTAGGTTTTTTTGGACTTGAACCTAAACATTTTTACAAGTCCGGATCCAAGTCCAGTGAACCGGTATGCACCACTATGTAGTACTCAGTCGTAGGAAAACTTTGTTCCATACATGTATGTATTAGTGACAGGACTGAAGAGTCTTTCGTAATACGTAGTACAATGAATGAATGAATGAAACTTTTTTTTCGTGTCGTGTGCTTTCCCGTGCCCAGCCCGTGTGGGCTTATACGACACCATTTGAGTATAAATAATACATAAACAAAAGAGAATCAAAGGTACAGATAACAGAATCTAAACAAAATATGAACACAAAATGTACTGTACATGTAGATCAATATTATGTTATGTTACTACTGTTACCAGCAAAGCTCAGCTGAATTTCTTACTAAGTCTTTTTCTATTCATTTTCCCACTGTAGCAAGGAATACATGTAGCAAGCAGTGTGCCTACAGTGGAAAAAAAAAACTTTGCAAACTTGAGCAATCACGCAAACAGACACAGAAACAAAACTTTCGTACACAGAGGTATCAAAAACAGTAGACAGACACCTACATCTTGGTCTCGGTCTTGAGTTCTGAGGCGTATGCAGTTCCTTCTGTCAGACGCCAGTTGGCGCACATGAACAGCACAAGTGTGATGAAACACCTCATGGTTGGGTTGGAGTAGGTTCTTTCTGGTGGAAATCAGTGTGTAAGAGATTTATGAATGTATAAAAGCTTTGACTATTTCTACACACTCACATTTTTTGTCTGTAAGAAATGTACAAATTACTATAAATTTAATTAGGCACTAACACTAACACACACATACCCGGTACATACAAATACACACACATGCACACACAAGTACACACACAAATACACATGCTCACACAGACAAGTCACTTTACGCACGTGCAGACAATCCACCCATGCTGACACATACACACACAGTCACACAGTCACAGCACACACAAATACAATGTATATATTATACATGCTTTAACATGCATATACATACACATACTCAAATACACATATGCAAACAAACATCCCATAAGTATTGACAATGCCAGACATCATTCCATCCACAAATCCCTGATACATGGTACTCATTTTTGTTAGTCAGCCTCAGATCCCCTTGCATTAACTTCTAATGTCTATTGAGTCAAACTTGAAGTTGAACTACAATTGCTAGACACAGAGGCCATATGCTGGTCATGTTATATAATTACATGACCAGGCTGCATATGCCCTCTGTGTCCAGCAGTGATGTTAACATAAGTTAAACAACTTGTAAGTGCGTCACTGCTTCGGTCATTTTTGACATCATGAATAGAGTGAGGCAAACTTGTCATTCCCTGACGTCACCAAACCTTGACATGACGTCTGACACTGATGGATTGTTAAGTGCCCACCCTATGTCAACATCCTAGCTTGCCAAAGTCAATGCTATAATATATAGCAGCACTTAGGCAGATCGTACTGCGCCTGCGCGAAACATGGATCTTTTACGGTCTTCGTTGGATGTTTGATCAACATTGCATCAGAATTTTGCCCGTTACAGACGATACCTTTTCCGACACAACATTTAAAAGCTATAGATGGGATGTCATTATTAAAAACCCGAATGCGACCTTAAATGCGGTGTTCTGCCGAAGTGCTATATACACAATGCATTGCAGGTTTCATGCAGACGCAGTACATTGAATTTCTGCCAATGTGCACAGGGTGCCATGGTCAAAACGGGTTAACCTGTATATTATATAGCAAGGAAATGTTTTGCCACGGCTCTAGTATTTGCATAAGCCTTTTAACTACATTTTGTATAACTCGGCCAGCAATTTGCAAGCAAAAAGGGAAATCGCAAGGAAGAAAGTTTCAAACCTGCAATTCTACAGGCAAAAAATCACTACAGTATCAAGTATAGATATTGAAAATTGGAGCCTTTGAGATGGATTTTAGATGAGGCCCCTGCAATTCAAACATCAAATGTTCCTCTACCAAGTTCAGCATAATCAGTGTGACCTAGCAGAAAATTTACTCTAATTAGCAATTTGCTGACAAAAATTCTGACATTCTGCAATTTTGCAAAATCATAAGGGAAGAGTCTTTTAAGTTTGATAGATATTTTCTACAAAGAGCTTGACTTACCCTTAAAAGAAGTTCAAGAGCAGCTGTAGCTTCTACTAGAAGTGCCGGCAGCAATCTCAAAAGAACCTCGCAGGAGCAAAGCCAGACTGCAAATGCCCGGACCTGCCCGTATCTCAGAGATTTCTACAGGGCTGCGCAGCTTGTCTTTGTTGCTATAGGTTACAACATCTTTCAAGTCAGTTCCTTCGTTCCCAGCTGTCTTATTGTAGAGCAGATATTTGCAGAGGTATGACAAGAAACAGGATACGGATCTTTGGTGACGTAAGAGAGAAGACGTACAGCGTCAGTTTTGGCGATGTTTGCGATAGTATCTAATTACACTTAATTGTTCCAGAAGGACCGCCTTTCCTCCCTTAGTAAACCTATCATCCCCACATTATAACCTAAGTTTGTTGTAACTTATTGCTCTTTTCTGGATTCCGTCAAAAAGTCATCAGTTCTTTTAGGAAACCCTTCAGATGTTAATTAGAGGCAATTTTGGCTTGATTACACTGCAAGACAGCATCAAATAGATCAAATTACTTATTATACCCCTTTTTGTTCATCTGACATCAAGTTTGAAAAAAGGTGTTGATTATGTAAGAATATAGAGTTCAGCGAAAAGGTGAAGAAATGATGTATTGAACAAAAGAAGAGGTATTTTTTAGGTATTTTAGGTATTTTTAGACTACTTTTGATTATTTTGATATGTGGAATTACAGTAAATACTTTTATTTCATTGTTTCTTTTCTTGAACCTGATGTTTAAGATAAACTAAGGTTTTCCTATTCAGCCATTAATCCCTAAGCAGTTGCTAATGTGGTTTGGACAATACGGGTCATGGCTCTGCTGTCTTTACTTTCTGTCAGGTTGTTCAAACAGTTTGTTTGCACACGTTCGGCTCGAGCCAACAATTTACCTCTCACAGCCTCAGCAAGTGCCACTAGGCATTACACGTTCCTATGGAGCTAAATTGTGCAACTTTATATGAACGCCATTAAAAAATGCAGTCAAGGCAAAGAAATAGAAATGCTCCTTACTCAGTGAGTCTGGGATTAGTCTGCAAATTCTGGGCTGTTTTTTTTTTCAGAATTCTGAAAGAAGGACGGCTTTAAAATGGTACATATACAAGTGTATGTGGATTGTTCCTTGCTATATGCTTATCGTGATCATCTAAGAAATGCCAAACTAATAATTAAAATGGTTTCTTAACAAACTCCAGTTTGATCATTGCGACATCGGGTAGGATTCAAACCTGGGACCTCTGTGTTGAACACTCTGCCGTTACACTACACAGTTGATGTGTACTGTAATTCACTTTATGTTTACGGCAGCAAAATTTCTCGGTGTGAGAAAAATTGACATGTTCATGGAACTATATATTCACGGTGGCAACGGGTGCAGGAAAAAGAAAGTCCAGAAATCATTTGTTAACTGTAATGATAACTTCACGGAACAGACGTGGTAGTGAAAACAGAGAACATACATGTAACAGTACAGTGAAAAAATTAGGAATTACAGATTAATTTATCATCTTGTCCTTCTCCAGCCAAAGTGAAGTGCCCTAAGTGCCATGCTGAAGCCCACATCTCGGAGCTGATCGACAACTTCTTCCTGCAGGATGCCAAGGCTCAGCGGGAGGACAACCAGCCGAACTCAGACCCACAATGCACCAGCTGTGAGGAGAACGCACCTGCAACTGCCTTCTGTGAGGTAAGATCAGATGAGGACTGTTATCAAGGCACATTCTTTCCTAGAACTATCCAGAGTAGAACTTGCTGTCACCAAGTACAGTAGGGGCATTGCCATTAGATAGCTGTAAACAATGACTAGAGTTAGATGTTCAAGTTACATGTAGGTGTATTATATACAGTAACAAGTCAATTGGTTTAATATAGCCAGCTGCCGCCGCCCCGCGTGCCTGTGAAGCTGGTGTGTTACACCGAAGGGGGGGTTATACAGGCTATACCTAAAACAGAAGGCTTCTTGGTATGACTAGAATATATAGCTCCCACTATGCCTTGCTACGAGGTTATTGAAAGTAGAATTTTTGAAAACATATTGTGAATATTGAACTTTGAAGACTAGCCGACTGCTGCCCACCCCTCCATATGTCAGAGACACCAGCAATCAAAACCTAGATAGTGAGTGAGTGAGGGTGAATGATTGGCCTCTTCCACAGGCAAGTAAAATCCTATAGCTGCTAAACTCTCCTGGCAAATTATTCTCCTCATTTGGCAAAATTTTATCATCTTTCAGCCAGCATTAACCATACAAGTAAACACTTGAAACTAGAAATTCTAGTAGAATTTAGAAACTGTATGTGAAGCTCCAAATTTCTCCTTTTTACTAGTGATTGTTTGCTTTTTATGTTCCTATCTTAGAGCCACTCTACTTGGTTATTTTTAAATTTCTATGTACCCATAACAGGACTGCTCTGATTGGCTGTGTGAGGCGTGCGTACAAGCCCACGGGAGGGTAAAGGTCACGAAGGAGCACAAGCTGCAGAACAAGGAGGAGGCTCTGGCAGCTCAGGCGGAGATGGCATCCCAGCGTCCCCTGTTCTGTCCACTGCACAGACAGGAGCAGCTGAAACTGTACTGTGAGACCTGTGACAAGCTAACCTGTAGGGACTGCCAGCTACTGGAGCACAAGGAACACAGGTGAGAGATCTTACCTTGGGCATAGGAAAAAAAATGTTGTGTTTCTTGTTTCCCGACCGACCCTAAAAAAAACTCTCGAATCTAGGTTTTTTTAGGGGGTGGACCCCTGCAAGGGACATGCATCTAATTTTTCGAGCTCATCAACCTTTTCTCATGTAAGTTTTACTCTGTTAAACTGTATTGTATAAGTTGGACCCCTCAGGGGTCTCCCCAGGAATGTTTAGGGGAGTGGTGCTGGAATTTTTTTGGAGGGCACGTACCCGCCGCCGCGGGATTCCCCCCCTCTCCGTAGGAGAAGCTGTTGCATTTTACCCTTCTGAAATGCAGTTTGTAGCCTTCTCCTGCAACTTGAGTTTAAAATGTTACTAACTAAAGAGATAGAAAATCAAGCCAAATTAAGTACAAATGTAGGGCATTAATGAGTATTTGTACAACAAAATATACACATCCATTTCAACATAATGATTAGTTGGTATGGTACATTGTCTAGTCTGGTCAAAGTCTGGATTCTGAAGAAAAAAAAACTTCTGAAAAAAACCTCTTCTGAAGAAAAAAACTTCTTAAGAAAAAACTTACTTAAGAAAAAACTAGAAGAATGACCTTTAACTTTTGACGGGTCATGCAGCTCTGTGCCGGCCGCCCTCCCACCCCTCGGTCGTGCGTTTTATGGGAAAATTTCTACTTTTTTTAGGGGTTTCGGGACCTAAAAACTAACATCAGAGGGAAAATAAACCACATACGTTATTTACATGGTAAATATCGCTAAAATGGACCACGCATTTTTCTTCCGCGGTACCGATTTTAAAAAGGCCTCGCCATGTGCTTCACGCCGATAGCGACTCGCCTAATCCCCCGTCCGGTTTTGTGAGCAAATTTCTGCTTTTTCAGACGTTTTGGAACTTAAAAACCGACAGCAGGCGAAAAATAAACAACATACATTATTTTCATGGGAAATGCCGCCATACTGGCCCAGACATTTATCTGTTGCGTTAACCGAATATTTTGCGGCCGCCACATGCTCATGGTGCGGTACGGTAGGGAATTTTCCACGGCTAGTTCGTAAACGCATCGGCTTTATAAACTTATTTTCGGGGTCGAGGGCTTTGTTTTACAAACCAATCAGACAATTAGCGTTGTTTACATGACTTAAAAACGCTAGCGGGGAGCCCGATGTTCCACCAATGACAGCTATTCTCTCGGTAGCGTCGTGCGAAATGGTCATTGTTTACTCGTTTATCGCCCATTCACAAGTTTCAGAAACAATGCCGACGGGAAAATGGACGCCACTCGCGTCAAGATTTCGATGTTTTTTGCCTATTTATCCGCGAAAATACAAAGAGAAGACCCTTAATTTGAAAATTTTGGGAGTGGCGCTAGAAATTTTGGGAGTGGCGCACCGCCGTTGCACCATTGCCTGGGGAGACCCCTGCCCCTGTATAGATATCACTGAAGTCTTAAAAAAAAACCTACCTACCCTAATTTTTTCAGGACTGAAACAGGCTGGAAACACAATTTTTTTTTTCTAGGCCCTAGCATCTTCACTGCTTCTGCCTGCCTCGGTAGTGTTTGCAGAAATATCAATAAGCTAAGTTTTGTGTGTCCCACAGAATAAAGGCTCTCCCACGTGCACTGTAAACAGTCCTTTTTTAATATCTAAATCTACCACAGGTACGCATTTGTAAACGAGGCTTCCCAGAACCACAAGCAGTTTCTGCAGACGCTGGTGGAGAAGCTACAGGAGAAGAAGTCGTACATCCAGATGGCGAGAGCCAAGATCAGGGAGAGATACCGAGATGTTCAGGAGACTGAGAAGAAAATGGTCCAGGTCAGTGTTTCCTCTTCAGGTCTTAAAATTCGTAAAGGGAGAAGACGGAAATCTTACTTAAAGCTGCTACAATCTTACTCTGCTTTGATAACATTCAAAGTAAAAATTGTCATCATTAATAAGTCTACAAATGGTGCTCAAATCCATTTCTTGGACTAGGTGCCTAAAATGTGCACAGGAAAAAGTTTGGGTGCAGAACATTAAAAAGAACATGAAGTAAAAATACTGATGCCTTTCTTCAGAGCGTGAATCAGAAATTATGTCTCTAACTTCAAAAGTTCAAACATGTAATACAACCTGTATTGGAAAAGGGTTGAAGTCTATCATCTTTGTTGAAATGGTCACTCACTAATTGTTTTGTTCTGTTCTATATAGTAGAGGGGATTCATTCCTCAAGCTACCGACATCTCGCACACGCAGTCGTCCCTCAGTAAGACCTCTGGAGCCGCATAGTTCCCGTTTAGAACTTTTATTCAGCCTGTCACACCTGTTTTGTTCTGTTCTGTTCTGTTCTGATCTACAGGAGATCAAGGCTTTCATGTTCATGCTGATCACAGAGATCAACAAACGAGGGAAGCAGCTGTTAACTGAACTGCAGGTCACTACCAAGGACAGGATGAACAAGTAAGGAGGGCTTCATCGTTCTTAAAAGCCCAATATTCTGGTTTTACCTTGGTTGTCTGATTGGCCCACTTCATTGTATTCTGAATAGAAAAGTAAAGACAAAACTGATCACTTGTACATGTACCATTCTGGGTGTGTATCTGCTCCAAAATGCTGATAGTTGTACTGAAATACATGTGTTAGAAAAATCCTTGTATTCCAAAATTCTCCTTGTAAGAAAGGTCCAACATTGTTGTTGCCAGAGAGTTTGAAGTAAATGTGGTGTTGCTGGAAATCCAAGTGTCTAGAAAATGACATGTTCGGTGGTTGATAACAAATTTTGAGGTAGTTCTGACAGCATTGTACCCTGTGTTTTTGAATGGGACATTTTCCTTGACTAATTTGGCTATAGAGGGAACTTGAATCTAACTGATCAAAATTCCTTTCTTTGCACCACCCAGGTTAAAAGCCCAAGATGAAGAGATCCTGAGGTTGTCCATGGCTGTGGACCATTGTGCGAACTTTGCCAACTTTGCCATGAACCTGGGAAACAACACGGCACTTCTGTACAGTAAACGCCACATCACCAACCAGCTCAAGAACATACTCAGGACACGCTGTGAACCAAACCCCTGTGTACCCTCCAATATGAAGTAAGTACAGAACCAAACCCCTGTGTACCCTCCAATATGAAGTAAGTACAGAACCAAACCCCTGTGTACCCTCCAATATGAAGTAAGTATAGAACCAAACCCCTGTGTACCCTCCAATATGAAGTAAGTACTAAACCAAACCCCTATGTACCCTCCAATATGAAGTAAGTACAGAACCAAACCCCTGTGTACCCTCCAGTATGAAGTAAGTACAGAACCAAACCCCTATGTACCCTCCAGTATGAAGTAAGTACAGAACCAAACCCCTGTGTACCCTCTAATATGAAGTAAGTACAGACCCAAACCCCTGTGTACCCTACAATATGAAGTAAGTTTGTTTGTTTAATTGATTAGGATCTCCATTAGTGAGACATAATGTTCACACTATTCTTCCTGGTGAAGTAAATCTCTGTGTAGCTAACAAGTCACATCAGCCTCCATTCGGGTGATTTTAAATGAATCACCAACTTCCAGATAGTAAACTCTATGTGGCTGCACTATATTATGCATGGAACGGTTTTTAAATTGGAACCTGTATTTAGTACTGTACTCAGTAGTGTCAGTTCTTTTTGTGAGAAATTAGCTTTCCAATAAGTAGGATTACATTCGAGAAATATTTTTGGTTTGTATTGAAAATCAAATGTTCTGTTGTACAATTAGTTTTAATGCTTCCAACGTGTGAGTTTGAAAAATTTGTTTTCTTATGCTATGATATTTTCTTTGTGTTAATATTGGTTTCTTATGTTGTTCTTACTCATAATAACTTATGATTTGACTAATGGAAATTTATTTTTTTTGTTCAATATGATTTGTTCTTGATTGTCTTACTTTATTGTTTAGATATTTGATTCGCCGTGTTAACTTTATATTATCTTGTACCTATTTTGAGTTAATTTGTTTGCTTGTCCCTTAATACATTGCAAGTTAAATGTAATGTAATAAATGTATGTAAATAAGAGATCGTAAAATTAATAGGATTTGGGAGAGTCCACTAGACAAACCTTCAGGTTTCTTGGGCTCTCCAGCATATATTTGCTTGTATATAATTTCTTTTAATACTGTTACTTTTTTATGTGCAAATTGACAATAAACAAACAATAATAAACAAACAAATAAAAAGGCAGTATCACCTATCCTAGGGCTCTAACTCCATTTTGTGCGTGGAGAATTTGACAAATATATATATCAATTTACTAAGTATTTTTTTTTGTCTTTAGGTTCATGGTGGACAGCACGTTTGTAGCCCAGTACATCAGCAGACTGGGAGCACTGTTAGCAGAGGGGGACCAGATACAGCGGGTACAGGTACTGCCCAGTGCTAGAAACACACTGTTCTGCAGTCTTAGGGTGCAATGGTGTTGGCATAACGTTGCTCAAAAGCTAAAAGTTAAAAGTTGAAAACTTTTGTTGAAGAGATTCATCAGTCACGTATAGTTCAAGTTCAGTAAGATAATTCTTTCAGTCAGTGACTCCTAAGGTACATACCTCTGAAATATTCAGGGGGTATGTACCTTAGGATTTAATAGTCACTGATTGAAAGAATTATCTTACTGAACTTGAAAACTTTTGTCTGCACTACTGACTTAAATATACATGTACAAGTAATTTTGTACATGTATTGTACTATTTTTCAAATTGTATGTAAAATGTTTGCCAACATGCGATTTAGGTCCAGATTTGTAAAATTTGATGTGTATTTCCCAGAAAGTTTTTCGGAATCGCAGAACAAAATTTTCGACATTCTACAACATTGCAGAACACTCAGTATTTCTACCACTGGGTACCGTCAGTAAACTTGCACAATAGTTGAAAACAGATGAAGATTTTTGCTTTGAATGTTTTCAAATCAGAGTAAAGATTGGATGCATGAATTTTCTTTTACACAACCAGTAAAACTAGGACTCAACCTGCTTACATTTTGGTGTCTATTAGACACCTTTCTCAGAGCTTCTGACTGGAGTTCTGCTTCTCGCCGCTATATGTAGCCAATGTAGGTGGCGCTTTTGCGGCAAGAACACAATTAAGAGTAAAGATTGTAGCAGCCTAGTAAGATTGGATTATTATTTGTTTTTCAGGAAAGACAACAACAATTACATCAACAACAACAACAACAACAACAACTGGCAGGAGGGGACCTGCTGAGGGCTCAGGTACATGTACATGTATGCACCATAGTGCTGTGTGCCAGTTCACTGGACTTGGATCTGGACTTGTAAGAATGTTTAGGTTCAATTAAAAAAAAACCTAAAAGTCAAGAACCGAGTCCAGACTTATTACCATAAAAGACCATTTCACATACCCCTTGTCTTCCCAAACCACCTAAAATCTTCTGTAGATTGCAAAATCTTTGCTGCAAAATGAAGAAAACATTGTCATCGGGCATCGTCAAGTACCGGCCTCCATGTTATGTGGCCAAAGTTTTGCCCAAATGACATTGCAAGGTTGCCGGCATGCAATTATGTATATGCCATGGGTTTAGGTCCAGACTTACAAGTCCGGAACTGAACCTAAACCTCTGGACTTGAATCCAGACCTGAACCTAAATGTGGGTTTAGGTTTGCAGCACTAATGCACCATGATACTGTATGGAAGGTGTCAGATGTATTCAGTGTACAAAATACTTTTTTGAACCAGGTTGTCCAGTGGGCAACCTACGGCAAAAATTAGGTTGCCCATCAGAATTTTAGGTTGCCCCATCTATAAGTTACTACTTTCCTCAAATTAAGTAATGTTACATACATAAGCCTTTGAGTTTGACAATATTTCTAACAGCCTTTAGTTAACTGATACTTAAGTAATAGCCATTAATACCTAAAATTAAAAAGCATCTGCTGGATACAGTAAATGCAAGCCAAGTGGGCATGATTTGGGGGGGGGGGGCATTCTTAAAATTCAGGTAGCACACTGGCCTATCTAGGTTCAAGAATAGGTTGCCCCAAGTAAAATTTGGTTGCCCGGGGCAACTGGGCAACCAGGTATTTTGCACACTGGTATTACTACATGTATATTAGTGTTTGCTACTTTATTGGGTTGTATTTATGGATACGTACCTGGGAACAGAGACATTTATGGTGAATAATGACATTGTAAAACAGTCAAAATTTCCTAAGAAGACCACTTAAAGGACCTGAAAAGTATGTGAACAGGTGGTCACTATAGACAGGCTTCTCAATGCTTGTGTCATTATAGGAAGAAATATCTAAGGGGCCACCAAAAAGTTGTCACATTGGGCAGGTGGTCCTTATGTAGGTTATTAGGTGGTCACTTAGTACAGGTTTGACTGATAAAAATCTCTGCTAAGAATTGAGGGGTAAAACTAAAAAGGCCGACATTTGCTTGGGAGCAAATACAGCATATTTCAGTCCATCTCCCTCCCACGCAAAAGTGGACTATTCCAAACTTACCCCAGTGCAAAACTGGCAAAGGTTCTCAAATAAATGAATTAAATAGTAGCTATATGAGAACAAAGATGCAACAACAAGTACTTTGAATCTCAAAAGCTTTACTAATCTTATTACAGGTATGCAAAAACTAACAATGATGAGATTTGATACATTTTGAAGGTCTTAGGCACATAAAATTGAATGTGTGGGTCATTACGCACCACTTAGGTGCAATGTGACCTCAGGTAACCCGCAATGGAACACGTGTTCCATGGCTCAGGATCCAAAAATCCATTTTTTGTCGAAAAATGCCCCAAAAAACCTTCATAAAAATTTTTCAAAGGCATGTTTCAAAAAAATGAAAAAAAAAGTCTGGGGGTATTTGCCCACTCTACCTCCATGCCAAATTTCAGGTCATTTGGCTGAATGATGGCGGAGTTGAATCCCTTTGACTGTTTGGCAGGAGAAGGAGGAGGAGAAGGAGAAACACGAGGGAACACAATATATTTCATCCATACCATGGTATGGACTGAAATATAAATAGTTGCTAAGGAGGATATAAGGGTTTTCTTTTACGCAGCTAATTTTGTCCTACCTTGCTTACATTTCGGTGCCTATCAGAGCTTCTGACTGGAGTTCTGCTTCTCGCTGTTTGGTTGTGTAAAAGAAAACCCCTACATGTATATCCTATACTGTTCGAACCTGAATGAAACTATTTTCGGTAGTAGCTTAGAAGTTTGCATTCTTGCTCTATCAGCAGGAAAGACAAAGACAGCTCCATCAACAACAACAACAGCTCCAACAACAACACCAGCAGCAGCAACAACAACACCAGGCTGCAAACCAGCAGAGGAACGTGCCCCCCTCGTCCGGTATCCGCCCCCCTCCCCCCCTGGTCCCCCGCTCCTCCGGCGCAGGCCACCCGAGCCAGAGACCCGACATGACACAGAGGGCAAACCTTCAGCAGCAGCAACACCAGATGAGACAGCTGCAGGCTTATATACAGAGGGCACAGGCTCAGGGTGGGTTTGTTTGAATGTTTATTTATTTGCACAAAAACATGTACAGTGAAGCAATGAAATCTATACAAAAAAAACTAGAAAGATAACAATTGGAAATCAAATGCATAATGTTTACCTTCGTATATGGTCTGTTCTGTTAATTCTTACTCAAACACATTCATATATATATAAATGGTGCTATAAAATTGCAATATGATGTAACCCAACACTAGTTACCATGGTGACAGACAGCTGGTTCAGGTCATTTACCTTATTCGAATGGCAAAGATGAAGAAACTGAAAACAGAATGCAGGAGCGAAGAATCATGAAAAGGCTTAATATGTTCAGTTGAAAATTGGTAACTTTGACAATGTTTAGGCAGTCTTAATGATGCACTTAGGGAAGGCAATGTCTGACAGGAGTTTCTGACAAGAGGTAGACAGCTTGTATATGACATGAGCAAGGTAGCAACCCAAATGAAGTTCTAACCCTTCTCCCTCCCTGTTGGTGTCTGCAGCCCAGCTACAGCAGATGAGTCCAGGTGCAGCAGCTGCAGCCTTTCAGCAGAACAAACAGCTGCAGGGGTTCACAGGTGCAGGGCCGCAGCAACAGGTAACATTGTACCTTCAGTTTTTTGTTTATCTATTTTCTTTATTTGTGTATAGCTACTAACTAGTAAATTTATATCATCTTATTTGGCAGTAATGTTACACATAATATGATATAATGTTACACATAATATCAAGAACTGATATCATTTTGATCAGAACTAAAATTCTTGCTGAAATTTGATGTTGAATTGTAACATCCTATATATGCCATATGGCCTAAAGAATTCTTTTTATTTTTTTTTCATGGTTAATTTAAATCTTAATCTGAATTCCAGGTGCCCACCTCGTCAGGCCTGGTCAACCTGAACAGTCTTCCCAAGCTTCTGAGTGTCCCTCCCCTGACCCAGGAGCAGTTACAGACCCTGGCACAGAAGGCAGCTAACCTGGCTAACCTGCAGAGGGCACAGCCAAGCAGGCAACAGGTATGGAGTTATGTTTAATTTGTATCACCCTAACTCACCCAAAATGCATGTTAGCAGAACGTACTGCGCCTGCACGACACCCAGATTTTTCGTTGGATGTTTTAGTTGCAGTATGTTCTGCCAACGTGCTGATTCAAGACCGCATGAATTTTATTTCTTGGTTCTCTTATTTCAAAAGAGACGTAATTGTACGTCCTGATTTTTTTTCAGAGTACTTTTATGTTCACCGTTTTCACGGTCACTTCAGTCTGTACTGTGAAAGTATCATTATCGTTATTAAATCAATTTTCTTCCCCCCCCTCCCCTGCACTTGCTTCCTCTGTGAGTTCCATGAACATGTCCATTTTCGTCAAATCTTTAGATTTTGCTATGGCAAACACAAAGTGTGCTACAGTACTGCTGAAGTAGAAGAGCAACATAAAAACAAAATCTGTCAAGTTTTCCTTTTAATCTGTATTAAAATGCTGAGAACCAAAGGAATGAAATGATGTGGTCTCGCTCTAAATACTGACCTCTCTAACTACTCACACAACTCAGACCGCAGTAGGACAGCTCCAGGGTTTGGTGCAGTCTGCAGGCAGGCCAGACAACCACCCTGTAAACTTCATCAGACCTCAGGTACAAATCAGTTTAAGTGGCCGTCAACTTGTGGTGACTGGTGTGGACAGTGCCTAGTCTAGTGGACACAAAGGATCTACGTGTAGAGGTTGCGGGCTTGATCCTTGTATTCCAGGCTAGACAACGTGTCCAAGGGAAAGGCTATTTGCGTGACTTTCTTTATTTCACCCAGGAGTAAAAAATGGGTACCTGACTTCGGTTAGTAAGGTAAAAGGTGGTGGAAGGAGAGTGATGGGCTCTGCCATCCAGTTCATTTTTGTACCTTGCCCTAGACACAGTGGATTAACAACCATACTGCCCCTGGGCCTCAAGAAGGCCATTGCATTTTTATCTACTTTACCTACTTTGATTGTTGTGGCTCTTCTCAAACACGGGACCTTCGGTTTGACATCCAATCCTAGAGGACATCCCTAACCAAAGATAGGTGCTAATCTTCACCTGAGGCAAGTGAACAAAACGAGCCATTCAGAACAAGTCTAATATTTCACGGTTTGACACAGAGCTTTTGTGCGAATCAAAATCTGAACCATTCTTGCCCTGAAGAAGGTGACAGACAGTCAAGCAAACATTGGATTTGGAAAGCCGCAGGCTGTTGAATATAAAGGACTCACTCATCACTCACTCACTCACTCACTCACTCACTCACTCACTCACTCACTCACTCACTCACTCACTCACTCACTCACTCACTCACTCACTCACTATCAAGTTTATTGTTTGTTGTTTCCCTTTTTCCGAGGGTTAGACGTGCTTGCACACTGGTGCTGAGGCTCGATGGCTGCCTGCCACTTGCCTCTATCTGTCCTGTGGGTTCATGTTCTGCAGGTTTAGGTGGTGGAAGTCCTGTCTTATGTTGTCCATCCATCTCTTCCTTGGATGCAAAGTGGGTTTTGGCCTTCCACATCCACTGTGATGGCCTTCTTTCGTTTACGGTCTTCGATTTCTTGTTTTCAGATGTTCCCCTGCATTCCCGGTCCCCCTGCTGCCCAGCATGTTGGGCGTTCGATCCCTGCATTCCAGGCTAGACATTGTGTCCTAGGGAAAGGCAATTCGCAAGACTTTTCTCACTCCACCCAGGTGTAAAATTGGTCCCTGGATTCAGTTGGTGAGGTTAAAGGTGGTGGAAGGAGAGGGATGGGCACTGCCTTCAAATACTGTGCCCTCGACACAGTAGATTAACAACCCACTGCCCTTGGGCCTCAAAAAGGCCATGGGACTACATTTACTTACATGTACCTTGATGGTTGTGGTTCTCCTCAAACACGGGACCTTCGGTTTTATATCCAATCCAAAAGAACATCCCTAACCCTAACCTTAACCTAAGCAAGGTACTCATCCTCACCTGAGTCAAGTGAACAAGAGAAGAAATTCACAACAAAAACTCTAAACTCTTCACTTCGATTTCTTGTTTTCAGATGTTCCAGCATATTCCCGGACCCCCTGCGGCCCAGCCTGCCCCAAACCCGTCCCACCCGCCCCCACCCAGACCCGCAGCCCCACCCTATCCCAGCGGCGCTCCTCCCAACATGCAACAGGGCATGGCGGCACTGCCGAGAGAGGAGGAGAGAGTAGATAGCGGGATCGCCAGCTCGCCATCCGACAATGGACAGGTTCGTTGTTTGTATCTTCTTTAGAAGCCAAGTTCAATTATAGCCCTTTCCACACCAGAGTTTTTTGCGAAAGAAATTTGTAAAGAATTACTAAATGTAGACCAGTATCAGTCTGAAATTCAAAGCAAACCTCAGTTATCACAATTACTATTTTGCTAGAGAAAGTTTTAAAGAATTAGACCCAATGTAAGTCTGTAATGTAGAATAAAAATCAATCCAAATGGTTTATTAGTCAAATGAGAATCTTGCAGTTACAGGATGAATTACATCTTGTTGCATCATTGAATTAAAAAAATAGCCAAAATGGGATTCTTAATTGCACATGAACATGTTAAGTTGAACTATTTGCTGTTAATGTCATAGCAAACTTAACAAGGGTTATCAAAAGTTTTTTTTATGCCTAAACATTTCCTATGGTAAGTGTAGAATAAAAGCACAATGTACTGGGCTAAGCACTAACTACAGGGTCTTTATCAGGCCCAGGCACCATCACCAAGACATCAGGTACCCATGACTTTATCTGAACCAAGACCTTATAACGGGAAAATCATCCTTTTGAATAACGTTCCGTATCTGTGCATAGAGTTGGTAAGTACAGGCTGGACCAAGGGCTGTCAGGGTTAACTTAAAAGTTTACCCATTTTGCAAGCATGAAAGCAGTTGTGGCATCTATGGGTTCACTAAACCTTCAGCCTGCTAAGGTACATTAGCTGCTTGGCACCAAATTTGTATGCATTATTTGGTTATGGTGGATTCATTCCTCAAGCTAAACAACATCTATCAACACCACAGTCGTCCCTCAGTAAGACATCTGGAGCCGCATGGTTCCCGTTTAGAACTTTTGTTCAGCCCGTCACTTGATATAGCCTCAGTGCACTTTAAGAGGCCCACACTGCGAAATCGGTCTTGATAGGCAGAATAAAAGATGTCTTACTAAGGGATGACTTCGGTGTGAAAGATCTGTATCTGTATAGCCGGTATAACCGCCTTTCAGCATAACACACCAGCTTCTGTATCTGTATAGCCGGTATAACCGCCTTTCGGCGTAACACACCAGCTTCTGTATCTGTATAGCCGGTATAACCGCCTTTCGGCCTAACACACCAGCTTCTGTATCTGTATAGCCGGTATAACCGCCTTTTGGCCTAACACACCAGCTACATGTTGGTTGGTAAGCTTGAGGAATGAATCCACTCTGCTATACAATGCATAATTTGGTTAAGCAGTAGGGAGAAGGTGAAACATAGAAGTGCTTATAATATCCCATATAAAAGCCATATTACCAGTGGGCAGCATGTTGGGATTCAGGACAGCTTGGGTGGAATTTGAAGACCTTGCTTTGTGAAATAGATGGTGTTGTCATGGTTACAACCTGTGAATGACCTCTGACCTCTCCTGACAGGTCAACTCCCCGCCTGAGAACGCAGCGGCGGCGGCAGGGGCTGCTGGGCCTGAGGGTCAAAGGTCAAGGTCAAGACCTAGCAGCCGGGACAGCGCAGGGTAAGTTCAGGTCTTGAAACACAGTCAGAAATTTGTTCTTCAACTTCTTGTAAAAAGTAGTTTTCAGTAGTATTGAATGTGTCAACCTACAGTTTTAATCTGTTAAACAAAATTGTGATCATAATTCAGTAACTTATAAAGTTATGAGGTTTCCCACTAAGACTAAGATTGTGCCTTTTGAAGTTAGAATGGTTATTTCTACTTCTGCAGGAATAAGCTATCATCAAAATGGTTTTAAGCATATCAGAAAATGACATTAAAACTTGATGTTAACCATTTTCTTCTTTACCCTTTTTTGTTGCAACGTTTCATTTGTTTTATTCTTACCCCCTGATGATCATAAAACCAACACATTTTCTTATTGCTTGGCCATATTACCATATTAATATTCTCAATTTATTAATATCTCTTTCTTATCACTAATTGCCTCGTCATCTCTAACCAGGACATGCCCATATCCAAATCTCCCCTCGTATTATTTCTCCCCAAGATTTCAGCCCCAAGTTCCTCTACAAGACATCATGAAAGACGTGAAGAAGGAGAAACTGGACGCAGGTGCCGGCGGGTCCAGCTGCAGTTTTGCAGCCACAAGCCAGGGGGAGCCGGGCACCAGCACCAGCAGCACTGCCAATGTTAGAGTAAAGCAGGAAAAAGTAAGTCTGAAAATTAAGCCTAGTATAACAAATGTATACATGTTGTCAAAGCTGATATTCAGGGGACTACGAAAACCTGGTCTATGCTGACAGATGGTCACTATAGACAGTATTCTTAATGCTTGTACCAATTTGAAAATTAACTAAAAGATTACCAAAAGTGGTCTTATTAGCCAGGTGATCCTTATGTAGAGGTTGTCACTAGTAAAGGTTTGATTGTTGAAGCCCTCCAAATTGTCATCATCATCATCATCTACCATCCTTCAAAGAGGTGGAGTATACAAAGTTAGAACGCCAAAACTGTTTGTCATTCATCGCAGAGATAAGTTCCAGGCCCTCCAAGCCTGTTTCAGTTTCTATAAGTTTCTTAAGTGTTATGTTTGGACGTCGAACTCTTCTCTTTGTATCAGGGTTCCAGAGTAGAAGCCTACTGGCCGGTTCTTCACTACGTACTGTACTACATGACCGGCCAAGCTTAGTCGTTGACATTTAACTACTGTAGTTACATTTGGTAACGAACCGTATAACTGTTCGTTAGTAGTTTGTTTCCACCATGGTGTATTGAAAACTACTCGCAGCACTGTCTGTTGCCTTATCTCATTGGGAAGGTACATAATTCCTTTCCCTGTACATTTGTATAGTCCCAAATTTATTGATTCTGTATCTGTATAGCCGGTATAACCGCCTTTCGGCATAACACACCAGCTTCGCAGGCACGCGGCGCGACGGCAGCTAGCTACATTACACCGATCGATTCAAATTACATGTATGAAACAAACAAGCAAAAATGCATCTTTTTTTCCCCTCCTGAACCCAGGGACTGCAGCACACCTGTGGAAGAGGAGAAGGTGAAAATGAACATCTCAGCACAGCTGGCTCTGCCTCGGCAACGGTGGAACTTCCCCCGGCAACAACAGGGCTTCCCGTGGCAAACACAGGTCAGGGTTAGAAGTTTCTGCAGTCTACTTTCTGCAAAGACATTTGCAATATTACAGATTACAAATTACAAATTAAGCAACCTGCAGTTTTGCAAGACTGATGCAATGGCCAAGTGGGGGTAGAGTGCTTGCTTTGCATTTGATGGGTCGTGAGTTTGATCCCTGGCCGAGTCATATCAAAGACTTACAAAAATGGTACATACTGCTTTCTCTGCTTAGCACTCAGCATTTAAAAAAACTGTATGGGAGTTTAACACACACCACTGCCAGTGGACTAGCCCCCTGCTGTAGTGATTGCACAACTGTGTGGCCCAAAGGCTACGAAACGAAGATGGGCGACACCATGTGCGACCATGGTTTCGGTTCATTCGGTAGGGTTTAACTAACTAAATAACTAACTACAATATTGCAGCACACTGAAAAAAAAGTATTTCTACATTTTGTACCACTGCAGGTCTACCTCTACCCACAGCAGCAGATGCCCTAGCAGCCATGGATGCGGCGCCCACCCACAACCCTGATGACCCAAACGAAGACTGGTGTGCCGTCTGTCACAATGGAGGCGACCTGCTCTGCTGTGACACGTGTCCTAAAGTCTACCACCTCAACTGTCATGTACCCAACATTCCTGCCATGCCCAGGTAAGGCAATAGGTGTTGTAAGGTGTAACACACCTGGCCAGAAGTTTAAGACACCTGTCCTTAGGTGTAAGTTCCTTACCTGTCCTATTCATAAGTTTTTACCACCCAGACTGTCCTGTCTCAAGCATTTCTGCCATGACTAGGTGGCAAACAATGAATTGTAAACTGTACATGCCAGCATATTTTCATCATGATCCTATTTTGTACAGTAAGACACTATTGAACTATTTTTTCTCAATAACTGTTCAACAGGATATAGGGGATTTCTTTTTTACACAACCACAAGATCGTACCTTGCTGATGTTTCGGTGTCTATCAGAAGTAACTATTCAACAGATCTACTATGAGTGGTTAAAATGAGTCTAGTAGTGATATTGTTTCCTAGTTACAACTAATAAAACTAAAACATGGGTCCCCTTCCTGTCCCCCCCAGTGGAGATTTCATGTGCACGTTGTGTGAAGAGTTACCAGACGCAGACACCACACCCATATCTGAACATGGCAACAAGAGGAAAGCACCGACCGGCATGCCTGACAGAGACCTAAAGGTAACCCCCATTTTATAACAGTTTTTATCGTACCTTGTTTCATTAATGGTGTTTTTGTTTTAGGATCATCAAGCAGCATGTTGGAATTTTTCCAAAAACATTTTGTAAATTTTAAAATGGCATATTAGTTGTGTGAGTTTAGATAGGGCTAACTGGACAATAAATGTAAATCTTGTTTTATTTCCTATAGGTGTGTGAGAAGATTCTCCTGGAGTTGTTTTCCCATGAACACAGTGTCCCTTTCCACGATCCAGTCCCCACTTCAGTAAGTATCCGTACACATCTTCAAACGTTAGCAAATACATTTTGTATGCAGTGCCCGGTGCTTCATGTCTATCTTCTCTTGAAAAGGCAGACATTTTTTTCGAAATGACAGTTCTATTCAGTTGCTTGAGTAACAATTTCCTTGTGTATCTCATGTACATCATGGATGTCTAACCGTCATCTACATATCTTTCTTCACATCATTTTATTAATCCAATATCTATAGATGGTACTTTCAAGGAGTTTTACTCTACTAGTCAGAGTGCTTTTTTCTTATATATTTACAAATTTTGTCAGTACATGAATGTGTAAAGTTATAGTTTTATTCTTATCTATGATATTGTGTATCTGTAGGTCCCGAACTATCACAGGATCATCGCCCACCCGATGGACCTGACCACCATCAAGAGTAAACTGCACAGGAAGCACTTTAACCACTACCAGAGTGTGGAGGAGTTTATCTACGATGTGGCCCTGGTCCTCACCAACTGTGCTAAGTACAACCTGGTGAGAAACTTAGTAGCATGGATAAAGCATGCTTTTAGCAGCTAAGGTCACACCAATTTGATTTATTGGTTCTCTTGATTTTTTTCTGATTTGCAAAAAAAAAAAAGATTCTGGTTCTGAATCAAATCATTTCTAAAATCCTTTTCTCCCTAGTTGTTACAGTTTTACCATCTAACAATTCAGCAGTTTGATTAAATTAAAAGTTCAAAATTCATTGTTTAAATATTAACCCAAATTATGTGTTGAGTTCATGGCTCCTATCATAGCATTTGGGGCTATAGTAGGATGTCTAGACCTTTTTTAATGTTTTTTAACGCTGTCACTTCATATTTTTTCTGAAAAAAAAATCTGAGAACTAACAAATTAAAATGGTGTGGCTAATCTCCAAGCAGATCCTTTGGTGGCAAAATCATAACAAACTGGCAAGGCAAAAGAGCTTGACTGCATTCTACATTTCTTTACATTCCGCTTAGGACATGTGATACAAGCTGAAAAGATTATTGAAAGTCTGGAGTAAAAAAAAAAAATGATAGAAAAGGTCAATTTTTAATAGTTTTTGGTCAGGAGGAACCCAAAGAATGATTTGAATGAGTCTGGTGTAATTTCAGCATCAGCTAGGGCGGTTTCTTTTTTCTGCTTTTTCTCTGGTGAGGTGGCAGAGTGACTTGGTTTGTTCTTCGACTCTACTTTCCTTTACTCAAGCACATAGGAATCTAGAAAGAAATAGCTTACCAAAAGTACCAAAAGTAGTAGCAATTTCAAACCATGCTTGCACTGGATCCTACATGAAACTATAACTGGCTTTCACAACTTTGTATGTGGCTGACTGTTGAGGCAAAGTGATGTATGTTTGCTTATTGAATTTTAGGCTGCTGAAACGTATTTCCATTTGCTTATGGCAATCAATGCTTTACACATTTATGTGTGGAAGTTGTATTGTATCATTGCAATTGTGATATAAATTTTGAAAACTCCACCTTTGCATTTTTGTGGCATAGAGTCTGCACTAAGCTCTGTTCAAAGGGAAGAAGACATTTGATTTTTTTATCAATCTTGGATAGATATTGGGTAGACCCTGCAGCTAAATAGTGCTGATTTCCAAGGGAGCCCATGACAGATAAACTGAAAAAAAAGAAAGATCATAAATAATACAAAATTCAATCATCGCACATTACAAACCATACAAAGTAAATGAAAAATGATAATATGATATGATAACAGTAATTATAATTGTTTCTTTCTGTTTTTGCTCGTCTCTCTGCCCCTACTACAGGGGGAGTCGGAGGTCGGCCACGCGGGAAAGCTGATCGCAGACTTTTTTACGGAACGGTTGGCCACCTACTGCCCAGATCATGTCGAAACGTTTGTGTGCACGCTGGGTCACCAGATGGAGAACCCTGCGCTCAGCAGGACGGTAGAAGATCAAACTCAGGCCAGAAAAAAGCAGAAAAAAGATAGCGAGTCCTGAAAGCGTTTGACCACCACTGGGTGAGACCATTCCTGACAATGCTTTGGTGACGTCACTCACTCACTGTGTATTGAAAATGAACAGTCAGAAAAGGCTACCATAGAATATACAGGCTTTTCAAAAGCAATTAATGTCACATTGCAGGATGGCAAAAAAGCAGAAAAAAGATAGCGAGTCCTGAAAGTGTTTGACCACCACTGGGCGAGACCATTCCTGACAATGCCTTGGTGACGTCGGTGTATTGAAAATGAACAGCCAGAAAATGAAAGGCTACCATAGAACATACAGGCTTTTCAAAAGCAATTTGTGTCACATTGGAATACACACCCCAGCATTCTGCTGCTCTTCTCCAACAATTTTCTGGGGAAACCAAATTAAGATATGCAAACAAAAAGCCTGTATTCAAATGCGTAAAGGGAAGCTCACCATCCCACAACTAAAGCTTATTTTGCATCAGACAACAGAATAAGCGCAAAACCTTCATTACATTATGATCTGCTGCTTTGCAATGTGAGAAATGTTGTCCAAACTGCAGAGTACAAGCATTTGAAAATTCTGCTGCCTTAGCGAGGAGGGGGTACTTGCGCCATGGAGCCATTTACTTACAATGAGCTAACTCAGTCTTTCATTGTCAATGTCATTATGTCACTGGTTAGTGTTCTTTGCACACAGCCAACGAGTTTATACTTAGCTGACATTTCAGTGACCATCTGTCACCTTCCTCAGGGCAATACTGTCGGTAATAGTACTTCGTACAATCGGTAATTCTAATTTGTAAGTTGCAGTCAGATGTCACTGCTTTAGTGACAAGATTGTGGTCCCAAATGCAACTGACTTTGTCTCTCCCCCCCCCCCCCACAACACCTAGCAGAAGTGCAAAGTATAACCAGTCAGTATTGCCCTGATGACGGCAACAGACGGTCACTAAAACTTTGTCTTGGTGTAAACTCCTTTGTGTAGGAAGAACTTTTCACCCGTGATTCACCAAACATTAACCAGTGATTCAGCAACCTGATGACACTACCTATTAACACAAATGTAACTAAATCGCCTGTCCATTTTCTCCCCAGCCTACCTCTGATGTTGGCAAAGCAGGGAGAGAAGTGGAGACGTGGATGGAAAGGCTCCTGACGTACCGCGCTCCCGAGTTCTTATCAAGCTTCCTTATCTACATGCTTGACCGTTCGAACCAAATGCAGGCAAGCACTTCCAGTTCAGAGGTCACAGAACCAACAAAGAAGAAGAGAGCGCCGTCAGGAGACAGGAGGACAGTAGAGGAACAACAGTCTTCGGTTAAAAAAGCTGAACCAATTGTACATATTAGATAGGACGGTTTTCATTCAGGACGCTTTGCAATATTTGCGGGAAGAGGCTATTTATGGACCTTCTTTTTCTTTGTCGACACACTTTCATTAAAGCATGCAAGAAAGTTCAAGAAAACAATCTGGAAACTTGGATCTGTATGATCTACAATACTGTTATCCAGTTAATTGAGCTGTAAAACAAACCCTTTTGAAGGGAAGTAACAAAAGAAGCTGTAAGGAGAAAATGGTATACAATGTTTCCTTTGCTAACAGTTTTCCTAGGTCTTCATAATGTTGTATATAGTAGTTAATTATACAAATTTTGTTGACTAAAAGTTGTAACAAGAAGTTATTTTCATTCAGTTTTGACTTAAACATGCAGCAAGAGCAACTGCATTACTGTATTATTACAGGTAGCGAGTTCTTCTAAATGTAAATTTGCATTATATGTCGAAAAAGTATTGTTTTGTGCTTTTTTTCTTGTTGCCGAATTGGCAGGCCAAAGGTTATCCTTAATTCATCTATGCAGCTGTAAAATCCGACAGTCTAGAATCCCATTCTCTGATTGGCTTATAGTTATACACACCAAGATCTGAAGCACTCTGATTGGTCGGCAAATTTCTGGCATTAATGTGTATGTAACAGACTGTCTGATTGGCTGACAATCAAAAACTCAACTCACTGATTGGCTGACAATTTTAAATACGTACATGGACACTCTGATTGGATAGCAATTTCAATGAGCATATACCAAGTGCTAAAGGACTCTGATTGGCTGAAATTTTTTTTTTAATGTACACCAAGCACTCTGATTGGCTGACTCAAACCGAAGACCCACTGTTTCACCTATAGTTGATGACAATTGTTTGTTAGAGTTCAGTTGTACATAGGCTATGTTCTGTAGCTAGTGAGTCAATATATATTATATTTTTTCTTCCGTTTGGTCACTAGTGTTATTTTGTGAGTACTACTAAATGAGCCAGTGAAACAGTTGAAATTCACTACGAGAAATTGTAGTTAACTGCAGTGTAAGAAATTTATACGTAATATCCACAGTATACTTGTTCAATGTGATAATATGTACTGATTTTATACAGAGACGGGCTATATTCATGGACAAATTTATGTGTTACTGACAACAGAATAAGCCAACAGCACCAAATGTCTTTATGTGTTGTCAGAGTTGTTTTTTTCTGATGCAGCTTCCTTAACCAACCCGCGTGTGTATGGTAGCACAGTTAAGTTAAAATTGTCTGCAGCATTGTAGCTTTGTTTGAACTGCAAGTCTGTAGTGCTGCATACCAGTTCACTGGACTTGGATCCGGACTTGTAAGGATGTTAAGGTTCAAGTCCAAAAAAACATAAAAGTCAAAAACCGAGTCCAGACTTATCACCATAAAAGACCATTTCACATACCCCTTTTCTTTCCAAACCACCTAAAACCTTCCGTAGATTGCAAAATCTTTGCTGCAAAATGAAGAAAACATTGCCATCGGGCATCGTCAAGTACCGGCCAAAGTTTCACCCAGACAACATTGCAATGTTGCCAACATGCAATTTTGTATGTGCCATGGGTTTAGGTCCGGACTTACAAGTCCGGAACTGAACCTAAACCTCTGGACTTGAATCCAGACCTGAACCTAAATGTAGGTTTATGTATGCAGAACTACAAGACGTTTTGCCCAATTTTCAGTGACTTTGCTTAGCCTCAGGTGTAATGAAGAACGTGTAAATATGTAAAGCCCTTTCCCCATTGCAAGTAGTTCCTCTTATGTTAATGCTATACAGTATCACTGTAGCCAAATATTACTGCAAGTTTCCACCTTTACGTAATACTATGTAACTTATTGATCAAGGGACAAAGTTAATATTTAACTTTATAACCTGAATAAATTGTAATTTAGGATGGTTATGGTTAGCAAGCATTCAGGATTCTGTTCATAATTTTCAACTCTATACATGGCCTAACTTCTCATAACTTCTTATTGCTTCCTACATTATCCTAGTACATAGATTAGCCTACAGCTTTCTTTTGTTCTTCCACGCTTGTATATTAAACTGGATGTGATGTTTGTATGCATTCAAACCTTTATTGTACATCTATTATTATATGGACACTTTGTACAAGCTTCCAAATTCCCACGTTTTGGTGGGAGGGGAGAAGAGCCCCCTGGCGTACCATTGTATAACTGCACCTGTTGCGGTCATGTAGCAATACACACTCTTTGCTGAACAGTTTTGGCTTGTTGGTGTGTCTGAATTGATATTTACTAACTGCAGGATGAGTAGAAAATCCTCTAGCATAGGTTGAAGGCATTGTAATAGACGTACGGTCACGTACCAGTTAAGGAACTAAGAAGGATAGCGCGTTAGGGTCGCAAAACGATGTCGATGAAAAAGAAAAGTCAGTAACAAACTAGTGCTTCTTTTTGTATGTACATCATTGATGTCAGGAGCAAATTTCCAAGCAGATGTTGGGTGGCTGCCCTGACATTTTCTGTTTCAAACTACTTCGGCACAGGGCAGCTACGCTTTAACCACCCAACATCTGCTTGGAGATTAGGAGTTGCTCAGCTCTACTGTGAATGTTGTTATACTTCTGAACTGCTGCCAGCAACTTGACAGAAACTTTGACAAGATGACCAATATTGACAATGGCAGTCACAGGTAAAGCGCATTTGACACATCCAAGGGTTGTCAACAACTCTAAAGCACTTCTCTTTCAACAGTGTTTCAGTACATAGGAACCACAGTGTAACAAGTCAATCAGTGTAATGTAGCCAGTTGCCGCCGTGCCTGCAAAGCTGGTGTGTTGTGCCAAAAGGTTGTTATACCTGCTATACAGGTACAGATACCCAAGATTTGTCCAAGTCACTCCATCCAATACCATAACATTTGTTTGTGGGTAGAACTACCAAACATAGTCATGATCATTCTTGAGCAGTGACTTTTACGGGTTTATAATTGCTTGATTAAGGCCCAGAGATTTAAACTTTGAAGTCAGGGTGCTTTTATAACCCTAAGTTGGCCTCACCAATTAACTTATTCGACAAACGCTACACACATGGATTGGGCTGATCTCTGTTTTTATTTTTTAGCAGAACAGTCTCTATCACAACATTCATGTTCCTTAACTTGCTGTAGATTGATCTAACAAGGTTGTCTCATAACTTGAGAAACTGTTCAAAACATAGTGGCTTAAGACAGTTTGATAACTACATAATATTTTTACCAAGTCTTTTATCAACCAATGCACTTAACTTGAAGCATCTAGTGCAACACTACATTGAACCACATAGAATATAACCATAGCTTAAATATCAAGACAGAAACTTACAGATATATCACTTCATATTGTCACACTTAACAACTGTACTTAGTATATTAACATCAATCTTATACACTTTGTAATCCAAAACATTTGGAACTAAACTAGGCCATATGGATTTGGCTAGTGAACATGTACATGCATTCTTCTTAAAATATCACTGAATAACAATACAAGCAATTTATTAATAATACCATTACATTTAGGAAGCATAACCATTTTAAAGTTTACAGACACACTTAACCATTAATTCCATAACTATTTATTTATTTATTTAATTCGATTGCGACGATACAATACCCTGGCCACCCAGGCAGCATAGCTGATTTCGGGCGCCAAACAATACAAAGATTAAACATACACAATAACATACTAATACAGTAAACTAACAAGTAAAGATTAAGCTAAAATCAGTTATCAATATACAATACAATCAAGCATAATAAAGTACTCAATCAAGATAATAATAGCAATTAATGTTTTGGAGGTCAGAGGTCAAGGGCAATTGGATATAATACAGTATGTGAGGAAATATATACATGTATAACGTAAGATTGTAAAAGGTTAACTTATGTGGTACCACGGGAAGGGCCATCTAAACGTTTTGTGGTGGAAATAAATGTTTCAAATTCCATAACTATATAATATATTATCCTTGTCAATAATATCAAATTTCAATAACATTTGAACATGTTTCGTTGACCTATAAACAAATGCATTTAGGAGGATGACATTGGAAAAATGAACATATCATTTTCCATAAAGTAATTTACCAGGATATTAATATATTTTGTTCATAGTGTATTTGCTCTAAAGATAAACTTTCTTGCTGAGTCAATGTTTCAGTGATTTATAATTAAGATGTGTCTTAAGTCTGTGTTCCCACATACTTATCTGAACAACAGGGTCAAGTCACAAACCCTGGAGGACTTTTACATTTAAACATTTCTCAAATTAAGGCCCAAGTCATAGGTCAAGATGTGACTCCAGGTTCTTACTTATCAATACTGCCCAGTTGAGACTCATGCAAAAAAGACTGCTGGTTATGGTATTAATAAAAGTAATGTGTTAATTACTGTGCACTTCCTGCAAGTGGGTTCTCAGTTGATTTGGTTTAGTATAACCCTTGTGACACACCTGGCACTTGTGGGGAAGCTCCTTAGTGTGAATGCAGATAACATGGCCCTTCAAACTGCCTCTCTTTGTAAACCTCATGCCACAGTGTTCACACTTGTGCGGCTTTACACCAGTGTGAATTCTCATGTGTCTTTGCAGGTTACCAGAGTCTGTAAACCTCATGTCACAGTGTTCACACTTGTAAGGCTTCTCACCAGTGTGAAGTCTCAATGTGTCTCTGTAGTTGAACCAACTGTGTAAACCTCATGTCACAGTGTTCACACTTTAGGCTTCTCACCAGTGTGAAGTCTCATGTGTCTCTGTAGTTGAACCAACTGTGTAAACCTCATGTCACAGTGTTCACACTTGAATGGTTTCTCACCAGTGTGGATCCTCATGTGTGCCTGTAGACAATCTGTCCTCGTAAATCCCTTCCCACACTCTGTGCAGACATGATGCTTCAGGCCAGTATGTGTTAACATGTGTTTGGTCAGGTTTGCCTGGACATTGAATGACCTTCCACACTCCTCACACCTGTAGGGTTTCTCACCAGTGTGAACCCGCTGGTGGGGCCGCAGGTGTGACTTCTGTGTAAAACCCTTCCCACAAGTCAGACACTTGAATGGTCTCTCTCCTGTGTGGGTCATCATGTGAATCTTTAAGTGGTCTGTCTTGTCAGTTGAATAATTACAGTGTTGACACTTGAACCGTTTTGACCCTGACATGTCTGCATGAGTCTTCACATGTCTGTCCAGGTAGTCCTGGGTGGAGAACAGCTTCCCACACCTGCTGCACCCATAGCCTGCAACTGCACCTGTCTGGATACCTGTAATGATATACGTGTAACACGTATTGATTGCTTCAGTGCTATACTTAAAACAATATAATGTATGTTCATGACATGTCTGTCCTTGCTGCACCTGTAGCCTAAAACTGCGCCTGTTTGGATACCTGCGGAGAGATAACAGGTGAAAGTTGCAGGATGTTATCCAAACAAATAAATTTCCCCATCTTTTCACATGTTTGTGCTTTGGATGAAGAGCACCTTTCCACACCTGCTGCACCTGCACCAGTCTGAACACCTGCAAAAATGTAACAGTATAGTTTGAAAATCAAAAGTAAGAACCTGACATGTATGCATGTATCTTTACTAGCTGTCTGTCCAGGTAGTCCTGGGTGGAGAACAGCCTCCCACACCTGTAGCCTGCAACTGCACCTGTCTGGAGACCTGTAATCATTATGATATAACAGGTTATTGCTTTTAGTGCTAAACTCATTACTAAACAATATGTGTTAATTTGTGACATGTCTTTCCAGGTAACAGCTTTCCACACCTGCTGCACCTGTAGCCTAAAACAGCACCTGCCTGGATACCTGCAGAGAGATAACAAGTGACATTTTCAGGGTGTTTTCCAAACAAAGTGTCTGCCTGTTTTTGATCACTAACACATTGCAACGTACTGCACCAGTCTGGATTATATCCTGCAGAAGGAGAACAGAGCACAGATTAATTATGGTTTCCAAATATGGTTTCAAAGTAAGAACTGGCCTTAGCATGCCTGTCCAGGTAGTCCAGTGTCAGTGATGACTGTTTCCAAAATCATATCCGGTTGCTTGAGTAACTGCTTTTGGTGTAAATACTCTTTGATGTTCTATGGATTAGCTCTCATGGGCAAGCAATTTCTGCATGGGTTCTCTGGACTGAGTTGAGTTTCATTTCAAAGTTTGAAATTAAAAGTCAGCTGTGCCTTACTTTGCTTTTGCTTATTGGGCTCCTCGCCTTCTGTCTCTTCCTTTTCTGAGATGCCCAGCTCCTTGGCGTACTCGTTCCCATACCACACCAGCAGCTCGGTGCCAGGGGGAATGGTCTTGTAGGTGCGGTAGTAGATGTTCCTGTAGTACTGGAAGGCCACCAGGTTCTGTTCCTCCTCATTCCGCGCACAGTTGACGTAACGCATCCAGCTGCTCTTGGTGACGTCAGTGGCGTCAATGTAGTACTTCACCTTGTCGTTCTTGGAGATCTGCATGAAAATAATTTGGTACAAATTAAGCCATGTATTACACTTATGCATGGTCTTGTATCTTACGGTTACTTTCTTGCAACAAAACAAGTGGCAAGTGACACAAAGGGCCTAAAGGACAAATTACATAATGAAAAGATCATACTATATCTAATAGTATATGTCTTGTAGTTTGTTAATGGATATCTCAATGTAATTTAAGAAAAATGTTTGCGATGATTCTATGAAATTCAAACTATGGAATAAAACCACTGACAGTACACTATAGGCCTGGGATAATATTAAAAAGAATACTGTGTACTTACTTGCCATGCATATCCACTTGTCAGCCCTATCTCAGGCCCGGTGATTTTCCCATCGTATGGCCCAAACACCAGGTTCTTGGGCATGGCCTGTCCATCCAGCCAGACCCCGTCCCCTGCCCCCTTGATCTTGGAGGGACACACAGACAAGTAGTCTGGAAGGGTGTGGACTGCCCTGTTGGGTTCTCCCTTGGGAACTACCTTGTCCTTCACGACAGTCAATGGACCATGGACGGGACAGTCTCCCTCATACAGCTCATTGCAGTCTTCACAGACTGAAACAACACAAAATCACATTGACAATTACAATAAACCTTTCATGGAATAGTTAAAATCAATACATACAAAATGCATGATGATAAGAATAATATATGACAGTCTGGACTATCCAACAGCTTTTATTGTACTGCTATAGGGCGTTCAATGAATGTACTATTGATTCAGAAATAAAATAAAAGGGGGAAGTTCTACTGGTTTAATTGCTTCAATACAATACAAAATAGCAGCAAGCATTTGAAGAAATTCCAAGGAAACTACTGCTGTAAAGATATTATGTAGCCATTCTATACATACACAAATAGTGGTCATCATCTGGAAGTTCTACTTCCTTGTAGTTCTTTCGTGGAATGTTGCGCTTTGGGTAGCGACTCCTCTGAGTCTCCTCCCTATCCACCACTGGCTCTGGCTCCTTCAGTTCCTGCAGCTTTGGTGGTTGCAGTGTGGTGGTCAGCAGCTCTGATATGACACAAGATTGGTGCGTTACACCAAAGTTCAATTATATTGGCTAGTATACAGACAAAAAAAGACATCAAGGTTCTGTTAAAGGGACATGGAAGAAGCAATTTTACACAATATTTTCCCAGTTTTGCAATCGGTTGTTGCTAAACCTTACCGTGTGATATCTCTGTACAAACCTTAACCTGTAAAGCAATATTTCAGGATGGCATTCAATGCATATTATAGCAGCATACCTGATCAAAAAGCAATCATTAAAAAGAATGAGTTTAATAAACACCTTCCTCCAAATCAGTACTGATGTCTGACTCTGAGCCCTCCTCCTGTCCATCCTGTGGTCCAGCAGCCTCCTCTTCCTGGATCTCTAGTTCCAGAGCCTTCATCTTCTTCTCCAGCTCTGCAAGGCCAGCTGCAGTGGCAGCCCGGATCTCAGCCACCTCCTCAGCTTGGAACCCCAGGAATGTCTTTGCCACATCATCATCACTGGGAGCTTTGCTTACTGTTGCTTCTGCTTTCTTTTTTACCTGCAGATACAAGAAATGATTTGTTATGCTGTGTTAAAAAGTGTTAGATTAAGATCCACAGAGTCTCTGAGGTACCCTATAAAACAGATCAATTTTCTGTTTGTAGGGACTGTCCTTGGTGCTGATTGCTACACTCAATGGAAAGCACACCTCAAAATTCAGTTTTACACTAGGTCCTACTATTTGATATTGAATTATTGGTGTCTACAAGCTAACCTAGACTGAGAAATGCCTACTAGATCATATACTTGTAGTTGGAAAAACATAATTGTGAGATGGCCAGCAAAAACACTGTGACATTGGTACAGCACTTCAAGATAAGTACATTTATTACGGGTACATGTGAAGAGTTGTGTAATGAAATTAAGTCATGATGTCTTACCATACCTTAGAATTTTTTTGTGGACCAGTAGTCTTAGGTTTGGGTTTTGACATCCTGGGTTTTTTGGGTGGCAACAGGAACCAAGCTGTGGGTAGATCACAACAAGATAATTATTAATTCTAAGAGCTTTATACAACCAAAACCCAATAAAACCCAACCAAACAACCAGTGAACAGTCAATGACAATACAGTAGGGAAGGCACATGCACACACAACTGCATTGGTAAATTATGTGTGAAAGCATTTCTTCAACGTGAAAAGAAAGAAGGTTGCCACTCTTGTCAAAAAGAAAACAAAACATAATCCACGTAAATGATGCCTCGACACAGAATATATAAAAATCTTTGTCAGTTGCATTTCTCATATTACAATCCTCTGTCTGTCATGTTATCTTCCCTTATCTAAATCACTGTACTCACGTTTCTTTGGCCGCTGGTTCTTCTTCCTCTCCAGCTCAGGTGTCCATTCCTCATCTTCCTCCTCCTCACTGCTGGTGAGAGGTGGGGTGGGGGGCTCCTTGGGCTGAACCAAGCTACGCCTGTTCCTTTCCATGAAGTAGGGTTTCTTACCAGGCAGACCTGACATTCAAAAATGATAAACAGTAAATCTTGACAGAATGGCCAAATCATGCATGTTTCCTAAAATTCTGACTAATACAGTATTTGTTAAGAATATACGAAATTATAAGACCACTTGCAAGATTTTAAGCAGCTGCAGGTGTACATGTATTTTTGCCCGAGAGCATATCTACAGGTCAAACAGATACTTAAAGAGGCAACGATGACAATATTCAATTTGAATTCTGAAATGATCAAAAAACTTACCAAGCATCCTCATGACATCGTAGTTACGCTTCATGTTCCGATATCGCGTCATCTCGATCTTGCTGAGCTCTGCCAGCTCTTCCTTGCTGAAGTACTGCTCGATGCGGATGTCTTCAGTCTCTGGGACTTTGCTCATGTCAAAGTCTGGGTCTATCATGTTTGCAAATGGGTTTGAACTAGGACACAAAAAAAGGGATACAAAATCAATTACCCTGATTATCACACCTATTACAGCTCCTGAGTCCTACATCCTCTCCGATTTTTGCAGAGGACATAGGACTTAGGAGCTATAATAATAAGTCTGGTAACCAGGCTAAAAACGAAGTCTCCCCAATCATTATTGTCAGCTGCATCACAACGTAAAATGAATTTCTTATAGGAAAGAATCTTAGGAACTGTTGCAAATTGTTATTTTTGCATATTACATTTACAGCGCCTTATATCCTGTATTCTGTGCATTGGATGATTTTTAATAAGGCATAACTCTTGCAGACATGGCAGATAAGTAATATGCAGTGAAGCATAGAGTAGTAGCACCACTAAGGGGGGGGGCACACAAAAAAATGGTACATGGACGGTCATATCATGATTAATTTTTATTGTAACTTCTTGTGAAATTCTTAAAAATCAACATCTAGATTTTATTTAAGATCAGAATACCTGCCACTGGTGCTGGCTGCCTGCTTGTCGTTGCTCTCGTCTTCTGATCCTGACGAGCTCGAGCTGCTGACAGACGCCATTTTCACACTGTCGTCTGCACTGCACAAATGGCGGGAAAACTCCTGTCAACACAGAAAACAGAAATTCTAGCCTAAAACAGAAATCTGCCATACCTCCCGTAATTTTTCCAGCTTTTTCCATTACTTGAAAATACTAACTCCGATATCCTTTCGCTGACAATACTGTACGTCAGCAAATGCATCGTCTCTGTAACTGTATACGGTGATGTTGAAAAATAAACAAACCCTCAACACGACTAGGAATACCTGAAAATCATGTAGTTCACAGAACTTACAATGAATTTTCTAGTAACCATGGCTGAAATGGACGTCAGCAGGGCCTAACTGAATGAAAATACTGCGATGACAAGAGGAGATAAAATGTAAACAACAGAATCCTGTCAGATTACGTCGTGTCACTGAGTTGCCAAAATGTCGTCTGCACAAATCGTGAGACAAAATTTTGAAGTCTGACAGAAAAATGACTTGACACGACAACGACACATTGTACAGAGACTTACCGTATGCTTCTCTTGCCCACTGAACCAAAGTTACGCTAAATCTGAACGATTTTGTCGAGAAAATCCCGATTTTTCAGGCACAAATCCACTGAACGTCCGTCCAGCAGTAGAATCGGCGGCAAAATGACTTCGGGAACATTCGGAGGTATTTTTCCCAGAATGCACAGCGATCGTGCCTTTTCGGCGGCCGTTCGGGTGTAGTCGGGCTTTCTCGCTACTGACGAAGATTTTTAATGCCTGGAGTGTGGATTTTGAGCTTGCTGATTCAAATTTTAGAAAGGTTTTCAAACTGATTCGTTGATTAAAGTAAGTTTTGGTCTCTCTCATCATTGATATCAATAAATAAGACATAGAAATATTAAATCAAAAGTAGTATCACCTGTTTCATTTCCTTGATTTACCCAAGGACATTATACACAGTGTATAATGTCCTTGATTTACCCAATAAAAGTAGAGTAGCATATCATATTATATCATCTTGTAACTATTGGACTTTTTAAAAAGTCCAATGTTGGGTGTTAGTGAATAGATTAATTAGCGCTAGGTTTAATTACATTACATACAGCGTACGGAAACATGGAGACAATCTCGATTCTTTGGTGATCACTTGTGTATACAATGTATATGTTTATTGGGGGGGGTAACATAACTTAGTTTGTAAACTTGAGTCTGTCATTAAATTTGTTTGTTTCCTCCATTCCAGAGATCGGCGCTACCGCTTCACCCTGTGTAAGGTCAACCCGTAAACAGCACTAGGTAACATCCGGTGCAGCGCCTTTCAACATGTGAGATGCACTTGTTAACGTAAAAAATCTTAATAGTATCCTATATTATAAGTCTAGAATATCAGTTCGATTGAAAAAACACTGGCTGGTGTATAACGTAGAAACCGCTTAAAAGATTCCTCTGCAGATTCATTGGTGAAGCATTTACCCATTTCTATTAATTCTTTATAGCTACATGTATGTGGACTACAAGAACAGACCAGGGTGAATCGTAGAGTGGGCGATTGCAGGACAAAAAAAAACTTTTCATGTTGTAGATCAAACACTTGTTTTAGCTCTTTAAATTTTACTAAAAGTTTCATTTTAAAGTTCATTTTGTGTATTGTACACAGGAATTTTTCACAAATTCAGCATATGATCCATCCTGGAATAAAGCTGTACATAGGATTATATATCTGTAGATTTTATCATAATTTTCAGAAAATAAGGCATAAAGTAGCCATATATATACACACATATCGAAACTGTGGTGATACGGCTCAGTTAGGTGTTCGATTGTAGATTTTCTGTTATTTCACTACCTTTTCAATGGAAACGTGAAGTTTCACGTTGGTTAATACAAGTTGTCATTTTGTCGCAGAAAAATTAACCTAATGCTTACTTCGTCTTATATGTGCCATTTCTGTGTTGTGGAGGGCGCTATGAATGAATAAACAAAGATGTGTGATGAAACTTCGCATGTTTTTGTCTTTTAGTATTTGACAACTTAATGTATGGACGTACGCATGTCTCCAGCAGGCCTTTCTACGGGCGGAAATACGGATCGTAGAATTCGGCAAAAAAGAGAGTAAAATTAGTCAAGGAAGGTTGTTTCTTTCCCTCCGAACATTCTAGCCTTGTATCCAGTCTGATTCGGGGTAGCAAGAGCTCTGTCCCGCCCGCCTCACATAGGATTCCCGGTGTGTATTTCACGAGAGATTGATTAGCCCTCTCCTCCACGTTCGTATTGGGGGGAAACCAAAATCCCCAAGCATACTGTCTCTTATATATTAGCGTAACACTCCAACCGAGACGGCCTGTTGCACTGGGCGGGGGAAGCTATTACTATTAGAGCCCCCGAAGACACAACCTGCCTGAACACCCCAATACCCCCAATCACGTGAGACTGGATACCAGGCTACGAACATTCAGGATAAGTGTATATTGTCCCCTCTCCTATCGAATCAACCACACATGGCGACTTAGACCCCCTTGTTCTGCTGGCATTTTTTACACAATATTTTTCAATAATTTCATGTCTTAATTAGATCAAGAAAAGTGAACAATAGACAATACTAGTCTCCAACAGACTCCTTTGCAGGCTGAATACGGTAGCAAAAGTTCACCGTCTGAGAAAAATGGACACGTTCACGGAACTATATATTCACGGTGGCGACAGGTGCAGGAAAGAGAAAGTCCAGGAATTATTTGTTAACTGTAATGATAAGTTCACGGTACAGAAATGGCAGTGAAAACAGGGAACATAACAGTACTGTGAAAAAAATCAGGAATTACAGAGGTAGAAATCGGCCTAAAAAGAGAAACAGTTAACTGGACCCTCTATGGCCGGCCAACTCCTCTGGTCAATGATATCCCCCTTTTAGGATGATTTCTACATTTTGTACTATTAATTCAGCCTGCAAATGAGTCTGGTGGAGACTAAGACAACAAGTTTTGTTTTTTTTTGGATTCTCGCCAAGAAGGAAGAAATTTTCACCTGAGTGAATAATCGGCCACGTGACGCGTTGGACAGCTGTGCTCCTGTTGTGCGCATGTCTGTTGGCTGTCTTCCAACTTGAGCTACTTCGCTACGACGTTTTGACAATGCCCTCAAACCGGATAACAAAAATGGATAGTTTTTATCGAGGGAAAAAATCAGATAAACACCGACAGAGACCACTAGATAGTTTGTGTGTGTGTGTGTGTCACTGTGTGTGTGTGAGTGAGTGAGTGTGTCACTGTGTGTGTGTGTGTGTGTGTGAGTGAGTGAGTGAGTGTGTCACTGTGTGTGTGTGTGTGTGTGTGTGTGTGTGAGTGCGTGTGTTTGCACGTGTGTGTGTGTGTGTGTGTGTGTGTGTGTGTATGAGTGTGTGTTTCTGTGTGTGTGTGTGGGGGGGGGTCAGAACAAAACAAGCTCTTGGCACACAGTGGAGATACTGTAAGCGCATCAGTTTGTTTTGGTGCCAAAAAGTTGCCCAGGTAATAATGGCTAATCGTCAGGTGTGACAGTGACAGTAGGGTAGAGATACAAGGGGCGGAGCTAGAGAAGTGACCCTGTGTTGACAATGGTCCCTGTCCTTTCTGTGCATAATTATCAGCCACCTGCATTGTGCACGGTCGCGAAGTAATTTTCTTCCTTATAGAAACAAAAGGATGGCTCGAAGGTATAAAGACCGCGTTAAGGAACGCCTGGGCTCAGTCCCAGCGCAGACACGACGACGATGGCATCGGCACGAGTGTTGGTCGTCACCGCGGTTCTTCTAGCCTGTCTCCTCGCCGGGCGCACATTTTTTTAAACTGCCACTTTTCGAATAAGACTGTATTTATCTATTATCGCCTGTGCTTGATATCTGTATCATGTGGAAGAATACTTAACCCGTATACGGTAATGTTCTTGTTGTTGTTTTTCTTTTTGCCTTGCCTTTGACCTACGACCTTACAGATCTGGAGGCTAGCTTAGCCTGGGTTCCATCCTGGTTAGTTTACGTCCGCTCCTACAGTCACTAATTATGCAACGCAAATGCACAGTGTTTACCTTCGTATATTGTCTACTCTGTTAATTCTTACTCAATACATTCACATATATGGCCATGGTCTGCTATAAAATTGCAACATGATGTAACCCAACACCAGTTACCATGGTGGCAGAGTCAACAAATCAGACCATTGGTCAGGTCAGTGTTTGGAATGGAAGAAGAAAAAGAGGAAACGTAGCAAAAACAGCTACCAGACGGCAATTCATCTCACACCGATGGTTTATTTGTTCACGTTGCGTTCCATGCCACAGCAATCAAACACCAGGCAAACTATAGTAAACCATTACATGTATATCACATTTTGTAAAGATAAAACATGTTTAGCAAATTAAAATTGCTAAGCAAACGCGAATTTCTGCTAAAACAGTATTGCACGTAAGGCCTTAAGGATAAGGAAATACAGGCTTTTTTCCGCTAACATTAGCAAAGGAAGGTAGTCTACCGGATAACTAGTTTCGTTCTATTATTACCTCATGTACGTATGGCATGCAAGGTTTAACGGTTACATGCAGTATAATTCTCGCTACGTTTATCTTTCCTGACCAACGGATCAACCAAATATGAGAAAACAAAAAGCAACAATTTACAATCTAAACACAGAATGGACCGGCTTCATGATTCGGTCCCGATCCTTTTTAAATCTAAACCTCGAGAGAAAATTGAAAGTTATGAATAATCATAATACCGCTGATGCTAGCACCCTCGGCTCAAATTTTGAAAGTCTAATATTTTCTGTTGGAAGTTAGTTTAAATTTCATATAACGTTATGTCTTGTTACTTTGATCACGCTCTCTGTGGCTGCACTGGATGTGAAGTGGTGCTGTTTAGGGAGTGACCTTACACAGGGTGAAGCGGTAACGCCGATCTCTGAAAAGGAAAGAAATACAGAAAACGTCAGCCTTTGGAGGACATCTAAAGTCGGGAGGAATGTGCTAGCGCTATTTTCCAGGACTATAATAGATTCGGGAAGTAAAAAAAAAATGCATACTACTAGTACTTCTTAGGACAATGATAAGAGATTGTGGGATGGTGTGGCGTAGCGGCAGAGCGGCTCGACTTGGAACCAAGAGGTCTCGGGTTCGAGTCCTGACATGCCACCGATCTTGTGCCCTTGGGAAAGGCACTTAACACGACTTTCCTCACTTCGTTCAGGTGAAAATGAGTATTGTATTGTCCCCTGTGTCCTGGTGACGGCATTAATATAAGTTGAAAAAACTTGAGTGTGCCGTCACCACGTCTTGTGATTACATGTTGGAAAAAAACTCAATAGACGTTAGCCCACTCACTGGTAAGTGTTGTGATGGACCCCGTGGATGCCTTTGATATATTTACCTATATTTGTACACAGTAAGAATGATAATCCGACTCACTGGTAAGTGTTGTGATGCACTCCGTGGATGCCCTTGATGTAGTAACTGGGCGGCACGATGTAGTTCATGGCGGCGTCCCAGTTGTTGACGTACCCGGTCACGACGCAGCTGTGGACCGTCATACCCGGTTTACGGGAGCACTTCAGCTGTGGGTGGGGTTAAAGACGAACGAGTTTTTAGGACAAACAAAAGCAGATAGCTATCTATTTACAAAGTGTCATGATAATCCGCTCATAGACATAGCCTCTTGAGTTCTCGTGCTAAACCACGTAAACACACATAGGCACACACACACACACACACACACACACACACACACACACACACACACACACACACACACACACACACACACACACACACACACACACACACACACACACAAACATGTACATACTCACACATATATATATACATACATACGCACACACAAAAAAGCTGCCAAAAGCATAACTGCTGGCAAAAGCAAAGCTGGCGTTACACAGCATAGGAAAGCTCGACAGACGAGTCTGCTAGCTCTAAACTAGAGGACATTTTCCGGTCACTGCACAATTTTTCGGGGATCGGCAGATCGCGACGTTCACCGGTCACTGGCCCCTGTTCAATGTGACAACTTAAATCTTCAGGATAAAAATACGATCGATTCTCTGGAGCTTTTTGAAATTCGGCAACCTTCTTGCGATCAACGAATTCAGCTGAAAGTCGTCGACAGTGAGATTCTGGCTTCTAACCCTATCTAGACTGGGCTCATGCGGCCCCCCTCGGAACTCGAATCTCACTGCTATGAATTTGCTGGCAACAATATTTTAGCAAAAGTCACCGAGTTTGGTGACCCTAGCACAAGCCGTTCGGACGTTATCGGGCATCAAAGTTGGCGCGAGCACTTTTAGTCCCCCCCCCCAGTCTAGATAGGGTTAAACAAAAAAAAAAACAAAACAGAAGCGGTCAAATTCATCGTTGTTCATCCCACACGATTTTCGGATGCCGTGAACTTTTTGAGCAGGTTGTGACGGAACCAAACGCCGACAAAGTCAAAGATCACACAAAAATACATTCAGTGTTCAATCGCACGACGTGACGACCAGAAAAGAAGGCCTAGAAGGAAGAAAAGACTGAAGAACACTAACCCTCCAGCGGCGGTCCTGGTGCGAGTTGGAGTGGACGCTCATGAATCCCGTGACGACGCTGTTGAAGGGACAGGTGTAGCCCATGTTCCCGTCAAAGTCGTTCACCCAAGGACTCCAGTAGGTCTGGATGAAGAGGAGCCCAGGAGCAAACCTAGAACAAGATGCGCCAAGGTATTTTAAGGCGGTAAGGTGGTGCTACAATGGCATGTCCTGGGGGTATTTATGAGGCAAATGGTCGTGGTGAGGGCTGTAAACTTAGAATCTTAAAAGGTTGGGAATTTTGGCATCAAATCCGTAGCAGGCCCCAATGGTGTGTCCTTTGAAAAGGACACTTAACACATCTTTCAAATGAGTCCCTAGCTTCAGTTAGGGACGTCCCCTCGGATGGGACGTGAAGTCGGAGAAAAAGAAAAAAAGAAAGTAAGACACAAAGAAAAAAAACAGAAAGTAAACACAAAGAAAGAAAATGAAAGGAAGGAAAAGAAAGAAAGGAAAAAACGAAAGAAAACAATGATTGAAAGAAACAAAGAAAGAAAGAAACAAAGAATTTTGAAGAAAGAAAAACCAAATTTACACAACAACAAATAAACAAACAAACCTGCACTCGAACCGCCAGACGCGGTCCTGGGCGACGTTACAGTGGGCGCTCTGTACGCGGGAGATGGCTCTAGTGAGCGGGCACTGGACGGTGAAGGGGCCGTCCCAGGTAGTCTGTGCGCCGGCCAGTGCCGTGGTGGGAGACGGGCAGGCAGGGGGAGGGGCGGTGCGGCGGCGGCGCCTCCTGAACCAGGCATCGGTGGGCCCGGCGAGGAGACAGGCCAGGAGAACCGCGGTGACGATCCACGCTCGTGCCGATGCCATCGTCGGTCGGTCAAGTTGGGAATGGGAATGACCAGTCGAGTGTCTCTTCGCGGTTTTTAAACCTTCGTAGCAGCTCATTGTTTATGCAAGGTGGAAACTTGCACGTCAGCCATGTCATCAACCTTTTTCGGTAATTTGGTCCCAAAATAGACGTTTTACAAAGACGACTATTGTCAAAGACGTGCGTCGTGATGGCCACTCCCCTTCCCCACCCTAAATGTTCTAACGGACATCGAGTCTTTTTATTTCACATGCAAAGGAATATTCCGTCACTTAATTGGTGCAATTATAATATTGAGTAATTTTGCCCAGAATAAACTCCTAACAAAGACGGCCAGTGTCAATAACCTCCCCTTCCACAACCTAAATGTTCTAACGGACATTATTAACAAAGACGACCATTGTCAAAACTTGCGTCGTGTCGACCGCTCCTATCCCACACCCTAAACGTCCTAACGGACATCGAGTCTTATTATTTCTATCCAATATTCCGTCACTTGATTGGTGCAATTATAATATTGAGTAACTTTGCCCAGAATAGATACTTAACAAAGACGACCAGTGTCAATAACCTGATTCGTGTCGACCACTCCCTCTCTGCGTACTAGACGCTCTAGAGGACTCTTTATTGATATTTAATTGGTGTAATTAAAAAACATGGAGTAATATACTCTCAATGCGGACGGCCGTTGTGAAGAACAGGTTTTGTGACCGCACCGCCCCCTCCCCACCCTAAGGGTTACTAGCGGACAGGAGGGTCACGAATGGTCGTCGAAGCCTGTTATGTGTCGAGGGTGGCTACTTACCAGTATTTGTGCCCAACTATTACAACGTCAAGGTTGTGAATATGTCGATAACGGAAGACGTATAATTCATTTGTCCATTCATGTATTACAAATACTCTTCATTGCCAAAAACCTGCGTTGTGACAACCGCTTCCCTCCGCGTACTAGACGTTCTAGATGTCTTTGGGTCCCCTTATTGATATTTAATTGGTGTAATTAAAATATGGAGTAATACTAAAATGTAAAATTCATGAATATGTCGATAACATGTGACATATAATCTATTTGTCAGTTCATGTATTACGTCTGAAAACTCTAAGAGTCGTATTGTTTCTATGCAGAGGAATATTCCGTCAAATTTAATTGGTGCAATTATAATATTGAATAATTTTGCCCAGAATAGACTATTAACAAAGACGGTCAGTGCACGTGTCAATAACCTGCTTCGCGTCGGCCGCTCCTTTTCCACACCCTAAATGTTCTAACGGACATCAAGTCTTATTGTCTCTATCCAGAGGAATATTCCGTCAATTAATTGGTGCAATTATAATATTGAGTAATTTTGCCCAGAATAGACCCTTCACAAAGACGGTCAGTGTCAATAACCTGCGTCGTGTCTACCCCTCCCCTCTGCGTACTAGACGTTCTACAGGACTCCTTATTGTTATTCAATTGGTGTAATTAAAATATGGAGTAATTCTACCTAAAATATACTCTCAGAGCAAATGGCTTTTGTGAAGAACAGGTTTTGTGACCGCTCCCTCTCTGCGTACTAGACGATCTAGAGGACTTTGAGTCTCCTTATTGTTATTTAATTGGTGTAATTAATAAAATATGGAGTAATTCTGCCAAAAATATACTCTCAGAGCAAATGGCTTTGTGTTAAAAACAGGTTTTGTGACCGCTCCGCTCCGCCCCCCTCCCCACCCCAAAGGTTCTATCGGGTATGGCGTCATAATTGCCATGGTAACGTGTTGGCATGAAGTCAAAATCTGTCATATCGAAGCGCTGCTTATAATATCTGCATTGTTGTCGGATTGATGTTGTCCCGCGATGAGTCAGACAAGAGTTACTGAGGGTTATTTGCGGTCGAACGCTTGAATAGGTGAAAATGTTTCGATCTTAAAGACTACATGTTAGAGAGTAGTTTAAACCTTTGCTCTTACCGCATACATATTTTCTGCACGTAGGGTGACGTTATCCATACATGTATTTAGCTTTATTTGTTAGATCTTTAGTTGTAGAAGACCATGTACTTTTTTGTTGTGTCAATAAATAATCTAATAGTATTTATGTGAAAACCCAGAAAACATGATTATGTTCTCAAGTGGTCCATATCACTACTTATCTGTGTTGTAGCGTTACGTTTACAGGCATCCAATATAGTTTTTAGGGCTTGGAAATTAAATCCACACATATTGTGGCAAAATCAAACACGCCATATTAGATAAGAGTTCAACTCATGTTGACCATATGATATCACGGCAGTGACTTTTATTGCTGTTTTTTTGTGCATACACCCACTTACATTGACTTCATGCATTGAAGAAAAAACATGCACCTTTGTTTAAAATATTCATCGCTCTCTCTATAATAGAAAATGACACAAAAGATGAAATAGTACATAAATAGTACAACATGATAAGCCAAAACATGAGTCACAATATCACAGATTTTCGCACTTTACATGTCACAACAGTTTCGATACGGTAAGTTACTTTATATCTTGCCTTTGGAAAATGAACAAACAAATCTACAGATGCATCATCCTATGCAAAGCTTTATGATTTACAAAGTGGATTCGCAAAAATGTTGACCGTCACACCATAAAATTTTTCTTTTCTTGTAACCATCCTGGTCTGTTAACGTTCTTTAAGGTTTAAATCTATAAGAGGATTGATAAAACAGACCAAGTCACCAATTATGAATCTGCAGAGGTTTTTTTCCAAGCGAACCAAGCATATTCTAAACTTATATACGGTAATTTTTTTACGTTGGAAAGTGCATCTCACATGGTGATCTAGGCGGCACTGGATGTGAACTCCTGCTGTTCACGGGGTGACCTTGCACAGTCGGAACTGGTAAAGCCGGTCTCTGGAATGGAGGAAACCCAAACGTTAAATCATTCATTCATTCATTCATTCATTCATTCATTCATTCATTCATTCATTCATTCATTCATTCATTCATTCATTCATTCATTCATTCATTCATTCATTCTATCTATTCTCTTTTTCTTTTTTTTCTTCTGTTTTCTCTTTCTTTCTTCTTTCTTTCTTTCTTTCTTTCTTTCTTTCTTTCTTTCTTTCTTTCTTTCTTTCTTTCTTTCTTTCAAATATAATTTCCATATATCCATATTTCTGCACTCTTCATAATTGTGATTTTTTTTCCATGCACAACGTTTGTAGAAATCGCGACTTACTCGGCGCCATTGCTGTGGTACCCGTGCATACCCGTCACGTAGTAGGACACATGTACAGGCACGGTGAAGTCCATGGCGTGGTCCCACGAGTTCACGTAACCGGTGGTGTAACAGCTGTGGAGCACCATGCCGGTCTTTTTGGAGCACTTCATCTGTAGGTGTTATTAGGAAGGCATTTTTGAAGACATTTTAAAGTAATTTCAATTAAAGCGTTGAGGCATTAGACATTTTGGATTTTTTTATTATTATATTCCAACATGTAATCACAAGACGTGGTGACGTCGGCAAACTTAATAGTTTTCTCAACTTATATTAATGCAGCCACCAACGCAGGGGACAATACCATACTCATTTTCACCTGAGCGAAGTGAGGAAAGTCGTGTAAAGTGCCTTTCCCAAGGGCACAAGATTGGTGGCATGTCTGGACTCGAACCCGGGACCTCTTGGTTCCGAGTCGAGCACTCTGTCGCTACGCCACACGACCCCAACTTTGGATGTTGAACCACCCTCTACATGCTTCGTAATTTTTGGCTGTGGTAAAAAAGAAATTCCCTCAAAAATATACCAATAAATAATGAGATACCAGAATTAGAGGAACTTCACCTTCCAGCGGCGGTCCTCATGCTGGTTAGAATGCTCGCTCTTGAAGCCGGTGACGACACTGTTGAAGGGGCAGTTTTGGCCCATGCCGCCGTCAAAGTCGTTTATCCACCCGGTCCAGTAGTGCTGGGTTAAGTGGGAGATACCGGAGGCATCCTGACACTCGAACCGCCACACTCGGTCCTCGGCCGTGTTGCAGTGGACGCTCTTGATACGGGAGATGGCTTTGTTCCAGGGGCACTCGAAGGTAAAGGTGGCGTCCCAGGTGTTTAAGGCGCCGGGCAGGGCAGCGGTGTTCGCCGGGCAGGTGCGGCGGCGGCGGCGACGCCTGCTCCCCCAGCCGTCGGTGGGCCCGGCGAGGAGACAGGCCAGGAGAAACACAGTGAAAACCCACGCTCGTGCCGATGCCATCGTCGTCGTGTCTGCGCTGGGACTAGACTGACCAGCGAAGAGACGTGACACCGTTTTTTTATACCCTTTTGTCTCCACAAGGAAGTAGATTCTTTTCCTGTTCCAGTGTCCGGACACTGGGTACTTCCTCAAAAAAAAAAAAAACTGACCGCTTGGATGAAGACATACTAAGATGACCAAGGACAGCCACAGACCCCGTCTCTCATTAGCCTCTTAGCCTCATTGGGAAAGACACTTTACACAACTGTCCTCACTCCACCCACTGTAAAAATAGGTATGTGACTTCGGTTGGGGAGATTAAAGGCGGTAGAAGGATGGGCTCCGCCTACTGTACCTGTATAGCCGGTATAACCGTCCTTCGCAGGTATGTGGCGCGGCGGCAGCTGGCTACATTACACCGAACGGCTTGTTACACCTAACCCTTGAACATCTAACTCTAGACATTGTTTAAAGCTATCCGATGGCAATGCCCCTACTGTACTTGGTGTACGAGTTCCACTCTGCGATAGTTCCAAAAAAAGAATGAATTCTTGAACACCTCAATCCTTGGCCTCCAAGCTAGTAGAGTGCCCTAGATAACAACCCACTCAATGCTAGTCTCCACCAGACTCTTTTGCAGTCTGAATAAATAGTAGAAATCGGCTAAGGGGGACAACATTGGCCAGAGGAGTTTGCCGGCCATAGAGGGTCCAGCTTGCCTGTACAGACTAACTCAAATGCCCTCACGGCTTCAAAAACGCTATAAGACCTTTCCTTTTTTCACACTGTCCCTACAGGTAAGGTATGATGATTCTAAATGCACCGAAGAAGCTTTACATTCCATCCACTCTAAAATAGGTACGTGACTTCGGTTGGGGAGATTTAAAGCGAAGGAAGAAGAGGGATGGGCTCCGCTTTCAAGTACCATGCCTGCCATAGATACGCTGGATTTGAACAACTAACTCAATGCCCTTACAGCTTCAAAAACCTTACAGTCCGGTATTAAGCAGCTTGTACACGTACAAAACTGGTGCGTTACGCCTAAAGGCGGCTTACTGGTTATGCGAAACAAGCAAGCAAACAAACAAACAAACAAACAAACAAACAAACAAACAAAAAGGCTATGTATATATGGGACCTTTACTTTTTACACTGTAGGGTATGATTCTAGAGGCACCGAAGAAGCTTTACCTTTACGTCGATGAAGGTTAGACATCCAGGTAATAAGATATGCCAAAAAAAAAACAGTTACTCAAGCAACTGGAAAAATCATATCCAGTTGTTTGAGCAACTGCTTTTTGGCGTAAGGTATACCTTTGTTTCTATGCGGAAGTAAATTCCTGACCGGTTACGTTTTTTAGTCTTCTTTACTTCCGCCATAAACTGATCGCCGAATGAAGAAAGACTATTGAAATGGTCAGGGACTACCACAATCCCTGCCACAATCCTAGTTTGTTTGTTTGTTTGTTTCGCATAACCGGTAAACCGCCCTTTAGGCATAACACACCAGTTTTGTACATGTACAAGCTGCGCAAGACCGGACTGTAAGGTTTGAACCACTCTTGCCCTTGGAAAAGCACTTTCCTCGCTTCGCTCAGGTGAAAATGAGTCATGTGTTGTCCCCTGTGTTAGTGGCATTAATATAAGTTGAAACAACTTGAGTGTGCCGTCACCACGTTTTGTAATTAGATGTTGGAATATAAAAGAAAAATCTTTCACTCTCGACCTGTCAGTCGGCGCCAAGGCATTGTTTCCTCCGGTCAATGACCTCTGATTACGGGGTCATAGGTCACGGCGCCCATCCAACCGTACTTTATATCGTTGCGTCAGGATCTAGAAATAAGTTAAACGTCAGATTGTAACGACCTGAAGCGCGACTTCACCTCAGACACGCTCTGTGGCAACCGCTTCAATGAACATCGTTAAATCATCGGGTCATTGAACGTTTAATGATCCTATAGATAAATTCAACTACATTCTCAGAGGAGATAACCAATACAGTGTTCAAATAGGAAAATACATGTTAGACAATAGCTAAACCTTTATTGTTACCGCATACATATATTCTGTACGTAAGATGACGTTATCCACACAGTGTCATGTACTAGTATTTAGCTTTGTTAGATCTTAAGTTGTAGAAGATCATACAGAGGTCCCTGTACTTATTGTTGTGTCAATAAAGAATCTCTCATCATCATTTAGGAAAAAGTATAATCTTGGTGCAGGAAGTAAGCACGAACTGAAGCCAACCTGCCAAAAAGCAGTTACTCAAGCAACTGGATATGTTTTGCCCCTCTGGTCTCTCAGTCACTGACGAAAGCTAATGTATACTAGCTGAAACGTCTGACGTTTCCAAAAGCATATCCAGTTGCTTGAGTAACTGCTTTTTGTCGTATCGTATTACCTGGATGTCTAACCTTCATCGACGTGAAGCCAACCTGCTCCAAACAAGAAAGTCCTTGCTCCAAATGAACATAATGCGTGGCCACCGCCTTATGTTTAGGTCACATTTCCAAACCTTGTACGAACGAAAAATTAACTATTCATATCAAGAATGTACAGAAATAGTGTCCATGATTATCATAAAGAAGTTTTCTGTGCTTTGTTGTCTTTTGTAGCGAAGTTTTCGTTCCCAAAAGCTGTCCGGCCGGGTCCCGTGTGGGAATTGTGACCTCAGCATTTAGTTTATACCCCCAGTCCGACTAGACGGCGCTCTCGCCGCGCTCTCTCTGCGACCTGAAATTGGCCAGAGCGCGGAGAGAGCGCCAAGGTCGCCATGTTTGTACTGTTTAGACCGCTGTGCTCCCATTGCGCTCTCATGGCGACCTTGGCGACATCTTGGCGCTCTCTCAGCGCTTTGGCCAATTTCAGGTCGCAGAGGGGACGCAGTGAGAGCGCACACACAACACAAAACTCGAACACGCGCGCGCGCGCACGAGAGAGAGAGAGAGAGAGAGAGAGAATGAGTGACAGAGAAAAGAGAGTGGGAGAGAGAGAGAGAGCGACAGACGGATAGAGAGACAGAGAGAGAAAGAGAGAGAGACAGAGAGAAAGAGAGACACACACACAAACGGGCCTGCACGAAGCCTGTGGCAGTGCCATTATTACCAGGTCAGTAGGTAACAAAGCACCCCGCCACAGCTGCGGTGGTTACTGGGATAATTACCCGGGGAATCGTGCAGGAGACTTTTTCTCGGTAAGAAACCTCGCACCAAAGTCCCCTTATGAATATTAACATCCACTTGTTTATTCCTGTAGCCTAGAAATTCAGCCCACCTACACGGGCCTTCTCTTTCTCTTTATTTCTATGCCATTGAGCCCAAAAGGCTAATCTTCGAAGCCTCCGTAGCAGGCTTATAGAACTGGGGGTTTGGTGTTCTTCGGCTGTTTTCTGATTAGCCCAGTTCTAAAACGGGGGTTTAACCAGGCCGGCTATGTTGTTTATATGCAATCAGAAAATAGCACATAAAGGCTCCTAAAGACCATGAAGACCCCAAAACCCCCAGTTTTTGGCATGCTATGGAGGCTAAATCTTCGATGGCTCATACAGAAATAAAAACACATATACAACTGATAACATGGCAAAACAACAACAACAACAACAACACATATTTAGCCCCCAAAAATAACATTAATTACAACCTTTTTTGATTGTGGTGATTTTAACCAGGGGCCTTGAAAAAAAAAACTGTCTAGAGTGGCTAATAAGTAGACATGCTGAAAATGGTCACAAAATTAACAGGTGGTCAGTAGCCTCTACCAGGCACCGCGGATCGCTGGAAATAAAGTAGAAATTGGCCGAAATAAAGGAAAGTATACCAGAGAAGATCCAAAGCAAAGTGGATCCTCTCTGGCTGGCTGACTCCCCTGGTATACTTTCCTGTATTTCGGCCAATTTCTACTAGCCTTTTGGTGCCTGGTAGAGGCTAGGTGGTCACTACACACTCTACTAAGATGCTTGGGTAAGTTGAAAAAGGCTATATGTATGAAACTACCAAAAAAGTATTACCACTATGGGCGGGGGTCCATGTGTAGAGGTGGTCACCGAATAGCACATTTTTAATACGTACTCATCTTTTCAAATCGTTCTGTTCTTCATTACTATTTCAATACCATGCAATCTCGTCTCAATCTTTTCAGGGTACCCTGAAAACAAGATATAACGTTACCGAAATTAAAGTGCATTGAAAAGAAAAAGAAAAGAAAGACGAGAATTTGTTTTGACCAAACTACCCTACGCGCTGTGCTATTTTTGACATCTGATATTTCGTTTCCTCATACGTCACAAAAGAGGGTGCGATGCCTGCCGGGCGTCGGGTTACACTGTTCGCTGACCCGCGCACGCCGCAGCCAATCAGCGACGAGCCAGACCTCACTGCAGCCAATCAGCGACAAGCCCGCGAACACCGCAGCCAATCACAGACGGACCCATGCCTGCCCTAACCAATCAGCGCAAGGCTCAGGTTAAACTTACCTGGCAAGAAAGGTGATCTCATCCAACAACCCATCCGAACAAAACGTCTGAAGCTAGGCCGGGAACGGCCACCAAAACTTCCTCGTCACTCACCATGCGTACAACAGTCAAGGTAACGTTGTGTTTTCATGCTACAGAATAGAGAATTTTGCTTCTTATTCAGTAAATACGGTTTATTTTAACCCAAAGATTGTGACACTTTCGTACAAGTGACAAAATAGTTCATATATATAGCCTTGTAAGTAGGGCATGCACACACGAAGTTCGCATACATGTACGTGCATATGCCGTAAGTTTTGCCGGGCTAAGTGTTGCGTAGTCGGGTTGAAGTGCTTCCAAAATACACCAAGAATGCCTTCAACGCATCACATTGGCACTAGAAACAGTCTAGTGGGTGAATTAACTTCTCCATTGCATTTAAGTTCGTGTTTTAGATACTCGTAAGTCAAGTGTAGGTTTTAGTGTGGGGGAATAGTTTACACTGTGCCATTCTCTACCCCATGGTTTATCACAGACTAAGCAATAGTACCTCTCAGAAAATAAACAAGTAGGCAAATACTGCTAACAAAAACTACAACAAACTCTTGGCTCAAGAATAGCGTTCTAACAGGGCAAGACAAACGTTCTTGTCAAAATATCAGCCATAGCCCAGTCGTCACCAGTCGTCACAGTCGACTAATTTTACTTCCCTTTTTTCCGGGTGTTGCGTCTTGTCTTATGAAATCATTAATTGCTAATTTCTTCGACTTGAGAGTTCTTAATTCCTAAAGATGTTGAAAAGTATTTATTTCTTGTACCTTTTTAAATCCGAGAATGGGGGGCTGAAAGAATGTTTATGAACTTAGTACTGGCTATCACGCAGGTAAAAAAAAGGAAAGTGTCCGAGGGATCAGTTTCACTTTCTTTCCACGCGGGGAATTTGAGTTTTCAGTGAACGTTTGGAAAGAAAAAGAAATTCGAAAGCAGTCGGAACAATTTGAGAAACTGTCACGGAGGAAAACGCTAGAAAAAACAACAGAATCTTCGACTTTGCTTGTAAGATTTTAGTAATGGCGGCGCACAATACCCAGACTGTGTCCCGCACCCAAACCTGTTCTACCGCAACTGTTTGTAAGCGCCTGGGGGCTAGAGTGTACGTGCACTCGCAACTGAATGAGTTATGGAGTCTACATGTATGTCTTTTTCAGCAATCTCTAAGCTGACCCTACAGCGGCAAGGTTGTAATCATTGTTTGTTTCGCATATAACCGGTAAACCGCCTTTAGGCGTAACACACCAGTTCTGTACATGTCATGTACGTACATGTACAAGCTGTGTAAGACCGGACTGTAAGGTTTGAACCACTCACACAGGGAAGGTCCCCTACTCTTTTCGATAAGTGCGGTGGGTTATTGCATTGGCCAAAGGAGTGACCATTAGCGAATGAGTACTGTCATGCCACCGTAAGATCTGCTTGGAGATTGTTCTCCCGACTTTGAGACGTACCTACAGCTATCTCTCACAAATCCCCATTAGTTATCCTGAATTAATCGTTCTTAATACATAGTTCGTATCGCGTTGTCGAGTGCCAGATTGCCCCAAAGTCACATCGTATCCGAAGCGTTCATTTGTATTGCTGATCGTAGCCTAGTTTACCAATTGGGATTCCCGAAACTAGCATATACATACAATATAGTCCATGTAGAAATGTGCGTCAAATTACCGGATAGCGTTGCCAGGATCCCCCATTCATACCCTCCAGCATATGAAGATGACTCAACATAAAGGTCTAATTATAACCTTGTCTGTCTGCATGCAATTTATCATTATATTTTCTACAGCTTTGAGCACAGACAAGATTGAACGTTTTGGCGAACGAAATGCCCCCGGCGTATAAGGATAGAAAACTTGCATGGTAGCTTCCAACTTGAAGGATATGTTATTAACTTCTTATAAGAAGGACTTCGTCGCAAGTGAAATCCATCTGTAAAATTGACGGTATGACATGGCTAAATGTTAAAACAGGGTAGATTAAGTTAAGGCAAAAATCTCACAACTGCGACTCTGGGGGCCTATGCATTGTTACACGAGCTACCCCTGTCGCGTGCGCGAATATTGCAATGTGTACGTGAAACACCAGTATTGACCGAAACTTGTCACAACTACAATTGACATTACAGTCAAACCTGTCCAAGCGACCATCTCTTCAAGCCGACCACCTTTTACTGGTCCCGAACTTGATTTTAAGACTCGACTAAGAAGGCCACCTGTCCAAGAAGACCACTTTACCCCGGCTCTGTTTTTTCTAAAGATTTTCATGCTTGGAGAGGGAGGGGGGTGTTGTGTGCTATCATCAATAGATTCAACACACACATCTAACGCCCTGCATTCTCGCATGCTCGTGTCATTGTTACTTAAATAATACGAACGTACGTTTGTTTTTTTTCCCATCCACAGATGCGTGTGTTTGTGGCGGCGTGTTTCCTGTCGTTCGTGCTAATTTCGGTAGAGGGCGCTGCGCTACAGCCAACAGAAGCGCCACCGCACAACGGGACCGAAGCGCCTGCCAGCGCCTCAGAAGTTCAACCCGCGACGGAGGCACCACAGCCAGTCCAGGACGCAACCACAAAGTGAGCGAAAATAAGCTTCTTTGATATATGATGAATTTTGGTGAATGTTCTTTATTATCCATATTACGATTAGCCAAGGGGACTTGAAACTATACGTGATGTCACACCTCTACTGAATGATACAACAAACATGCTAGGATCTAATGCTCTTGTTGAATGCAATTTTACAAATAGTTATAAGTTATCAAAACCTGAAAAACGTCACACACACTAGGGCTGCGGACCGGTACACTGTACCGGTCCAATACCGTAAAAATCGTTTCGGTACAGGTCCAAAATACCGGATCATGAAGTAACGAGTATATACCGAAATAGCTAGTTTACACCATGTATATGACTAAAGATAGGTAAATCCTACCACAAAGACGAAAAATTAGCACTGGAAAAGACGTAAACACCGTCGATTGATTTGAGATCCTCAGTCTCACGAGACATCGCGAGACAGGGAGAGTGTGGCTGATCCAGGGTTGTGATTGGTCAACAAACTCAAATCAGGTCAGAGGTCAGTCATTTTCCCTTCCCTCCAACACTTTATTATTGTTTCTGTGTCATGATTGAAAAAGTGAAGAACACGTGTTAATTTGTCAAATTGTTCAGGTACAGGTACAGGTCCGGACCTGTACCTAAACCTCTGTACCAGTACCTGTACCTGTACCTGATGTTACGTTTAGGTACGCAGCCCTAACACACACACACACACACACACACACACACACACACACACACACACACACACACACACACACACACACACACACACACACACACACACATATGCACAGTCACACAGAGACATACAGACAGACACAAACACTAGTTTTTCTCTTGTTTTTCAACACTGTTTTTGTTTTTCTTCAGGACGTCGATGTTAGCAGTAGTGCCGGACAGTATCATGGCGATGTACGACAGTTTGACAGGTTCAGTCATACAGACACACACAGAAGTGCTCAACCACACAGCCACACACAAACACACTACCATACACACCCACACTAGTTTTTTTCTTGCTAACGTTTGTTTTTATGTTTCTTCAGGACGTCGATGTTAGCAGTGATGCCGGACAGTATCATGGCGATGTACGACAAATTCGACAGGTTCAGTCATACAGACACACACAGAAGTGCTCAGCCACACAGCCACACACAACCACACTACCATACACACCCACACTAGTTTTTTTCTTGCTAACGTTTGTTTTTATGTTTCTTCAGGACGTCGATGCTAGCAGTGATGCCGGACAGTATCATGGCGATGTACGATAAATTCGACAGTTCAGCTATACATACACGCACACACACAACCACACATATGCACGCACACAGTTTGTTTGTTTGCTTGTTTGTTTTTCAACACTCTTTTTGTTTTTCTTCAGGACGTCGATGTTAGCAGTGATGCCGGACAGTATCATGGCGATGTACGACAAATTCGACAGGTTCAGTCAGGACTTCGACCAGGCCAAGAACAAGGAAGCCCTACGGGAGATGTTCCAAAACTCCGACCTCAACCGTAAGGAGCTTTCTGTCGCGTTTTTTTCAGTATAATTTTTTTTAATTCCATTTCAGTTTTATTGCATGTCACATTAACAGTCCATGTCTCCAGTTATTGCCTTCTTTCCATGCCCAGTTCAGAAACAAATAGAATACTAGACACGTAACATTTGCAAAGCAATTAATATAATGTTTACCTTCACATTGTCTAATCCAACTAGCTACTGTTCTGCACTTTGCTACTTTAATGTAATAAACACCTGATACCATAGTTAAAGCATTGTGGTCCAGCTTCTTTGGTATCAAAGTTATAAAAAAGCAAAACTAAGTACATTGTACATTGTACTAAAAATGCTTTTGTAATAACTTAATACATATTTCCCATGTTGTTTGTAGGAGACGGACAACTGTCGTACTTCGAGCTGCTTCATTCTCCATATGTCCTGTCACCACGTAAGTAACTTTGTACATTTACTTACTTACAGTTCCCGACACCAGTTAGAGGGAGAGAAACGCAAATGCACTTCGGTATACGTAGCACGTCTCATATAAGGTCGTATTCGCGTATACAAAATTAACATCCCGTCTGTAGTTTCCAAATGATATGTCATAAAACAAATAGTCTGCAACAGGCAGAATTCTGATGCAACGTTGACCAAACATCCAACGAAAACCGTGAAAAATCAGGGCTTCGTGCAGGCGCAGTACGTTCTGCCGAAGTTCTGTGCAATGAATCTGTAAGTACTCTGCAAAGCGTCTGTCTTCCTTGACGTGAGTAAATCTTCAGTGTTCTTGTCGGATGCTCATTCTACATGCCGTTTCACAGGCCTGTGTGGCCCCAGTCAGGCAGGGGACGAAGATGAGGACGACGAAGACGATGACGCAACAGCCGTTGACCATATAAGGTGTGATCACGAGATCCTGCTTCGGTGCGGAAACGTGCTGATGGACCACATCAACCGGACGGACCAGGCGTCTATATGCGAGGCTTTTAGGGTGAGATAGATCATTCATTCATTCATTCATTCATTCATTCATTCATTCATTCATTCATTCATTCATTCATTCATTCATTCATTCATTCATTCATTCATTCATTCATTCATTCATTCATTCATTCATTCATCCATTCATCCATTCATTCATTCATCCATCCATTCTCTAACTCACACGCCAGAGAGAACCAGAGAGAACCAGAGAGAACCAGAGAGAACCAGAGAGAACCAGAGAGAACCAGAGTGATAGGCAAACACAAACACACCAAAAATAACATGTGACATGTAGGCCGCCCGGGAGTACCAGACAACACACACACACCAGCATACCATACATGTATTCATCAGTTTACCCACTTCCCTACAGGTCCACGCCAACTGCATCCGAGACAACGTCCTGAGCGCGGCGAACGCGTCTGTGAGGTGCGACATGGAGGCGGTGCGGGAGTACCAGGCCGCGCTCATGGAGATCGTCATCTTCTACGCACATACACACACCAAAATACCATACATGTACTCATCAGTCTCCCTGCTTCCCTACAGGTCCACGCCAACTGTATCAGAGACAACGTACTGAGCGCGGCTAACGCGTCTGTGAGGTGCGACATGGAGGCTGTGCGGGAGTACCAGACAGTACACACACACACACACACACACACAGACACACACACACACACACACACACACACACACCAGCATACCATACATGTACTCATCAGTGTACCCACTGCCCTACAGGTCCACGCCAACTGCATCAGAGACAACGTTCTGAGCGCGGCGAACGCGTCTGTGAGGTGTGACATGGAGGCCGTGCGGGAGTACCAGACCGCGCTCATGGAGATCGTCATCTTCTACGAGTCGCTCGGTATCTGCTCGGCGGAGTTCGAGCAGCAGCTGGATAAGGAAGGTTAGTCTGTGGTGGCACTGAAACTGTTTTGTCTCTTTATCTGTATCAGTATAGCCGGTATAACCGCCCTTCGGCGTAGCACTCCAGCTTCGCAGGTACGCGGCGCGGCGGCAGCTGGCTACATTACACCGAACGACTTGTTACACCTAACCCTTGAGCATCTAACACTAAACATTGTCTAAAGCCATCTAATATATGATGATGCCCCCTACTGTACTTGGTCACAGAGAGTTCCTCTTTGCGATAGTTCTAGGAAAAGGATGAGTATCCAGAATCGAACTTCATTCAAAACCATGCTCAGGTACGGTTCTGGGATATTTCATGCGTATCCAGAACCGTGCTTTATCCAAAGCCATGCTGGGGCACGGTTCTAAATAGTCCATGTGTATCAAGAACCGTGCCTGGGGCAGATCTATGTTCGACATGCAAAGTGATAAGTCAAAACACAGAGTCGTCTCTTTCTTAGTGAAGTTTGAAAACTTGCAGTAAGGTTGAAACATTGATGTATTTTTCCTTTTCCTCAGCGTTGTCTGAAGAGATGGAGGCTGCGGAACTGATCGACGTGGTGGGAGACATCATGGAAGAACAGAGAGAGGAGATGAGAGGAGAGGAAGAAGCTGAAGAAGAAATGGAAGAAGAGGAGGATCAAAGGGCGATGGCGATACAAATGATCGAAGAGCAGATCGCGGCTCTTGAAGAGCGGTGGGCGGAACTACAGGGGCTGCTTGAGCGGGCGAGGAACGCGTCGGCGGGTGAGCTACCCGGAAATATCACCGCGGAGGACCTGGAGCAAGAGATGTCAGACATCGAAGAGCAAGAAGATGAGCTAAGGAGGGAGGAGGATGAGATCGCCACCGGTGGTGAAGAATTTGATGACGGGTTGCCAATGGTGCCGGAGGGACAGGGGTACACGCAGGAAGAGATACAGGAAGCTTTAACACTGCTGGAGCAGAGGAGGGAAGTTCTGGAAACAAGGCTCGAACAGCTACTGAACGCCTCGGCTAGCGTACCAGAGAACCGCACCGCAGAATTCGAAGAAGAAGTGGAGAGGGCTGAACAGGAGCTTTCCGATGTTGTACAAGAAGAGGACAGGCTGTTGGGAGGAGGGGAACCCGATGAGGACACCGAGGAAGAAATGCGGATGCAACAGACCGAAGAAGAAATAGCGGCCCTGGAGCAGATGAGGGCGGAGCTAGAAAGGAAGCTGGAGCAGTTGTTGAACGCCTCCGCTGACGAACTACCAGAAAACGGCACGGACGCGTTCAGACAGGCCGTGGAGGAAGCTGAACAGGAACTGCAGGCAATCATCGAACGGGAAGACGAGCTGTTGAGGGAACAGGGTGCCATCAGCGGAGAAGGAGAAGGAGAAGGAGGGATGGACAGGCAAACGCTCCAGGAGGCGTGGAACTCGCTGGAGGAGAGAAGGGAGCGACTCGAGCGGCATATGGAGCGGCTGCTGGACTCCCTGCCCGACGTCGCAGAGAGCGACACGGAGGAGTACGAACGAGAGCTGGAGGAGACGGAGCAACAGCTCGAAGAGGTGATGCAGGAAGAGGAAGAGCTTTTGGAAGGGGAGGGTGAAGGTGAGCCTGATGATGACGACGAAAGGGGGATGCAGCTACGAATGCTCGATGAGCAGATACAGGCCCTGGAGGAAAAGAGAGAGGAACTGGAGAGGGAGCTCGAGGAACTGTTCAACACAAACAACAACACCCTGGACAACAGCACCATGGAGGCGATGGAAGAGATTGAGGCGGAGCTTGAAGAAGTCGTCGAAGAGGAGAACGAATTGATGCAAGAAGAGGAGGAGATACTTCAAGAAGAGGACGAAGACGACGAAGATGGAGAGTTCTCCGAAGAGGAGGAAGCGTTCTCTGACGAAGAAGAAGATGGTGAGAACTCGCGCGAGCAGTGGATCCGAGACCAGCTGGAAGCTCTGGAGCAAGAAAGAGAGCAACTGGAAGCTCAGCGCGAAGAGCTGCTTAACGGGCCGGCAGAAAATCGCACCGAAGAGATGGTCAACGAACTGGAGCGACAGATCGAGGAAGTAGAAGAGGAAGAAGACAGGCTCGTGGGAGGAGCAGACGGCGTAGACGTAGATGACGGTGAAGAAGAAGAAGAAGATGAGCTGGACCAGATGGGCCAGGAAATGGACCACCTGGAAGAAGAGCAAGAGGAGCTGACCAATGAGATCAACCAGCTCCTTCAGGAGGCTGACGGAGCGCCGGAGAACGCGACGGAGGAGATCAGGCGCGAGGTTTGTTTGTTTGTTTATTTAGGAAGCTCCATTAGTGATGATACATCGCTATTCTTCCTGGAGTCCTTTACATAAAATTCATTAACTATTATTTACATACATGTTTAACTGCTATCAAGAAAACTTATCTTATCAACATTGTAAATTACAAGTTAAGCATCAATTAATAGTAAATTACAAATTACAAATTAAGCATCAATTAATAGTAAATTACACATTAAGCATCAATTAATACATCAATTAATAATACAGAGGATTCTGCATATTTGTATAGCGCATTTTATACAGTTACCCGGCCTATACGATAGGCCGGAATAGCACTAATGGCGTCCCGAAGGGGAGGGGAGGGGGGTATAGCAACGAGCATAAATTACTAAGACAAACAACGAACTCACGATATCGTATGCCGCAACTTTATTTGTAAAATTGTATTCATGATACAGTACAAATAGCCAAAATCTGAACTGTTTTCTTTTTCATCTTTCCACAGCAGAAATATAACGAGAATTGTTAAAAATTGAGCATTATAAATTCAACCTGTAAATGTATTACAATTACAGGTGGAGCAGCTGGAGGAAATGCGGGGAGAGATCGCCGAGGAGGAGGACCAGCTGATGGAGCAGATGGAGGAAGTGGAGCATCAGCGAGAGGAGGAGGCTGGGGGTACAGAAGGGATGGACGAAGCGGACGATGATGAAGGTGATGAGATTTACTTCTTATTAATCTCAAGACGGCTGGGTAACCCCTAGTCTCCACCAGACTTCTTTTGCGGGCTGAATAAATCGTAGAAATCGGCCTAAAAAGGGTATTAATTGGCCAGAGAAGATAGCCGGCCAATTAATACCCTTTTTAGGCCGATTTCTACGATTTATTCAACCCGCAAAAGAAGCCTGGTGGAGACTAGGTAACCCCATTCAGCCTATACGTCTGACCGTTTCCAAAATCATATCCAGTTGCTTGAGTAACTGTTTTTTGGCGTATCTTTTTACCTGGATGTCTAACCTTCACCCACCCGTTATTCATTCATTTGTTCATGATAGGCGAGATGCCGGAACCGGAGGTTGAGGATGACGTTCTGATGGAGGACCGGCAGGTGGTGGAGGAGGAGCTGGAGGAGATCGGACAGGAGGAGGAGGATGTCTCCAGGGAGCTGGCGGACGTTAGGGAGCAGAAGAGACAGAATCCGGAGGTCAGTATCTGTATCGATCTGTATCTGTAGCCCTTCGGCGTAACACACCAGCTTCTGTATCTGTATAGCCGATATAACAACCCTTCGGCGTAACACACCAGCTTCTGTATCTGTATAGCCGGTATAACCGATGTTTGTCTGTTACGTTTGTTATGTTAATTGAGAATTGAATTTTGTACGTCATGTAGGCCGCAGGCGAGCTGGACGAGAAGGAAGCTGAACTGGAGAGAGAGAGGGAGGAGCTGAAGGAGGTGGAGAGAGAGCTCGTGCACGAACTTGAAGAGATTGCAGAAAGGGACGGAACAGACGGTGAAGATGAAGGTATGGACATATGCAACTTTTTGCGTGAAATATTCTTATTTCTTGAAAATCTGAGTTCTCCTTAAAGCACACTCACTGACCACAAGAGATATCAATCAAATTCAAATGACCACAGCATGTCTACAACATGATATATTTATAATAGCCTCCGGCTAGTTGTACAGTCCTGGCTGTATATCTGTTCAACAAATCAAGTCAAATCAAGGTAATGATGAAATACTTCTGGTCCACAGAAGATGATGAGGAGTGTCCGGTTCTGGTCATTGACCATTAGTGTTTGGAACGGAAGAGGAAGCAGAGCAAAAACAATATGTTTTCCTTCGGTAAACATGTTTTCCTTCTGGTCCACAGTAGATGAGGAGGAAGAAGAGTGTCCTATGGAGATCCTGCGCCCGTGCGTGGCTGCGTTCATGACGTTATTGCGAAGAGCTAGCTATCAAATTCAAAATTATGACCACAGCATGTCTAGAACATGAGATATCAAAACTGAAAGTCCTGCTGCAGGACCTTTAAAAGCCGTTAGAGGACATTTTTTATTGAGCCAATGCCTACCAACATATAGAATATCATAAACATCCATTCACAACTTCTCGAGTTATGTTGGTCACAGGCAGATAGACGAATAGACAGACAGAGACAGACAGGCAGGCAGACACACTCACCCCAAAACATAACGTATTTAGCGAAGGTAATGATGAATGTCTTCTGGTCCACAGAAGAAGATGAAGAAGAGTGTCCTATGGAGATCCTGCGTCCGTGCGTGGCTGAGTTCGTGACGTCGGTGGGGTCCGGGACGCGCTGGTGTGACGCGCTGGACGCACACCTGGTCTGTCTGCAGGACGCGGTCAGGAACTGCACCATCACACGTGAGTATACAGGGCAGACAGTACTATTACCCTTGCCCATAGAAGCCTATGGTAAAATACACTAAAATAAGTCACAATGAAAGTACTTTCTCACATTTCAATCTCAACATTTTTTCAGCACCAGAGAACCACAAGGCTTCCCAAATATAGAAAGAAAATAGGGGGTCGACCTGGTCAAATTCCCGCTACAGCTGATTTAGTAAACAAACCCTACTTTTGACCTAATTTTCTCATGTATCCATCCGCCTTAGGCAGGCCAGACCTCATCACTCAGGTCCCTCTTTATGCCCACCAAAATGGTAAAAATGAAACCTGCAATCTCCAAACAGATCATACAGCATATGACCGCCCTGAAATAAAAGTTATTCTATGTGCTCCTTACAGCAACCTCCATCGCCTCCAGAACCGTGCCTAGCTAGTTCTATGTCTGAATGGGTTAGGGTTGGGATCAGGTACCGTTTAGTCTCTGTGTCTATAAGAACGAAGATTTGCTCTAGGCACTAAGTTAAATAGTTGTTGCAATACATCGTACCTTATATGACTGTCGTGAAATAAAGTTCTCCTACGTACTTCTTACGTACAGCTAACATCGAGGCGTACCATGTCGGGTTCCTGGGCATGACGACGGCGTACGTCCGGTCAGACCTCTGTCCGGAGTCAACCTTCGACAACGTGGAGGACGATACCGTCTTCGACCAGATCATGGAGGAAGACGAAGAAGAAGAAGAAGACGACGACTCTTCTGAAGAAAGCTACGAGGAGGTAGATACACCAGACGTCGAAAGCTTCGAAGAAGACGATCTGGAAGAAAGCTACGAGGAAGACTCAGTCGAAAGCGACGTCTCTCCAGAGGACGACTTTGATGACGCCGGCATCATGGATGATGAAGAAGAAGAAGAGTTGAGCAGCGAAGAAGAGGACAGCAGCGAAGAAGATTATCCGCTAGGGGGCGCTGTCACCGACGATTGGCTGTGGAACGACCAGTACACCACCCCGCTCCCAACCGGCATGCCGTACGGCGACGACTACGGCATGGAGGGGGACTACGACGTGGAAGACATGCTGGAAGAGGAAGAAGAGGAAATTGAGCAGGAGGAAGAAGAGGAGGAGGAAATTGAGGAGGAAATTGAAGAGGAGGAGGTTTTGGAGGCTGCAGGAGAGGATCTGCAGGAAGCTCTAGAGGACCTCGAAGATGCCATCAGAGGTCAGTATATTTTTACAGTTTCTTTCCCCGGACGGCCAAGTTTTGGAATTCCCTCCCTGACAAGTGTTTCCCACCAACCTACAATATACAGCTTTTCAAATCAAACGTTCACTGCCATCTCTTGACATAGCCATGTTTCTCTCATATTTCTAGTTCAATGCCGAGAAGTGGTCGTATAGGCCTTGTATTATTGAACCACTCCGTTAAAGTATCAACTTAAGATGGAAAACAGACAAAATATTTACTAGTATCTAAGAAAAAATGCATTGGATTATTTTAAAGACTAAACAGTTTTGAGTATCATCTATAAAAACAAAAGTATGCGATTCTGGCTGTGGCTGTCATATATTCTTCTTAGATGATCACAATGATCATAATAGACCCTCATTTCTTCATCCGTTCATCCGTTCCTTCCTTCCTTCATTCATTCATCTGTTCATTAATTCATAACTTCATCCATTCATTCATCTGATCTGTTCATTAATTCATCCCTTCATTTATTCTTACATGAAGTATTAACGAATATTTTTCCCCTCTTGAATCCCCTCCTCTGCCGACCACCGCATGGCCCACACCAGGCGGGAAGACCGAACCTCCCGAACCTGTCCACCGGAACTGGGCCCGGAACCGCCAGTCTACGAGCGGTGCTGCCGTGCCGAGGGGAACCGCCTTCCTCAGCCTGATCATGGCATTGCTCCTGTGCCTGATGTAGAAAGGAAAATAAAACAAAGAATTCGTACTAATCTCCAAGCAGATCATACGGTGGCAAGGCAGTATCCATGTAGCATCTACCAGGCTTCGGGAGGCGGCTGGAAAGAGTAGAGATTGGCCAAATAGAGACGTAACATGCCGAGGGAGTTGGTCCGCTTCTCCGAGTACAGTTCGGGAGCGGCAAACAGTTCTCTCCACCAACTCCCCTGACATGCTATCTCTCTATTTGGCCGATTACTACTCTTTCCAGTCGCTTTCCGAAGCCTGGTAGAGGCTAGTATCCTGAGGAGTAGGGTGGCCAATGGATACTGTCTTGTCAATTTTATATTGCCTTTGCGGGTACCGAAACATCTGCTTGGAGATCATACTCGCTAAACACTGCAGAAATCCCTAAAGATTGGAGGGATGCAAATATATGCGCCATCTTTAAAAAAGGAGATAGAGCGGTCCCCAGCAACTATAGACCTGTTTCACTGACCTGCATATCCTGCAAACTACTTGAACATATCATCCATAGCCAAATCATGAAGCACCTAGAAAGTTACAGTATATTAACGGATTACCAGCATGGATTCAGAGCCAAACGATCCACAGAAACACAGCTTATACTAACAGTCCATGACATAGCTGGCGCACTAAACAGTAAACGGCAGGTAGATTTAGCAATACTTGATTTCACTAAAGCCTTTGATAAAGTCCCCCATGGCAGGCTCATCTCAAAACTGGAGTATTATGGAATCCAAGGCCCTACGCTGAATTGGTTAAAGGCTTTCCTGACCAACAGGGAGCAAACAGTAGTGGTTGAAGGGAAGGCGTCGGCTCCAGTTAAAGTAGCGTCTGGGGTCCCTCAAGGAACCGTCCTGGGGCCATTGCTCTTTCTCTTGTATATAAATGACCTACCAGATCAGCTTGACTCAAATGTGAGGTTATTTGCCGATGACTGTCTATTGTATGTAGAGCTTTCTACACAGACCGACTCACAACTTCTCCAAAAAGACCTGAACACCCTGGAAGAATGGCAAAGTAAATGGCTCATGCAGTTTAATCCCGAAAAATGCTACATTATGCACATAACAAACAAACGAACACCACATGCAACTAGCTACCAGTTTTGTGGTCAGGCTTTAGCAACCACAAAAATCCATCCGTATCTGGGCGTCACGCTGACAAGCGGACTGAAGTGGGGTGCACATGTTAATAATATCACAACTAAGGCGAAACAGACATTGGGAGTGATTAAACGTAATCTGTGGGCATGTCCAACGAGAGTAAAATCACTTGCATACACGTCACTTGTAAGACCGAACCTAGAATACGCTGCGACAGTATGGGATCCATATACAAAGAAAGACAAAGACAAATTGGAAAGGGTACAGAATCAAGCTGCAAGATTCTGTATGAACAGCTATGTAAGAGGTGCTAGTGTCACGGAAATGAAAAGAAACCTACAGTGGACCTCACTTGAAGACAGAAGAAAGATGTCTAGACTATGCATGATGTACAAAATGACTAATAAACTGGTGGATGTCCCAACTACTAAGTACCTAATACCAGCTCAGAAGAGAACAAGAAATAGCCACGCATTCAAGTACCAGAGTTATCAACCAAGGATTGAGGTGTTCAAGAATTCATTCTTTCCTAGAACTATCGCAGAGTGGAACTCACTGTCACCAAGTACAGTAGGGGCACTGTCAATAGATAGCTTTAAACAATGTCTAGAGCTAGAAGTTCAAGGGTTAGGTGTAACAAGTCGATCGGTGTAATATAGCCAGCTGCCGCCGCGCCGCGTGCCTGCGAAGCTGGTGTGTTACGCCGAAAGGCGGTTATACCGGCTATACAGATACAGATACAGATACTCGTACTGTAAATGTTGATATGTTCGCGGTGGCTTTAATTTTCGTGGTGTCTTCTTCGCCGCTAAATCAGAGTACGTACAAAATAGAATAAATATGTATTGTTTCGACCACAAAACTCGAGCGCCACGAAAATCTCCTATTCAGTAATACCTTCAAATAAAATGATGAGAAAGTATTGCAATCTACTTGCTTCCATACTATCAATTTTGGTGTTATATCTCATACATATTTTAGCAATAAGTAGAATCAGTGTAAATGGTGGTCTATTTATGCAAGAAGCTACTTTGTTTATTCAAACATGTACTTGTTTACTAGTATTAGCATCAATGTTGTGAATGTTGATATCTAATGTCGCAGCTACAAGTCACCATCTAGTCAAGACAAATGTTAGAGGAAACAATGTACAAGGATAGATATGTTTAAGTTAAGATATGTATAATTTTAGGCTTTGAATACCGTTAGCCTTTTTATCATGTTTAATATTACGCTATTGTTGCCTAAGTGTTCTTTTATGATGAAGGTAAAACGACAACATTTAAGAGATCAGACTTCTGTTCTCAGAAATTGAGCCAGTTTTTGTGAAATTAAAGGAAAAGAACAATGTTTATTAAAACATGCCATGCCACGCTTTTTCTGTTAAAAATCTCTTCTCCTTCTATACGATGTACTGACAAGGCTTGCAATTTAAAATATTTGATTAAATTTTGTATGTTTATAAGATACAGTATTACAGTATCAGTAGGCCAGACAATAAGCCAGACATATCTGATAATTTTTAAGCGGTCTACAGTAATGTAAGGATGTTGTTTTTTTATTAAAAAGTTTCTTTATTTCTTCATTCTTGTATTTGGTGGAAGGTGTCAATAGTCTAAATAGAGCAATGCTGAATAAAAAAAGTTACTGATCTCCTTTATTCATTTCTTTTGTCTTTTAAAAAAGATATGTGGTAGTCTCCACCAGGCTCCTTTGCAGACTGAATAAATAGTAGAAATCGGCCTAAAAGGGGGATATCATTGACCAGAGGAGTTGGCCGGCCAGAGAGATTCAAATTGCACAGAGAAATTGAACCTTCTATGGCCGGTTAACTCCTCCTCTGGTCAATGATATCCCCCTTTTAGGCCGATTTCTACTATTTATTCAGCCTATAAGGAGTCTGGTGGAGACTAGTGCCTAGTCCTTACAACAAGTTGTTAATTTTTCAGGGAGGGGCACAAGACATATAATGAAGCATACGAACAATGGAAAACAATTAGTAACGGAAATTAACATAAGCCACATAGAAGAAATCAAACATATATGCAGAGATTGAAACAAATGGAATCATACTTAGCTACATACAGCATATATGAAAGCATTCATACAAATCGAAATCAGCCAAATCGTGGTCGGAATCTGAAATAAGATTCAGTAACTGTTCCAAGGTCAAATATTATTGGGGAATTAACATCCCTGGTCCTCACCATCACCATGTCCTAATTATCGCCATATCTGCGATGTTGCGGATTATGCAGGAGAATTTAACCATCTTTTGTTAATCTATACTATAGTGCAGTCTGTAATGTGGTTTTTCTTGTATTTACTACCGGCTCTAATACTGCTCACGCGACTCTGTCATTTGTGAGGTAAAACTTCACCCAGTGACCTGATGTTATCGTTTGGGAATTTTTAATTCATGCATATGGCGATGATTAGGGAACCCGAATTCGGCAAATACACTGGGGCACAAGATCGACATGGTCGATGCCATGCCTCACCTAAAAAGTTCAGCGATCATCAACAAACAAAAGATATATTGCACATAATAGTAGAGGTTTAGTGTAATGGTGCCATGACAAACAGATCATAAATTTGAATCTTGTTTATAATCTATTGCCACGACAAGTCAAAATTTGGATAATTCTACAGACTTGATGAAACATCATTCCTCGAATTTCCCGCCACGCGCGTCGGCGGCGCGGTGCATGCCGGGCGTGGCGGCCTTGCCTGTCGTGTCGAACAGAAAACAAACATGGCGGCCGGAAGTTGGGAGATCAAACTTCTCGGTCTGTACGACTTCCTCGTAGTTCTGTCGTCCTGATATCCGCAAAGACATGCCGAGGGAACAAGAGCTTCTGGAGGCCGCTAGGCTGGGGAACATCGCGGTTATTGAAAAACTTCTGGTCCCGAAAACCAAGCGATCGCCCGTGTCCCTGCAAGCTTTGACCAGGTGGGTTTTTGGTGGGTGGGAGGGGGGCTAGCTGTGTTGGAATTCGTTCGGGGGAACTAAAGTAATTTATGCGTTTTATCTACAAGCAGATCTTTTGGTGGCAGAGCAAGACAGTACCAAATTGGCAGCACAGAATATTTGGCATGGCAGTGTCCAATGGTTGGCGTAAAAAATGGTACGAGGTACAAGAAAGAAAGCTTGAAAAATCACGTAAAAAAAAAATAAGCCGAACGGTCAGCCGAACCCTAAAACCTCTGTCTTAGGCCATGGGGAGTAGAAAATACACAGGAATGAATGAACTTTATAATTTGCTCGACAGTTGTACATGGTACAATGTATGGCAACGATGACAATGTGGACAATACAACCAAGTCTGTTCTAAGAGACTACTAGTATTACTGCAGGAATAAGAGACTATTAGTATGATTTACTACAGGCATGTGTACATAATTTACACATACGCGAAGTTGACAAGGAACACATGCTGGGATAATCAATGAGGAAATAATGCGTTAACACCATACGGGGAATCCGATCCGTCAACAAACAAAGCACTGTTATAAGCAGATAATCGAGTTAGAGATGGTGAGATCTGTTGCATGTGAGAAAACATGTAGTTTGCTTACAACTACAAGTGAAAATGAAAGGAATTTTTTCCCACTCAAGTTGGTGTTATAATTTATTTGTGGTTTTTTAATACCACAGCTTATTGACCTTGAGACCGAGAGCCCACTCACAGTCAAGCTAGTCAACTAGTACCTTCCTTTGCATAAATTATTAATAATATAAGAATTGTTGTGGTTACTTTTGGATTTTGCCCATTGACCCAAGCATGATATATAATCCTATCCTTATGTCACATATCAGATCATTTTCTACAACTTAGTCAAGTCAAGTTTAAGTCCTGTATTATAGAAGAAACTATGTGTGGTGCATGGCCAGGCCTGGTGCACGGCATTTTATTATTGGTAGATACCATGCCTGAATTGTGTCTAGTCAAAAAATGTAAGTTGTGAACTTTTCACATGTAATCTGAATGTTTCTTTTGTGTGTGCAAATTCTATTTCTAGTTGGCAGGTGGTCATTTTGGTCTTGTAAAATGTCTATATAATGTGTGAGTCACGAGTGTGTGTATATTAACTTATTAAGGGGGTGGATGTCATTGTGGAGTGTGGACTGATAGATGAGTATGTTGTTCACGCAAATCTTTTATGTTGTGGTCAGGTCGATCTGTGAAAAGTGTTAGTCCTTTGTTTATAATTAGATTATAAATAATCCAGTTATGGTCTGTTGGTACAGTAAATATAATCAATTACCATCTTGCATATCAATCAATCAAACAATCAATCAAACATTCATACAGATACTACAAGCTGTTATGGTCTGTGGTACTGTGGTACAACTACATGTATATGGTAACTCATACAGTAAATACAGCCAATACCACTTTGGAAATGAATGGCGGAATAAATAAATGAATGAATGACTGAATGAATGACTGAATGAATGAATGAATGAAACATTCAGACAGATGACTACAGACTTCCTTTTTTAATCATTGAAATAAAAGTACATTATCAGACATGATCTCATGATGAAATCATGGGCCTGTGACAAAAAGAGAACTAGGGTTGAATTAATTATTATAGAAACAGGAAGTGTTGTACATTCCTGTTGTACAGAACTGTGCTGACTGGTGTGTGAGGTATGTGGTAAGGGGGCGGAATAAAGGGTGAGAAATAAAGGCCTTTTATCATGGAGTATGTGTGACAATTGCACTTCCTCCAGGCTAGTCAGGGCCAGGGTTAGAGTTAGATGTGTGACTCTTAGTACATCATACTACATGTACATAGCATAGCATAGGGGTAAACCAGGAGTTCATTAATGAATGACTAGATATAGCTGGTGAATAGTATAACCATCCTTAACATATCAGTGTGTCAGGTATGTGGTTAAAGGGCGTACTTCTGGGTGAGAAATAAAGGTCTTTTATCATAAGGTATGTGTGACAATTGCACTTCCTCCAGGCTAGTCAGGTCAGGGTCAGGATTAGGGTTAGGCTTAGAGGTGATTGTGTTACTCTATAAGTAGTATACGTGTATGAAGTACATCATACTAGTAGTATCATACATGTACATGTACGTAGCATATAGGGATAAACCAGCAGTTGATAGCTATTTCATGGATCACTATAGCTGGTATAATCATCCTTCGCATATCATAAAAATTGTGCCCTTCCTAGGCTAGTCAGGGAATTACTTACTAAACTATCTTAGGGTCTATGGTTGGAGGTGGATGTATGGCTCCAAGTACTGAAACACAAACAGTCTGATACAAAAGGTATAAACCAGTTGATATGTGCATCACTATGGCTGGTATAAATGTCCTTCGCATACCGTGAAATGTACCAGTTTGTGTGAAAATGTGATCTTCCTGGGCTAGGCAGGGTAGGGTCAGGGTTAGAGGTGGATGAGTAACTCCAAGTATATATATTATAAGCAGTATAATAGTGCACTGTATCACCATGGCAGTACAATGTACAGTACATGTATGTCCTTTACATATTGTGAAATGAATGTGTGAAAACTGCCCTTCCTGGGCTAGGCAGGGTAGGGTTAGCTATAGGGGGAAGTATGACTGTACTGTAGTACAGTACCATACATGTACAATGTATATTGCATAGGGATAAACTTAAAAGCCATTATTTCAGGGGTGGATACAGTTTTTTTTTTCAGCACAGCTCCAGTGTTACCTGCACTAACCTGCATACTACAGCTCTAAACTGGAAAAGAGGAAGCCATGGAAAACTGATTTATAATATCCAGAATACTCAATTCCTGATATACAATGTAGCCATCATATTGTACTTGTAGAAAGTTGTACTGTAACATATTTTCAATCAAAGACAAGACTATTTTGTTTGTCAGAATTTTTTCATGCATATCTATTATTTCGTGGCTAAGACAGCAATTCTGAGAAAAAGTTTTAGTCATGAGAATATTTTCCAAGTAATTTCATTATGAATATGAGTCACTGCCCTATGACTATAGTAGGAGTGCTGTGACTCTCCTGGATTCCTATTGTCCTCAGGGGCAGATCACTTTCCCTTTCACCATTGTTCTCTTGGAGAAGTGAAAGTCATTATGACTAAGAGTAAACAATGGTACACAGACTGAAGTACACTCATATTTGAAATTTTGAGATGTGTAGGACTTCAAAAAATGAAACTTGGAAATATTTCTAGACAAGTCATTCATTCATTCTAAAGTATTATTACTGATAGAAAACACAGAGGTTACAGCAAAACAAACTGTCAGAAATGAACTCTTTTTACACAGAAGTCTTCTTCAAATATTGAACATTTGAACTGCTGTAATTGTATTGTTGTGAACTTTGGACTGTGCAGTTACCTTTGAAGCCTTTTGTATAATAGTATTAGTAAGTAGTTGTGTACTGGTTTGTACTTAATTGACTGAGGGAGTTTGAGAGAGGAAGCTGTGTTGAAACGTGACATGTTGAAAACGGTGTGTCAAGTTGTCATGTCTGGAATTTCAGGATCACATACCAACAACTCTGCTGCTAAGTGCTGCTGACAAGCCTTACTAACAGCAGTGAATAATGGTGAACTCGAACTTATTGGGATTCGAATGTTTAGGAATTCAAGAACTTTGGAGCCTTGCAGGATCTGGGCTTGAAACACCCATGGGTGCATGATGTATCCGATCCAAAGATTGATTCTGCTCACCTTATTTTCAATCAAGGGTGCACTGGTGCACCTACTCTAGAGTTAAAAGACATCTCTGTATTTTTTTTATAGTTAAAGAGTTTGACTTGTTCCAACACAAAAAGGGAACTCACCATAAATTTTCGGCTGATCCCGTCAACCTTCGTCAGATTTGTGTTGGAACAAGTCAAACTCTTTAACTATGGATTCTACCAACACAGATGAGCTTTCATTCGAATATCTCTGTATTTTATTTATGTTAACAGTAAAGGTTCTAATTCTATGAACAGTTTGTACAATGGGACACAGCATATCATGACAAATGTGACAAAAGATAAACCATTGTAGTTGTTACTTGACTGTCATAATTTTGGTTCATTCAAGCTCTGAAGAGATTCTGGCTGTAGGTAGTTAAGTCAAGACAGGAAAGACATTGTTGACGAACTTCCCACATCTATACAAATCCTGGTCACAGTATTTACCCTAAACACAAGACTGTTTGAATGTTTGAATGGTTTCTTAGTCAGTAAACATAGAAAGGAGGAAGTATGGATGATTCACAGTCTGTCACCAAGTCCTTGTGTTTGTTTGTTCTAATTTACCATAACAGTGCAGGTTAGTGCAGGTAGAATTGTAGCTGTGCAGGTATAGTACACCTGTGTGGATTTTTATTTGCAGAAACAGGGCTCAAAATTCATTTTTGGTGCACCTAACCTAAAAAATTAAAGATAGAAGAATGTCAGCAAAAACTAATTATGTTACATTTCTAAAGAAAACTTTTACTATAAGTATACCATTATGATTTTATTATTCTTATGACACTTAGATGGTAAGAATATGCTGTATACTAGTATTACTAACCATACATTTTTAAAAATATCTTTACATAGTATTACGTAAACCAGGTATGAAAAGATTTGAGTGTACCTGTATACGCAAAAAAAAATTGGGTGCTCATGTGCAGCTCCAAATTTGGGTGCACTAATGTGCACATGCACCCAGTATTTCAAGCCCTGCCACCTACAAAGTATGAAAAAATAAGATACTCTTCCATTGATGAAGGTTAGACATCCAGGTAATATTAGATATGCCAAAAAACAGTAACTCTTAGCAATTCAATTGGATATTATTTTGGAAACTGTCAGACATTTCAGGTGGCATCCACTAATGTTCGTCAGTGACTTGAGAAGTTGAGTAACTGCTTTTTGGCGTAAGTTAGTAAGATACCCTTCCCCCTCACCAACCCTCAACCATTTCTCCTTGGTCCCCTGAGACCAGACTTGACAGTATAATTAATCAGTACTGATAGACTGAGCTGGTAATAGAAAAACAATTGACTCACAGACCAATCCACCTGTCAGAATGCATCAGCAACTACAGGCTGGAATATCACATTATCAACCAAATCATAATACATGGATGTGATGTGGGAGAAGAATTTATTTTATATTATTAGAATCCATGGCAAAATTGTTTGAATGTCAAACTCAAACATTGGATTTTTTTGCATTATTTTCTAATGTATTTGTGTGTAGTTATATACTTTAATAGTCTTTATTAGGATATCCATTAGAATATGTATGCAATCATGTAGTTTTATTCTAAAGAAAAGAAATGGAGAAAAATTGGCAGAATGTGTCTTAAGGGGCTAACCATGGCCAGTGTCCTAGCTAACAGTAACATGACCCAATCCCCAAAAAATCAATTTTACTAAAAAAACATTTATCTTTCACACAACATGTGTTTCCTGTTTCAGTCCTGAAAAAATTTGGATTGGTAGTTAGGGATTATCTTTTTTTTTTTAAATTAAGACTCCAGTGATATCTGTATATGTAGGGGTCCAACTTATACAATACAGTTTAACAAAGTAAAACTTGCATAGGGACACCTTTATTTTCAATGTCAATGTTAGAAAACCAATAATTGTACAACGTTTTGTCATTCAGGTGTCAGATGATGGAGCTAGAAAAGTTCATCAGCTCCAAAAATTAAAATTTATGTCCCTTGCAGAGGTCCAGCCCCCCAAAAAGTCTAGGGTCAGCAGGTTTTTCAAAGGTCGATTGGGAAACAGGAAACACAACATTTTTTTTTCTAGGCCTCAGCAGCATCTACATGTAGCATTGACTCCAATACCCCTAAAAGCCGTTCACAGTCACGTACATGAACGCATTGTAATTTCCAACCCTCACTAATCTCTGCCAATGTAGCAATTCCCCAAATGTATCGGCACAATTTCTCACACGCAGAGTGGTAAGGACCTTACGCTGGGACTTCCTGTAATTTGACAGAGAGGAATGTGCCGCCACATCAATGCTACATTACTGATTCATTTGATGTTCCGTCATCTACATGTAGCAAATTCAGGGCTTAAAATTCAGTTTGGAATTGGGCTGGGCTCAAAATTCATGTGCCTAAACATTTAACATCTGTGTCCATAATTAATATCACCAGGGTCTATAATATCGCCACCTTGAGAAATAGTGTGCTTTAAGATATTTTTACTGCAACATACTTTTGGTATGCACTCCTGCACACCTCAAATGTACATACCTAGGGTATGTTGCAATAAAAATATCTTTAAGCACACTTTTTCTCAAGGTGGCGATATTATGGACTATGGTGATATTATGGACACAGATGTTACTGGTGCACAAAAAAATTTTGGGTTCAGCACATGAATTGAAATAAGGAAAAACCTGATTTACAAACCTTATAATAAAATTATATTTAAGTTATAATTACTGCCTCAGTTTCTTCAGTGCCACAGATGATTGCACCCTGGGTGCCAGACTAATGTTGGGCCATTAGCCGTTTTCCTTTTGCAGCCAAGACGCCTTCACCTGCCTATCTAAATTACCACTATATGGAGTTGAGCCCAGGGGGAGTTTGGCCGGCCCTTCAACTAAAGCCAAACTCCCCCTAGGCTCAACTGGGCTAATGGCCGATACTACATGTAGTCTGGCACCCGGGGTAATGATTGGCCAACCTTGTACATATGTACGTCTGGGCCTGTACCTAATTAATGTCAGGATTGTCTGAAAAACAGGTCAAAACGACCTGAGTTCATTATCCTGTTTAAATAAATAAAGTGAAAGTAAGTGAAAGCTAATTTACCTGTACCTGTCCTCTAGTAGCTAAAAAGCAACTAAACGTCTGTTTTTATTTGTTGTTTGCACAGTTTGCGGAGAGGAACCAGTCCCAACTGCCAGGACAACACAGGCTACACACCTCTGCACCATGCTGCACTCAACGGACACAGGTAACCGCCATTAGCATTGACCCACCGTGTTACATGTATCTTTGACAAAACAGTATTTTTGAGAGATCTCGAGTGCAGCACCCCCAGGTACATGTATGCACAGTTCAGATATACATTGTACAGGGGTGCTTTATACTTGGGGATATCGCATTGAACATCACTTTAGATCCATTTTTCAGGGTCATGGATATATGTACTTAGTAACTTGGTGGAATAATGTTACAACTAATGCTAAAACATGAAGTTGATAAACTATTGCCTGTTAGGTGCAGGCAGACACCAGAAATCCTTGTGAAAGCTCATTTCCTTTCCTGTAGCAAAAATAGATATTATTTCAAATCCTGTTGGAATTCTGATTTCATTTTATGTTATTCTTTACACAATTGTTTCCTGTACATTTGTCAACTTGTTCTATGCAGGGAAGTGGTGGCCTTGCTACTGAACTATGGTGCCTCTGCCAACCTGGCTGATAGTAAGGGCAGCTACCCACTCCACCTAGCAGCATGGACCGGTAATGCAGACATTGTCAGGTCCCTCATACTACATGGGCCATCACATGCCAAAGTCAACGAAAGGGTAAGACTAAGAGATTTTAGGCTTTGTGTGTACATTCTGTTCCTCGATAGAATACAGAATACATTTGTCAGTTAGCATGAAAGTTCATCTGAACTTGGTAAAATAGTCATGAATAAATTAAACTGACTAAATTTATGACTGAATCATTTTTGTTGTTGAGTTGGAGAACAGTTTAATTTCCTTCACACATTTGTCAGTTATTAGTTTACTTGAAAGTTAAGATTTTTCTCTTTTTGTTTTTAACTGTAATTTTTGTATCGTATTTTATAGTTACATTGTAGCTCCTCACAGTTCCAAACCCCTGGCTGAAAAGAGAGCGTAATCAGTTCACACAATAACTAATATTGTAATTATTCCTGATTTTTTCACTGTACTGTTATGTTCACTGTTTTCACTGTTACTTCTGTACCATGAATTTACCATTACACTTACTAACAATTCTTGGACTTTCTTTTTTCTGCATCTGTCGCCACTGTGGATATATAGTTTCACGAACATGTCCACTTTTCTCAGACCGTGAACTTTTGCTGCCGTGAACATAAAGTGAATACAGTAGTCAATAAAAGTAATGATTGACATTTTATTGTTTTTTTACAGAACAAGGACAGTGAGACCCCTCTGCACTTTGCTGCCCAGTATGGACACACTGCCGTAGTAAAGGTCCTGTTGGAGGTATGATTGTTTGTTTGTTTGTTTGTTGATTTCTTTATACATTACTTTATACTTTATTATTGGAACGTCCCATGATACATCCCTGTATCCCTTGCACATCTAACTGCTTGTAGTGAGTGAGTGAGTTGTAAGCTATCTGGCGAGGTTGTCTCTAATTAACGTTGTAGCTCTACATGTTCTAGGAAAAAAAACTGTTCAACACCAAAATCAAATAGTTCTAGACTAGAAAAAATGATGGTATTTGAAAATTGGTTGTTAGGAACAAGGTAGGTGGTTAGGTACACACATGTACCATCATAAAATGATACTACTTTACAGAGTTTTATGCTGAAGCCTGGTTGTACTGATACTTCATCAGCTGCTTAAAGTCTTCAATCTTTGTATGCTTCAGTTTATTGTGTGCTATTTATCTGATTGTCTTTCTGCTTGATGTGAACTTATTACCATTTATGATGATTATTTAGCATCATGCAGACCCCACGATGAGAAACAAGCGAGAGGAGGCCCCCCTGGACCTGGCGTGTCTCTACGGAAGACTGGACACAGTGGAACTCCTGCTGAGGAAACACCCAACCCTGCTGGACAGGCCGGGGGGTCAGTCCACCCCCCTACACCTGGCCTCGCGCAACGGGCACAAACCTGTGGTGCAGGTCCTACTGGAGGCCGGCATAGACATCAACAAGAAGGTAAAAAAAGATATGACTATTGAGTTTCATAGTTCGGGTACAGAGCTGCCTGTACCTGTATCTGAACAGCTAGTAACAAAATAAGCAACAAACATGTGGTGCAGGTCCTACTGGAGGCTGGAATTGACATCAAGAAGAAGGTGAACAGAATACACGTTTAACTAAGACTTTCATATAGATCTGCCAGGTACTGAGGTTTAGGTCTAAGTCCAGACGTGGTTTACTTTGCTGTGCATTGCTGAAAGAATTACATTTGTAGTTGATGGCAAGACTGTTAACATTTCTGTATATGATTCAACAAGGAAGCATGCTACAAATGTTAGCAAAAAGTGTCCACACCCCCTGCATAATGATCAAGACATGGTCTTTATCTCGCAACAAAGGACCACTTACAATGTATGAAATAAAGACCACTTGGCGGGATGGTTTTGCAACACTTGTATCATGCTAACTTTGATATTATGGTGTCATAACCAGTACAAAACAGGGGCTTTAGATTGGTCAACATCACTTGGCTATATGATGCTGTTAATGTTTGTATGATGTTTGTTATATTGACAGACTGAGAATGGTACAGCCCTGCATGAGGCTGCTCTCTGTGGGAAGGTGGACATCGTCAGGCTGCTACTAGACTGTGGTACGTGCCAATCAATCAAACAAATAAACAAACAAACAAACATTGAGCAATGTAGGATGCTGCTCGACTGTAGTACGAATCAATCAAACAATCAATCAATCAATGTAGGCTGCTGCTGGACTGTGGCCATGGTTCAATCAACTAATTAATCCATCAATTAATCCATCAATCAATCCATCAATCAATCAGTCAAAGATTATTAACAATGATAGTGTTGGTAAATTCATTCTAGTATTGGCAAATTCAGGTTTTGTCAAAGCTGTAAAATAGTGTACTGTTGTTATGTGTTTTTTCAAGAATAAAGTTTCCCTTTTGTGCAGGTGTAGACCCGTTAATCCAGGACAAGTCAGGACAGACAGTTCTGGAGCTGCTGGCTGGTATCCCCAAAGCTTCTGAGATCACCAAACTCATCAAAGGTATGTTCCCTGGTCTCACATCCGTGAATAGTTTCATCAGGTTGGTAAGACACTGAGTAAAGAGACTCTTTTTACACAACCAAGTCTTTTATTCAGCAGCCGATGTTTCGGTGACCGTCTGTCACCTTCCTCAGGGCAATTCTGACTGGTTCACATTGCACATTTAGGAATGCATCTATAGCAGCGACACCTGTGCTGCAGTGCAATGTGAACCAGTCAGAATTGCCCTGAGGAAGGTGACAGACGGTCACCGAAACGTCGGCTGAATAAATGACTTGGCTGTGTAAATTCTCTTTACTCAGTCCTCAGGTCACGTCAGAGCTTTAGTCCTATTGGACATGGAGAAATGTTGCAGAGGACCTACAACCGTGTTGTGAAATTCCTTTATCATATTCATCTGTCACTAACGAACAAAAAACACTGCTTAATGTGTAACATGTCATTTTGTCTATCACTGCTTCTTGAGGAAACTCTTTGTCTCTCTCACGCTAAAGTGAACTCTCATCCTGTGGTGACAATTTTCTTCATCTTTAAAAAATGCACCTTGTCATAGTGTACACCATTCCTTAAATGCTTCTCATCACTCTATCTTTGTCTCTCCTGAACTCTTTTCTCTCTGCTGCTGCACAGAAGTCAGATCTAACAATAACGATCCACCTTCCAAACCCAGCCTGCGTAAGTCTGCTCTCTTCCATTCTATGCTCGTACATGTACGTTGCTCCTGCTTACTGCAATGTTAGTGATGGTAAAATGAAAGTGCAGTACTAGGTATTTGTGAACTTTCTACTTTTACCTTACCTTCACTAGACCGCATAAAAAAATGATTCAGATTCTGAAATGTAATTAAATTGAGGCTAAGAATTTTATCATTTATACAATTTGACAAACATTGGAAATTTTACTTACTGTAATTTTGAATTATGAATGAATTTGGAAATGTTACAAATATTATAAACCATTTGACTTGCTCCCATGGAACTTTCTGTTCATGGATCATGTATAAAAACCAATTCGAGTAAGGATATGATACATGGTACATCTTCATGAATAGATAATAAAGATAGATGAATAGATAATTTTCATCAAAAAACAGTTACTCAAGCAACTGGATATGATTTGGGATTTGTCAGTGACACTGGAGACTTGTCAGAAAAGCAGGTTTATACTTACTAACAAATTGATTGATAGGAAAATAGATACTAGATAGATAAATTATATTATAGATATTTTTCTTTGATCTGCTGTTTCATTGGATTTTCGGTCAACATTGCATCAGAATTTTGCCTGTTGCTAAGGATCTTTTCCAACACAACTGTGACTACCGAAATGCTATGAACAATGCATTACAGGTTTCGTTCAGGTTCAGTACATTCTGCCAATGTGCTCAAATGGTGTAAACAATAATTATAATTTTCTTTGATCTGTCCCTCCCCCCCACAGACCACATGAACAAGTTGTGCCTACCCATCGGTAGCCTGGACTCCGCCCCGGCGTCTCCCTCTGTGATTGACAGCTCGCCCGAACACGTGCAGAGTCCTTACGATAACGTCCCGCAGCCAATACCCAGCCCCTACCACAACATCGGGGACGACGATCATGATATTCCCGCGCCCCCCGCGCATGGGTCAACTTCTTCTGAGGAGGAGAACTTGTATGACGAACCACCGATAGAAGCCTTCAGGGGAAGGGAAAGAGAGGTAGGAGAATCTTTCTCTCATTGATAGTAGATAAATTATAGATATCAGGTGAAAGTCAATAGCTATGATGAGATTCCTGCACCTCCCATGCATGTGTTGTCTTCTGACCATGAGGACCACCGATAGAAGCCTTCAGGGGCAGGGAAGGAGAGGTAGGAACAACTTTGTCTCATAGTCAAATATGTCACTCTGTATCATTTACTAGACATATTATGGCTATGGATGGAATATTATGGCTATGGACGGAATATTATGGCTACGGATGGACTATTATGGCTATGGATTGAATATTAATTATGGGTGCATCTAGATAGTTGTGTAGGGTTACTATTATGTGCATGTATGCTGATATTCTTGACAATTCATTTGACATTTAAGAGTCAAAAGGTAGTCTTGTTTTATGATATAATGTTTATGAATTTCTGCAGGGGGAGAATCGTCACTCCCAGAGTTCCTCTGGAAGCGCGTACGAGCTTCTCTCCGAAGCAACGTCGGGGCAGCCGCGACGCAGCCTCGTGTTCAAGTTTGATCAATCCCAGTCCCCGGTTTCGGAGAAGGGCGGCACCACCCCGCTCAGCCCCACCGGTTACAACCAGCCGCCGACGCCCGACCACCCACCACCGTCCGCTAACACCGCTGAGAACACCATCCACCAGAGGTTATTATAATAATTATGTTTCCCGAAGGAAAACATGTTGTTTTTGCTCAGTTTCTTCCTCTTCTTCTTCTCCAAACAGTGACCTCTGACCTGGCCAATGGCCTCATTTGTTGACGTCTGTTACCATATTAACTGGTGTTGGGTTACATAATGTTGCAATTTCATAGTAGGCGTTTTTTTCTGTCACCATATACATGTATATGAATGTGTTAACTTTGAGTAAGAATTAACAGAACAGACCATATCCGAAGGTAAACATTATGCATTTGCTTTGCAAATGTTACTTTTCTAGTGCTTTGCTCTGTTTCCTCTTCTTCTGATGATGATCAAAACCAATAAGGTCAATGACCTGAACCAGATGTCTGTCACCATGGTAACTGGTGTTGGGTTACATCATGTTGCAATTTTATGTCTAGAGTTTGTTCAGGAGTCCTTTTCTTGTTTTGCAGGTTTTTCCCTGTTCCACCATCTTCTGGACAGGCCAGGACTGCCCAGACAGTAGATGGGCACAGGGATATTCACACACAGGGCAGCTATGAACCGGCAGATGTGTCAGACAGCAGGCACGAGGATTCAGTCGCAATGGGCAGCAGGGAAATAACGGAGGGAAAACTTGAAAGTCAGGCGTTAGACAGGCATGAGAATATAGGTGAAAAGGACACCCTAGCGTTGCCTGAAGTGAGCCCGGTGTGGAAAAGGCTCTCACAGGAAGAGGCCAAGCAGAAACTAAAGGAAACACTCGCAAAGAAGCAGGCACAGAAAGCAGCAGACAGCCTCGAGAAGACAGCTGATGATGCAGTGGAAAATTTGGAGGAAGAGAAGCAGAGTTTGGATTCTGTTCAGGAGAATTCTTTGACACAAATTCCTGAGGAAGTTTCAACCAATCAGGGATCTCCCAGGAGGGAGGCTGTTCCGGCGAGCGGGCTTACTCCCTCCGACCTGAGCTCAGCCAGTTCGTCCACGAGTTACGAGAACATCCCGGGACAGCAGTGGGACAGCACCAGCGAGTCAGCTTCCTCAAGGTCGGGCTCAAGGTCGGAGACGGCAGAAAACTTGGCCGAACTCTCCAGGACTACAGAACACTTCGACGGCAGCAAAGTCGCCGATGAAAAGAACGTAATCAGCCTCCAGATAACGAGAGTAGGGTCGAACGCCGAGAGCGACAGGTCGGAGGCGGAAGGTCATGTCGTAGGTCTTAGGTTATCTGAAGGTGAGCTGCAGGACACGACCTTGACCGACCTGACCAGCGTGACCAGCATGGACAGCCTCAGCGCATTGTCCAGCCCTGCGGAGGATGCTGGGAAGAGTGTGGAGCATGCTGGGAAGAGTGCAGAGCATGCTGGGAAAAATGCAGAGCATGTTGGGAAGAGTGCAGAGCATGCTGGGAAGGACATGGAGCATGCTGGGAAGGGCCCAGAGCATGCTGGGAAGAGCGTGTCGACCTCCGTGCACATGGAGAAGACGCTGGTGGTGGAGTACCGGCCGGAGTCGGCGGAGATCGTCAGGAGACGGGGAGCGGGCGGCTCCGAGGGGGAGATCTCGCCGGCCAGCACGGAGAAACTGCTGCTGGACCTACAGCCCTTCGCTGGTAAGGATTGTCATAGTATTACATATGTATCCAAGTATTATAAGACCTAGGAAAAATTGTTGTGTTTCCTGTTTCAGTGCTGAAAAAATTAGAGCTGGTAGGTTCAGGGATTGTCTCTTTTATGCTGTTTTTTTCTTTAGACTTTGGCAATCTCAAAGGATATGAGCTTATACAAGTAGAACAAAGTAGAACTTGCATGAAAACTTTTATACATTTCCAGGGTCGGTCTGGAAACAGGAAACACATTTTTTTCCCTTGGCCTAATGGCTAAAAGCTAGAGCGAGAGGAATGGTCTTGTGTTCAGTGTCTATCATAGGATGGGAGCGTGTTTTCTATGTTGATTCAACTACAAAATGTACTACAACTACATCATGTAGTTCTAGACCACTCTTTGCTGTAACTGATTTTGATCGTAATATCTTCAGCTTTGCTGCCAAAATCTTACATCAAGTCCTGTCAGCTTGCTTATGCATCTTGTGACCCTTTTTCTAAAGCAAATAGTAAACATAATTATTTTATGTGTGTGACAGTCATGTACTCAAAGATGTGTCTCTTTCACCTCCATCATTATCTTGTAAACAACAAATCCAGGAGGAAAGGAGTGTAAGTATTAGTTACCCTATTACTTCTCTCTTACTCATTTACTCTCTTACTAACCTCTCACTGACTCTGAGGGCCTGTAAGTTATCTGCCTTGTTGTTGAGTGTATTGTAAACTGAATATTTAGCTGAGATTCAAACCCTAAAATAAGAATTCAGTCATCACTTTCTACATCAATCAAGTGAGTCTGTGTGAGTGTAGATGTTCCCCCTACATTTTCTTTTGTTTTTCTTCTCGTTCAGCGTTCAACAACAAGCAAGTAAAATTTGTCTGACCTTCGGTAAACTTTTTTGTGACCAGGGAAGCCGAAAGTCTTTGTATGCGATGTTTGTCTGAAGTCATGAGTGTGACAGTAAACATCACAGGATGGCCAATTACTGGGGAAAACCAACTGTCTAGATCTGTCATTCAGACTGCCCTTTTTTTTAGCAGCAAACAGACAAACATGCTGAACAAAAGTGTGTACATGTAGATGGTAACTTCTTGTACTTGTCATGAGTAGGTCTTCTCAGCTTTGTGAGTGGCCTGTATCAAATTCAGTCCTTCGTCTACACAGCAGGGGTCTCCCCAGAAATTCTTAGGGGAGAGGTGCTCCCTAATCAACTGAGGAAAAATCAGCAAAATTTCATGAAAATACTATAGAAAATCCTAAATTTGAACATTTTGGGAGAGGTGCTAGGATTTTGTAGAGAGGGGGAGCACCTTCATTGCTTGGGGAAAGCCCTGCACAGCATCCTGCACCATACTTGGCAGTTGTGGACGATTTTCTTCATAAATAAGTCCTCTAGAGTTAGACTGGGTTGGTGCATGATCATCCTGGCATCCTCTAGTATGTATGCCAGCCAGGTTTTCCTCAGGTCTTCTTTTACTAAGTTTTAGATCTTTTCCCATCATGGTAGGTAACTAAGCCTTTCATAATGTGTTACTTTTACTTTTTCTCCCCAGCTCTCTGCCACGGGTCCAACCCGAAGACCCAGAGCCGAGTGTCGTCCATCCTGTATGAGTCTGTGCTAAAACAGGAGATGGAGAACGAAGGTAAGATGTAGAAAGATTTGTTTTGTTTTATTCAAGACTAAGCAATGACGTTAGTATAAACCGTTTTTGTAGGCTTGTCTCTGTGAGTGTGTATGTGTGTGTGTGTGTGTGCGTATGTGTGTGTGTGTGTGTGAGTGTTTGTGTGTGTGTGTGTGCGTGTGTGTGTGCGTATATATGTGTGTGTGTGAGTTGGCGATGTGTGTACCCATGTGTATGTGTGTGTGTTTGAGTCACAGTTTCATGTGCTAGCCTGGCGTCCAGCCTTGGTAGCTTTAGTCTGCTCATCACTACAAATTCCCACCGTCCCTTGTTACACCAAGGATTTGAATCAGAGGCAACGTCCCCAGAGGTTTCTGACACCGCGAGTTCCACATCTGACGTGTCCCCGTTCCCCTCTTCGAGCCCAACATCTCCCAGTAACATGGTGGACAGCACAGTATTTTCAATCTTCATAAAATCATTTTTCCTTCACCCTTTATCCTGCAAAGGCTTTGAATCGGAGCCGACGTCACCGGAGGTTTCTGACACCGCGAGCTCAACCTCGGACGCCTCCCCGTTCCCCTCTCCAAGCCCGACCTCTCCCAGCATGCCTGACTTCGATGCCATCATTACGGAGACGGCGGAACACAACGTGGGCAGCAACGGCGGCAGGGAGCGCGAGGACTCTGGCTTCGAACAACCAGTCGACGAAACTGCAGAATGGGATCAGGTAGGACATTTGGGGTCCTTTCAAACTCTCCTAGCAGTATAATGTTTTCAGTTTGTCTTCATGGTACCAAAATTTCACAGTCTGAGGAAAATGGACAATGTTAACAGAACTTACATGTAGTTTTCATGGTGAGGGGGCTGAAAGACAAATGATTTGATAGCCATGATGATAAGTTCACAGTACAGATTGTCCTTGTGTCCTTGAAACTTTAACTTCTTTCTTCAATCTATCTCAGTATGTGGACCAACTAGCTATAGGACTATCCTTTGAATTTAGCAGTTCAATCAATCAATCAATCAATCAATGATAGCAATTTTTTAAGTAGCAGTTCGACCAACGAGAGATTACTTTCACAAGAGCATTGCATTTTTATGTTTCTTACTTAAGTTTGCATTTCTTATGTTTTACATCATAAGCTGACCTGATCTTGAACTATGTTTCTCCCCAGATTGCTAACATCATGTCTTCGTTTGGTGGAGGTCTGGTGAGGGAGTCTGTTTACACAGCCAAGCTGGAGGGAAACTTCCAACAGCTCATCAGAGGTGAGCACTTTTGTGCACCCAAAATTGGAGCTTCGCACCTGATTTTTGAATGGGGCACCTAGATGTTAGTGTAGCATTACCTAGTACATAAAGTTACTACATACATTAGTAACCAGCATGTTCTTACTCTCAACAGTCAAGCATACTAGAACTTAATTGAGAGTCATTTTCTGTGGTTCTGCCTCCATGCAGCAGCTGTTAGAGATACCTGTACATGTGTACAATGTAATGTACACGCAATACTATATAAACTAAAGAAAGGCATTTCAGTAACTAAGTTCGTTAGAGATGCGTTTCTGCGTTCCCACCTCCCTGCAAGTGTTTCCAACCCCAGCACAGTTGGTAAGTTTGAGTTAGGGTTTAGTAAGTATGTCATGCAGAAATACATTCATTGAACGTGGAATACATTAAGTGAATGCAAAGTACATTCAGTGAATGATAGAATTTCTGTTTTTAGTTGAGATTGAACATGTTTGTGTACAATGTAAGTTGAACTCAATTGAGATACAATTTTTGTTCCCTGCAGGTGTCTCCACCCCCAGCACAGTGGGAGAGTGGTTACAGCAGCTGGACCTGCAGCAGTACGAAAACGTCTTCATCAGTCACGGCTTCGACAGCCTCAAGTTCATGGTCAGTATTATCTAGTACATAGATTACAACACAGTGTATCAGTTAGGCACCAGCCTGACTGCATGCTGGAATGAGGGTGATGCAGAATACATCATTACCGATACAATAGCTCATAAAGTAGAGTGCTCGCTTCGTAACTGGGAGGTTGTGAGTTCAAACCCCGGCCGGGTTATACCAAGGACTTGTACATACTGCATTCTCTGCTTAGCACTCAACATCTATGAAAGAGTATGGGAAGGGCAACCCCCCCTTCTGTAATGCTTTTACAATTGTGTGGACCAAGGGCTACAGAAATGGAGATGAGCACCACCCCTATGCTCTGCACAGAGTGGAAAGGGACCTTTTTTTATTGAGGTGTTAAATCTTGTTTCCCCAGGGAGGCAGTATTTTGGAGGACCAGGACCTGTTGGAGATGGGTGTGGTGGACCTGTCCCATCGGGAGTCCCTCCTCTCTGCCACCCAGTCCCTCCCCACACTGCTGCCACTGGGGGAGGGCGAGCACCACTCACCCATTCCCGAGTCCATCGAGGAATGGCTGGAGTCCCTGGAGCTGGGAGACTATGCCGAGTGTTTTGCCAAACATGGCGTGATCTCCATGGACAGGGTCCGCAAAATGTGGGAGGTAGAGCTGAATGTAAGTCTGAGCGAAGAAACTTTTGTTTGGTATAATTAGTACATACCCCAAAGGGTGAGGCGAACCTACATTAGCCATGTGTGAACTAATCTCAAAGAGTTATGAAATAATCTGAGTCCGGAATCCCTGATTCCCGAGTCCATAGAGGAGTGGCTGGAGTCCCTGGAGCTGGGAGACTATGCCGAGTGTTTCGCCAAACATGGTGTGATCTCCATGGACAGGGTCCGCAAAATGTGGGAGGTAGAGCTGAATGTAAGCGGAAAATCTTAACTACTTGAATGTGTTTTTTTTGTTTGCACATATCCTTCTCAATGTGATAACAACCTAATATCTGTGCTAAAGAGCAAGGAGTCAGCCTACAAAAGCTGTGTGACATACAATGTAATCCCAAACAAATTCTTAAGAACAAATTCTATCATGTTGTCTGAGACTTGTCCAATGTACATAAGGGTATCATTGCTCTGTGAAGTACTGAACCGTGTCATTTAACTGTGGTGAATCTCACTTATATTAACTAAAGGTGAATATTTGAAATACTAAGATTGTTTCTCTGTTAATCGACATGAGACTGTTCTTTGTAGAAGCAATTAGAGGACTAAACTGGAACTATAACAGGGTCGAAACCTGGCATACTTTTATGACTCTTTGAAGGAAACCAAGAGTGTTTTTTTCATATTACAGGTGCTTGAGATCACCACGTTGGGCCACAGGAAGAGAATCCTGGCGTCTATCGGAGAGCGAGAACGGGACGAGATGCCGGAGGAAATGTCACCAGAGGAGACTGCGGTAAATTTCCTGTCCAAAGCTTCTGCAGGGCTCAATATTCATTTTTCATTGGGAATAGTGTGCCGTCTGTGTGGTGTAGTGGTAGAGCATCCGACTGTCAAGCAAGGAGACCCAGGGTTGGACCCAGAATTGTCCGGACATGCACCCAGACGTTGTGCCCTTGGGAAAGGCACTTAACACGCATTTCCCCCCTCAGTTAGAGGTTACTGGGCCCTAGTAGGGTTTGGTTTGGCGTCAGGAAGGGCATCCAGTCGTAAAAATCTTGCTTAAAAAAAGACTTGCATTTGTCTAACCCCCGTTTTGGGGAAAATGATGTTAAAATTAGATAAAAATTTAAAAAAAGTATTTTTACCACCTTGCAGGTGTGGAGCACCAGTCCTCTGTCTAAGACGGCGGCCGAGTCTCTCCCCTCCCCCGAGCCCTCCCCTATCGAGGAGGTGGACCTGTTTAAGGACTACACAAACGTCAAGTCCAAGTACCAGCCGGCCGTTCCACCCAGGCCAACATCTGCAGGGAACACTTCACCCCGGTCTGCCGGGAACTCGTCGCCCCGGCCTCCTATACCTCCAAAACCTGCCAGGAAACAGGTCAGGACAGTTCAGAATCTGTATCTGTATGGCTCGGGTATAACTGCCATTTGTATAGCCGGTGTAACACACCAGCTATACAGATAAGGCCTGTTCTGTATTTGTATGGCTGGTATAATTGCCCTGTGGCGTAACACACCAGCTAAACAGGTTAGGCTAGATCTGTATTTTGTATACAATGTCATGTACACACGATGGTCCGGTTGCTAGCCTTTTGTCCGCGTTGCTATGGCTGAGTGCGCCGCCCACTCACCGCGGGGTGCCTCCAGCTCGCCTGTACCCAGGCACTATACACAAGTAAACACTGCAAATATCTCTCAAAATAACGCATGATCGGAATATCATGTCGAGAAACTTCAGTAAGAATCGAAAAGAAGACAGGTAGACTTTTTGAATAAGAAGAAGTAAAAACGTGACAGCAAATTACAGCGTTCAAAAAGTCCTTCTTACGCTAGTGTTTAGTTCCGGCAACTTTTAGCAATTGAACTTTGAACCTTGTGACCTTTCTAATAAGGATTTTTTTCCAATTTACGCACTAAACATTAGTTGAAGTCCTACTCTATAATCTCACCAATAATTTTTTAATTCTATGGTATTAAACTCGATGTCTGCAAAATCTAAGATCATTTACGTAAATTTCGGGGTAGATTTCGGCCTAGATTGGGGTATAATTCCCGTGAGCCTCCATAGAACAACAAGAACGCGTCATCAAGATGGCGGCGGGACTGTGCCCTTTCGATTTTTGGTGTTTTCGTGAAAAAATCCTTATTAGATCAAAAGTTATGGGCCAAAATATTACATGTACCCTTTACTCAGAGCTTTCACGTGGAAGTAAGACTTTGTTTTCAGCTATAATCAGCTACGCCGGCGTCCCTCAAAGAGACTGATTATCGGGCTTCATTGTTCTCGAGTGCAGTTACATGCAAATCCTGTCCGGACCGCTATTGTTTTCCAAGCTTGAGATCGAGAGGCGCGGCAGTTTTAAAAGTGAGAATTGACCAAAAATCTGTTCCGACCAGAAGGTTGTGGGTTTTGGGCGGTCTAAAAATCTTGACGTCGTAGAAGGGATTGAAACGATGTTGCTAGTATCGCGGTTTAGAAATTACTCAAGTATCGCGGTTGGGGAAAAATTATGGGCAAGCTCACGGCACTAGATTTTAGCGAACACGGCTAGTGCATTTTAAAAAAACGATAGACGATAAACAAGGACAAGAACAACAACAGCAATTAAAAATACATAGAAAAACAAAAAAGAAAATGTCGACAGTTTACGGGCAAGACCAAATATAAATACCAAAATAAATTGGGACTTCATGGGCAAAAAGTCCGTAATAGTGTCACGCACCGCGTGCCGTCGCCAGCAAGCTACCCTAGATGCCAAACTAGTATCGGGCCGTTAGCCTTTTTCCTTCGGCAGCCGAGAGCCCTTCGCCCGCCTGCCTAAATTACCGCTACGGGGGAGTTGAGCCCGATGGCCAGCCAAACTCCCCCCGGGCTAGACTCCCCCGTAGCGGTAATTTACACCAGCGGGCGAAGGGTTTTGCCGCCCGGACAGCGAGTTTGGATTCCAGGGTACCAGCAAGCCCCTGCATGCACGCCAAGTTTTTTCAATTTTGGGGCGCCCGTGGACCAGCTTACAGCCAAGCCCGGCGTCATCGCCCGCCCTTGGATAGGGGTAAATACCATCCAGGACGCAATCAAGAAAGACATACAGACACCATAGCTTTCGATTCTAACGTTTGATCGTATTTTTGGCGCAAATGTTGACTCGAATGCTTTCAAAATTGTGGCGGCATTTTGTTCCTTTCTTTGACTATGCCTGCAAATTATTTGTTTCCGAATTTCCGTTCCGTCTTACAGCCGTAGCACACTAACGCTTTACATTTTGAAGTACACATGCCACTAAACTTTCGACTGAACCTTTACCCCGGAATATAACAAATTTATGTCGCATTTCTCGTAGCCGTAAGTCGTTTGTAAAGCTGTAAGTGTAACTTCATGAGTATGTGTTTCCGGGCGGCCATTTTGTTTCTTTTCTGGACGCTTGGAATTGGATGACGCTGGCTTTAGTAAGTCTCATTTTTTTCGATATTGTCTCCTAGTTGCACAAGATGAACGCCTTGCTGTGTCTGTAGATTTATAGATATCTTCTAAGCCGTAATTATGAGCTAATATTCATAAAAGCCATAGTGTAAACAAGCCGTGAAAGTTCAAAGCGTAGCAGTGACGCCATTGCTTTATGCTAGCGCTTTTTCCTGCTTGCGGTATGTTTATGCACGGCATTTGTACAAAAAACAAATACTTTTTGTACAATAAATTTTTATTTTTTGATGACCACCAGTGTATTAACACTGGTCATCTCAATTTAGGAAAGTCACTGGCCATTTGGAATGTCAAGTAAAAATTAACATTTTGCATTCAAGTTTCACATCAGTGCGCAGGTCTTGGTGTAAGGAGTATAGTGATATGAAAATTATTGTTCTGCAGTATTCATAACTTTAGATATCATTTATAGAAAATGCAAGCAGACCGGCGGGTTTTTCAGCACCCCGATGGGGCTAACAGCTACCCCGTCAGGACCAAATGACAGCACCGCCGGTGTAAAGTACTCACCCCGTCGGTGTAAAGTACTCACCCCATCGGGGTGACACTGTCATAATCACTAAACCCGACGGGGTAATGTCACCCCGTCGGTGTGACAGTTCTGGTCAAAGAAGTGCAAAATCCCAAAACAAAGCGCATGGAAGGTGTGAATTGATCAATCTATACACACCGTCGGGGCCAAGTTTACCCCTTCGGGGTGAGGTCCAACCCCGTCGGGGTGAGCTCAGACAGTCATCCAATCCAATTGATGTGCAAAAGCGACATTACCAGGACAAAGAATAAGCATGGAGAGCACAATCCACACTCTTCTATTTGCCCCTTTCAGCCAAGTATAAGGGTCACAAAAAAGAAAGATTCCAGAGAGCTTACAAACACATACTCACATACTCCAAAGCTGATGTCTAATAGAATTTTACCATGATCAATATTGACTGAAGGAGGCCATATAAAATAATACTTAAATTTATTTCCTTCTATTTGTAACAATTGAGATCACACAGGTCTTGCAAATAAATTGATCAAGTTCCTCAATTGCTATTACACTGGTCACAATATTCAGGGATCAAAATTAACGGCTAATAGCAGCTGAAAACAGTCAGTCATTCTTGTGTTTATTGCCCACAAATTTTCATATGGTCATAATGGTGTCATTTAATGAGCAAAATGCCTTAGCTGGTCAAGAATGGGAGCAGTCTCTAATAATTGTCACAAAAAAGGGAGGTTCACTCTTTAACCTCCTTTGTCTGAGTGGAAGGAAGCCCTTTGTTATAATGTCTGTCATTCAAAATACACACTGCAAGCAGTGCAAATCAGGACTCACTATAATTCTTCTCAGATATTTAGAGGCATCATGATAAGAAATATGTTGTGAAACTAGGAAGTTGGGACATACATTTTGAACCCTCAAGGTACCACCAGGTGCAGAGTAATTTTTTGTGAGGATGTCATGAATGGTCTAACCAAGGAGCTTTATAAAGCTTGGTGTGACAATAACTTGCTGAGAAACTTCACTACCAAAAATGCTTTTTCTTGTTTTTCTTTCTTCTTTCTTGTACAAGAAAATGCATCCCATAGCAAGAAAATTATTCTTTGAACAAGAAATTTAAGAATCCCCATAGCAAGAAAATGCAAGAAACAAATGTGTTTCTTGTTTTTCTTGCTGAAGCAAGAAAACGATTCTGTCCACAAGAAAATATTTCTTGAACTAAGAGCTAACTGTTCTTGAAGCAAGAAAACCATTCTATACACAAGGAAAAATTTCTTGTAGCAGAAAAAAAAGATTGTAAATTTTCTTAAAATTCTAAAAATTCTTAAGATTCTTGTTGGTGAGCATCATTGTAGAAATATTTTCTTTCCTTTAGAAAAAAGGAGAATAAAATTCTTTGTGTAAGAATCAACATACCAAATCTTTCAAGAATGTTTCAAGAAAATATTTCTCAACATAAGAAAAATAAGAAAAAAAATTTTTGGTAGTGTTGACATTGTGTGTATTTTGTCCCATTGTTCTGCCTTGGTAGACAAGTTAATTGGCGGCATTGTTTACTTATTGAGACTGTTTACAGCAAAAGGAGCTTTCATCAACATTAATGAATGCAGCCACTTTGTAGGTAGAAACACAAGTGGCCTACAAAATAGTCTACTGATCATGAGTACATCCTACAATGATCATATTTCATGGCCTGTTGGAGAAATACTTGAATGATGTGTTTTAGTTTACTGTACTACTACTAAACAGTCAAAATGTACTTCAGAAGGGGAGAAATGGCACTTTGGGTGGGTGGGAACATTTTGTCGCATGGTCTGTTCCATTTGCTGTAGCATGGTAGAAAGACAAGGCTGTTACTATTGGCCTAAGAAGAGACCATCGGCTACCCAATAATGGTCACCCCGTTGGGCTTGAATGTTTACAGCCTTGTCACAGTAGGATCTGCTTGGAGATTATAGGTTGGTGGGTGTGATGTTTGAAAAAAAGTGATTTTGCCCTTCTCCGATAACTTTCTTTTCTACAGACCCTGGAGTATTTTCTACATTACAACCACAGCAATGATTATACAAATGTACTAGTATTTCTATGCAAGAAGGTATAAAATGAAATTTAGGAGGAAGGACACAATTGCTGTCCTTTCAAAGAGTTTGCCTCAGGTGTGCAGTTCCAACTTCACGTTGAGGTGCCAATTACCCCCAATTTACATAATGTGCACTGGCTTGGGTTGGCTCAGGCCTGAGACCTTTGTTTTTGTTCAGAGAACTGTGGTGACTGGAAATGAAGTACTTAGCTCCAAGCAGATCCTAAGGTGGCAAAAAGACAGAATGAAATTGGCCAGGATCCATCGGACAGAGAGGGTCCAATTTTCCTTGGGTTGGAGCAAGGAGAACCTCCTTGGTTGCAGATAAGAAATGAAGCACAGTATCCTGACCAAGAAGGTTTATTGCAAGTCAGATATCCAGCTGTTATTAGATTGTGCCCGGTCAGTTTCAACCTGTCGACTCACCCAGAAAATAACTTTTGAGTGGGTTGATTTTGATTTTAGCAAATTTTCAAGGAAGAGGAATTTCAGTGGCAAAGCAATCAGAATCCCATGCATAGACTTTTGAGACAGTAGGGACAGAGGGTTCAAAAAGTGGGGGGGAAATGTTAGCTTGTTTAAGTCACTATATTTGCCCACTACATGCTCAACAGTTGTGCTGGGTAGATAGACCTCTCTGATGTGCCTGGTAAATGCAGCTACTTGTACATACCAGGATGCACACACATAAAGCTAAGAATACACAGCTGGAAACCCCCTGCACACCCCAAATCCCCTTTCTGTAACAGAATATATTGCCTGTATTACACCCATGCCATATACAGCAAAGTATCCAATGCATAAAATTTATATACAACTTAGTACTGGTTTCCAAAACGTGGCTCATGCTAATAATTCAGTCATTAAAATCTTTAAAAAGTGGCTAGAATATTCCTTAGAATCTAGCCATGAACATGGTTTAAAAAGTCGCTATTGTATTACTGTATATATAAATATGAGCCTAAAGACTAAGTAGATAAGCAAGAAGCCTAATACTAGTATTCACAACTTGAGCCTGCTTTCAAAGCATTTAGGAATTATACAATCCTCTATTTCTGTCCAACAGTACCCATTCGGTAATTATTCTGCTCCAGCTACAATTGTTATGCGGGATAAAACTTACTAAGGTCAGCTATTGTTCTTGACATGCAAATGTCACTGTCCAATTATCAACTTGATACAAATTATCCTATAAGGGAGTATTGTTGGGTGACATGGTAGTGTCTCGGCAGCTTGTACTGGGTCACCCAGGAAAAGTCAGAAAGATAGCCGGCATGTGAAAACTAAAGAACATTGTAATTGTTAAAGACATACCAACACATTGACTATTTGGCCCTTCATCCAGTCAGATTTTCTGCTATCTGGCACCTAACATTGCACTTGGCCATGGGTTTATAGATACATGTAGTAGTATGTGTAGTTTTGTTTGCTGCATTGACTGTTAGCACCAGTATGAAGTATAAAAAAATAATAGCAATGGTTTCTTAACAGATTTTATTATGATGCATACTTTTCAAAGTCTGAGTAAGTGCAAGCAAAATTTGTCTTCTTTGTCTGGTCCAGGTAATGTTTACTGCACCAGTGCAGGTATGCAGTGAAAAATATTTTGAGCCCTGGGGTATTCTGCTAATGATAGATGAGTTTATCCATGGAGTTTGAAAAGTTTTTATCAAAGTTTATTAAATTTTTAGCCATATCCAAACTCGATTCTTAGTCTTAGCCAGGTTAGAGGTTATAACCTCCTTCCTAGAATTCATCCTACAGTGAGCTAGGTATTGTTGGACAAAGACTAGATTTTTAACCTCCTTGTTAGGACCTACAGGATTGTACACGTCACGTACACATATATGGCACTCATGTGGAGCAGGTTGACTGGTCAATCATATCCATTCCTGCCATGTCAGATCTCCATGACTCATTGAAGACAATGTTCTTTCATAATCCTGGAAAATACAGTCTAGAAAAACTGCAGGAATACACACAGAACTACAATAATGAAGTGATATAATAAACTGTGTATAAACCGCCATCAACCTAGAAGCAAGTTTAATGTTAATCTTTTAAACTTCATTGGGAAATTACTTTCAGTCTGGTCTGAAGGCTTAGTAGGCCATTAGCCCAGCCTGTTCATTCTGACACACCGACGGGGCTGTTTAACACACCGACGGGGCTGTCCAACCCGTCGGGTAACCTTTGAGCCCAGACTTCTCATGAATTATCACACAAACTTGCTAATTACACTGGTGTGAAGATGTGAATTCTCATTAATTCAGTGGTTTTCATGGGGTGTTCATGAGGATAATTGGATGCGGTCTGGGTGCGGGGTGGGTTTCCACCCCGACGGGGTAGAGTTTACTCCCGACCGGGGTGGGCTGTTGATCCTGTCGGTGTGGCTTGTACACCGACGGGATTGCAATTTTTAAAGTAAAATATCTTGACAAATATGTATGTTTTGACCATAAAAAAATAACCTGGTACTGAGGATAACATGATCTTTCAAATGGTATGTAAAAATTTACTGTACCTGCAGAAATGGCAAAGTTGAAAATCAGGGATTTCAACATGGCCGTCTGCAAATTCGGAAAGTGACATTCCAAAATTGAAGTGACCAGTGTATAATTGTTTGTTACTGTACGAATTACGTGTACGTTGTGTTCAAGTTGTAGTCAAGAACTTGTGAGGCGTGATTTGCGATCGTAACGTTAACGTAACGAGCTTGTATAGTCCAGCAAGATTCGGGGAGGGGGTGGAAAGATCAAACACTTGCGGTGAAATCTTTAATAGCGATGGAATAGTGACTGCTTAAGTCCTAAAATTAACTGACATTTAACAAATCAGGAATTACAGTAACCCTACAGGTAAAATTGAAGACACAGATGAAGGCCGGGGCATTGTTAAAACGTGCAAAGCGAAGAACAATAGGGGCGGAGACGAGGCACGCATATCAAAAGACAAGCTCGCGGGAAAATCTTGCTGGGCGAGGAGCGATCAAAACATTTCTTGTCCCCGCCTGCAAACCTGCGAACCAATCAGCTACTGTTGTCAATGGCTAAATGAATGATTGACAGTGAATATTCATGAGCAGCGTGTTAGGAAAAATTCGACCCGATTTGACCATCGTGACATATTGTAGCTGGTGTAACTGCCATTTTGTGTATCACAACAGCTACAAAATGTATAGGTAAGGAAGATTTGATTCTGTTGTTTAGCAAGTTAAAACTGGAGTTTGGAAAAAGCTGTAGTGGAGCCCAAACCTATACTACTTTTCATGAGCTCAAGAGCTATCTACCAGTATAAAGTTATGACCATAGCATGTCCAGAATATGAGATATGAAAACCAAAACTTCTGCTGCAGCACCATAGAAAGCCACTAGAAAGTACATAATCGAACTTGACCTTCATTTTTTCAACACGTACCCACATACCAATTATCATTCGGATCCATCCACATCTTCTCAAGTTATGCTGTCCATGAACAAAACAAACACAGCCACCCACAGTATTGATGTATTTCTTTTTATCATCTTTGCAAACAAATAAACAAACCAACCACAACTTACATGTAAATGTTTCTCCCCAGGCCCCCTCGCCAGTGGAAGACCCAGAGTTGGTCCTGAGAGCTCCAAACGAGGCCACGACAACAGCGCCGATTCGCAGCTGGAGACACACGCCGGACGTTCTTATCAAGGGGCACTGTAACTATATGGCACATGTAAGCACTTAGCAGTTTTTGCACCTTTTTTGAAGTTTCATTCTCAGCATTTTTGATATGCTTGTGATTCAGACCCAGCTTTCAAGTGAACAAGCCTGAACCTAATTATCCTGAGAAGGCGACAGTGGTCGTTGAAAATTTGTAATCTTTGTGTTGGAATAAAGTTCAATGTTTTGTTTTACTATGATTACTACCAACACAGATTTCATGATAAGCCTAAACCTTGAGGCCATTGATATATGACTCTTTGGTGACCGTTTTTTTTCTCTGATTGGTGCCAGTATCTTGGGTCGATGCTGGTGACAGATGTGAGAGGAACTGTGTCCACGAGACAGGCCTGTGCCAAAATGAAGGTGAGAGGAAACTGAAGCTTTTCTCATTTTTATAACTACTAAATGATGTACAAAATGACTAGTATGTGGACTGGTGGACGTCCCAATAAATAAGTACCTAATACCAGCTCAGAAAAAAACAAGAAATAGTCATGCCTTCAAGTACCAGAGTCATCAACCAAGGATTGAGGTGTTCAAGAATTCATTCTTTCCTAGAACTATCGCAGAGTGGAACTCACTGTCACCAAGTACAGTAGGGGCATTGTCAATAGATAGCTTTAAACAATGTTTAGAGTTAGATGTTCAAGGGTTAGGTGTTCAGTGTAATATAGCCAGCTGCCACCGCGCTGTGTGCCTGCAAAGCTGTTGTGCTACGCTGTAGGGCTGTTATACCAGCTATACAGATACAAATAAATGTAGATGAACCAACACTATATCAAACCATTTGAAATTTCAGTGAGGCAGCAAAGTCAGTAAAAGTTGACTACAAATTAAATGTGTGATTTATTTTCTGCAGAAATCGACAGAGCAGATGCAGAAGGTGCCGACCATCATCCTGTCCATCTCCTACAAGGGGGTCAAGTTCATCGATGCCAAGTCCAAGGTCAGTTGGGAAAAGTCACACTGACAATTCGATTATGACAAGCAACAAATGAAATTGTTTTGGCCTTACAAACCATTACGATTTCGCAGATGATGGCAAGTGAACAAGAGATCCGGAACACCTCTTGTGCTACCATTTTCATGTTGATATTTCTCTTCAGCATAATTTTATGATTATCACGACAACAAATTAAGTATTGTAGTGGCATCTGTGTGGTGTAGTTGTAGATCATTCGACTGTCAAGCAAGGAGACCCAGGTTCAATCCCCAGGGTTGGACCCAGACATGTCCGGACATGCACCCAGATGTTGTGCCCTTGGGAAAGGCACTTAACACATATTTCCCCCCTCAGTTAGAGGGATCCTGGGCCCTACTAGGGTTTGGGTTGGCGTTAGGAAGGGCATCCAGCCGTAAAAATCTTGCTTAAAAAAAGACTTCCACTTGATGAAAGCACGTCTAATCAAAGACATTATAAAAAAGACATTAAACTGGATAGAAAGAGAGAATGACATTACAAAACGTAATCTTATTTCAAACGAGATCAAATGCAAGTCTTAGAGCTTCTGTCAATGAAACTATTGATATAAAATCATTAAGGAATTCAGTTGTAATTGTAATTAAAGTTTTTTAGCATTATTTAATATCTTATGGACTGAGTTTTTTTAAAAATGGGCAAAACTTCTGCAAAGTCAGCCTTTCTGATACCATCTCCAGTTCATCACCTACATGTTTCATTTCTTACATGGAACGAAATGTTTGGGACGTTGACCTCAATTAACATACATTGCACCTGGTTACATACAGTATATTCGTCACTTTAATAGTATAAAAACAGTGTGTTTGAGAGATCTCTACTGCAGCGCCCCAGTTATGCAGGAGTGCCTTAGGCCACACAAAGTAATTTTTACAGATGACGTCCTCTGGAGACCCTAAACCTAATACGAGAGGGTGAAAACAAAACAAGAAGGCAGAAAAAAACCAAAATGCCTCATTTTGAAATACACTAAGAGACAACAAATGTTAGGACACAAATTGAATGAGATAACCCAGTGTAACAACCAACAATTCTTTCATTTGACATGAAAACAGCAATGAATCAGTGGAACAGCAGTTGTGGTCCTGCCCTGTTTCTTTCCTTTCATAACATCTTCCAATCTTGTGATTTGCAGCACTGTCGTGACTCTTTGGTCATATATATATAGTTACAGGAAGCGGAATTTCTTGTTGTTGTTTTTTTTGGGGGGGGGGGAGGGAGCAGGCCAAAACCATTACGATTTCGCAGATGATGGCAAGTGAACAAGAGATCCGGAACACCTCTTGTGCTACCATTTTCATGTTGATATTTCTCTTCAGCATAATTTTATGATTATCACGACAACAAATTAAGTATTGTAGTGGCATCTGTGTGGTGTAGTTGTAGATCATTCGACTGTCAAGCAAGGAGACCCAGGTTCAATCCCCAGGGTTGGACCCAGACATGTCCGGACATGCACCCAGATGTTGTGCCCTTGGGAAAGGCACTTAACACATATTTCCCCCCTCAGTTAGAGGGATCCTGGGCCCTACTAGGGTTTGGGTTGGCGTTAGGAAGGGCATCCAGCCGTAAAAATCTTGCTTAAAAAAAGACTTCCACTTGATGAAAGCACGTCTAATCAAAGACATTATAAAAAAGACATTAAACTGGATAGAAAGAGAGAATGACATTACAAAACGTAATCTTATTTCCTTAGATGATGGTAAGTGAACACGATATTCAGAACATATGTATGTATTTTGTCATTGCGTTTTACTCTTGTTTTATGTTTTTATGGTAGAAGCCGTCACAAAAGCAACTGTGCTTCTTCCCTAATACTCAAAATATATGTGAATAAAAAGAATAAACTTAAAAAAACCCTTCTGATTTCCTTAGATGATGGTGAGTGAGCACGAGATCTGGAACATCTCCTGTGCTGCAATTTTCATGTTGACATTTCTCTTCAGCATATTTACGATTACTCACAATCTCACTCAATGCCCCTCCTGGGAGTGTAGCACCTCTGCATACGGTCTTCCAAGTCTGCCTGTAATACAGTAGTTTTTGATCCTGACAACCAATAAATGAAATTGTTGACAATGTGGTCTTACACAGACATAGGTGAGGTGAAGTGTTATGACAGCACCTGAGTCACCATGGTTAGTGTTCTGATTTCCCCAGATGATGGTGAGTGAGCATGAGATCCGGAACATCTCCTGCGCTGCGCAGGACGCCCACGACCTTCATGTGTTCGCCTACATCACCAAGGACATGAAGACAGGGAAACACTACTGTCACGTCTTCAGCGTCAACAGCCAGGTCAGATTTTTATTATGTTTATTTTTATTTATTGAGATTTACTAAATACATTGTATTGTGGATGGATTGACATATAACCATTTTAATATGTCAACCTGGACTGTATGGCCCCCCCCACACTGTGACCAGCCCCTCCAACTCTGTCCTGCCACATGCTACATAATGTACAATGTAATTTAACACCACAGGGTGCCTGCTACAGTACCAGTCACTGTGGGGACAGCTACATGTATGCTTAGGCCTGTATCTGTATAGCCAGTATAACCACCCTTTGGCATAACACACCAGCTTCGCAATCATTGACCTTATTTGTCTGGAATGGAAGAGGAAGAAGAAGAATCATTTCAAGCAAAAATAATGTTCCTTCTGCAATAAATGAGTGAAAAGATAACTTAAAAACCTTTCCCTGCCCACAGGACCTTGGGTATGAGATCATCCTGACTCTTGGGCAGGCGTTTGAGATCGCCTTCCAGATGATTCAGCGGGAGAAGGCGAAACGGTCGGCGCTGGCGATGGAGCGTCAGTTGAGCAGTGGCAGCGACCGGTCCGCCAAGTGGTCCACCAGCAGCCAAGGCTCTCAGGTACGAAACCTTCTGTTCCAAGCACCGAGGCAGCATGTACTACCCAACAATAGTCCCAAAGGTTCCAAAAAAAATTGTTTTCACTTAGGTACGGAATCTGTTACTCCCAGCACCCAGG